TTATCTTCAGTAATGAACACATTTAGTTATTTTTCTCTATTAAAATAGAGGTAGAAGTAAGTAGGTGCAATCCAAACCTGCATTTCAAGTCTTATCACTGAAATAAGATAGAATTTCTGTCAAGTTTCCATGGCCTAGTAAGTTACTTACTTACCCACCCAACCTAGCCTGCTACTCTCTCGGGTCATATCATACGAATAAAATTATTACCAGTCAAATGTGAGATTATAACGAGTAATAACAATAAAAAAGGAATTTTGTTTCAAGTTTCAAAGCACACTGACTTTTACCCCCATCGACCACACCTTTTTCACCCTCCTGGGGTTTTTCATCAAATACAAGGGTCATTCACCCTAACCGGTAGGTACCTACTACAGACCCCTAAAGAGCCCGCATGTAATAAAAGCAGCCCCTATGGTAGGGGTGTGGTTTTTTTCTTATTCATCTTGCTAAGAGACCGCCTGAGAACAAAGAATCAAATTGCAAAGTATGGAGCATAGAGAAAAGTAATGGAGACATTTACGAGAATGTTGAATTTTTTAACTTTAAGTTGGTTTTGTAGTTTTAAAATTATTTACTTACCCTGTATTCAAGATTGAAGTACCTAAAGGTATACCTAAATACTACAAATTAAACCGTCATTGATCATCATCTCAGCCATAGGACGTCCACTGCTGAACATTAGGCCCTCCACCAAATTATCTTAGAAAAACTAGTATAGTCTGGTCCGTGAGCCATAGAATTTTGTCCAATGACCCCAAGCTACCCATCCTTATTGCTCGCGCGTAATTATGTTGCTATCGCGCTGGCACACTCACTGCGGGTGCCAGTCGCACAGTCGCGACAGCAATATAATTACGCGCGAGCGATAAGGATAGGTAGCTAGGGGTCATTAGACAAAATTCTACGTGCTCACGGACCGGGCTTAGTAACTTTTATTTGTGTACAATGGCGTGGTGTGGTGGTGACCTTACTTTTATTAGGTCAACTATTATAAAATTCAATCAATACGAAGGCTAGTTAGTAATAATAAGTAAAAAAAGTAATCTCGTATAAATATATTTCGTTATTATTAAGATTGTAAAAGACACTTTTTTAAGTGTAAAACCACTTGGATAGGCGGCACGCACATGCAGAAAGTAACGCTGTGTGACATTACTGAGCCCCGATTACGGTAACTTTTATAACGTCTACAATCCAGACGCGTTTCTGATTCTGCGATACGATTGGTCAAAACAGCTGACGTACGCTGTTGAACGACCAATCGTATCGCAGAATCGAGAAGCGTGTCTGGATTGTTGACGTTAAAAATTACCGTAATCGGGGCTCAGNATCCTATGTCCTTTCCCGGGACTCAAACTATCTCTATGCCAGTGTATGATATTCAATAATGAACATATTTTAGTAATAATTATCTCCGATTAAAATAGAGGTAAGGCAAGTAAGTGCAATCCAAACCTGCATTTCAAGTCTTATCACTGAAATAAGAAGAATTTCTGTCAAGTTTCCGTGGCCTAGTAAGTTACTTACTTACCCACCCAACCTAGCTACTCTCTCGGTTCATATCATACGAATAAAATTATTAAGTCAAATGTGAGATTATAACGAGCAATAAAGATAAAAAGGAATTTTGTTTCAAGTTTCAACACACACAGACTTTTACCCCATCGACCACACCTTTTTCACCCTCCTGGGGTTTTCATCAAATACAAGGGTCATTCACCCCAACCGGTACTACAGACCCCTAATGAGCCCGCATGTAATAAAAGCAGCCCCTATGGTAGGGGTGTGGTTTTTTTCTTATTCATCTTGCTAAGTAAGAGGCCGCCTGAGAACAAAGATCAGTTAAGTAATATTGCGAAGTATGGAAACAAATAATTTATTATTATATTATTATTATATTATTATATGGAGACATTTACGAAGAATGTTGAAATTTTTAACTTTAAGTTGGTTTTGTATTTTTAAAATTATTTACTTACCCTGTATTTAAGATTGAAGTAGGTACCTAAAGGTAATACCTAAATAAATACTACTAAAAATTAACCATCATTGATCATCATCTCAGCCATAGGACGTCCACTGTTGAACGTAGGCCTCCCCCTACAAATTATTTTTAGTAAAAATAGACATAATGTATAATAACTTTTATTTGTCAATGGCGTGGTGTGGTGGTGACCTTACTTTTATTAGGTCAACTATTATAAAATTCAATCAATACGAAGGCTAGTTAGTAATAATAAGTAAAAAAAGTAATCTCGTATAAATATATTTCGTTTTATTAAGATTGTAAAAGACACTTTTTTAACTTCATTTCATCCTTATAGGTACCTACCGCTGAACCGATTTTGATGATTTTTTGGAAGTAGAAATACCTTGTAGAAAACCATTTTGAAAACTATTTGCAGACTGAATTGATAAATGGTGGAAATGTGAAATAGAGTGAAATTAATAAATGATGTTTTGATTAAAATATTTAATCAACGAAGAATATCATATTTCGTTTTCTTAAATAACTGTGTTTAAATCCTTAGCATTCAAATAAATTAATTAATGTAGGTACTTATTTAATCTTGTTGTATAAATAAAATTACGTCAACTTGCGATAACATGCATTACAAAGAAGTTTTTGTTATTTATGAAGAAATTATAAACACATTCACATCTTTATCAGTAAGTATAATAAATTTCTAGAAGCTCCAAATACCTATGTAAACACCGATTATATCATTGTTATTAATTACAAAGCTCGTGTGATAATTTATGTAACTTAATAACATTTAATAACGTCATCTAAAACAAACAAAACACAGGTTATTGACTTTTAATCAACAACGTCACGTTCTCGTTACAATAAGTAGGTATTTGAACAATAAACAAAAGAAAGTACGGTGATTAGAAGGAGGTAGATAGGTACTGTTTGGGTTCCCCCAATCCAATCCATAGGCCGCTGGTTCAAATCCGGCTCGAAGGACCAATGTTTGTGTTGCCCCAAAACAAGATGATAATGATAAAATTGATTTAGACGAACTGATTTGGTGAATGAAAGAACGTACGTTAGAAAATATTGTACTATTTATATCTGTCTGTTCTGTTCTTCTACTTTTCGCGCCTAAACCAACCAATTTTGGTAGTGAAATATCTAGATTGGATACTACTACGATTGAAGGATATACGGGACTATTCCCACCTCTCGTTCCCACCACTGCAGCACTGCAACTCCTGTGTAGCCAGGATCTACAGCTTGACCACCATAAAAAGCCCAACCAATGAAGGGCAAGTTTGTCCCGGGGGAAAGTTAACTGTCATTGGATCCGCAACTAAATTAATCAGAAAACATAGGAGGACTTCGAGATTGAACTTTGAAGGATATAGTAGGTGGTAGGCTACTGAGATACTGATATGGAGTTTATAAATTGACTAAATAGGTAGTTTTTCCGTCACTCCCCATGCACCCCCATGATACTTAAGCATTTTGACCAAATAAAAAACAGTCCTACTTAATTCAATGCAATGACCTAAAATTACCTTGGTCCTTGCTCCTACTTTATCAATATCTGTTGTTTTGCAATCTTGAAACCTGACTTATCTAAGTTTAACTTGGGTAATTACTATCACCGATTCATTCAGAATAACGATAAGGTTTTACTAATCATTTCCCGTGTAAAGATAATAGTTTACGTCATTTGTTTTTAGTGTTTTGTTTTTCAACAGACTTGCTGTCGTCATTAGATTTTGTCGTCTTTTGTTCTTTTTGTTACAGTCAAAATTAATTGTGAATGGAGCACAGCTGTTTCACAGCTGGATAAATAATGTTGGTTCCTAACCAGGATTTGACTAGGTATTGCAAAAACAAGTGTAAAGTCCAATTTCATTACATGAAGTCGTTCTAACTTACAAATGATTACTTACACGTGCAAGTAACTTAAATAAATATGTTCAGTTATTTCAGATCGCGTGTAACTTTTAGGGGCCTACTTCGTTCGTTCGTTCGTTTCAGCCCAATGACGTCCACAGCTGGACAAAGGCCTCCCCCAAAGATTTCCATAATGGTCTTTACTATTTTCTGCTACCGTTTCCTACTTTTTTAAACTGTTTTATACCTCGTAGATTCAATTAAAAACTATTGAGAACACAATAACCAGGGCGATCAGTTGACCGACGAAAAGTGGAGAAGGTAACTACGGTTCTACCTAGAATGGAAACCATGTTTCAGCAAACATAGTGTAGGACTTGAGACTTCCTCTTGCTAAATGGACCTATAGGTCAGATGGATGAGAAGATAACTGGCTGGCAGGAAAGCCCGAGATCCTTTCAGTCTTAAGTAATTACTTCCAGCAGTTGACCAATGTTTATCTCTACTCAAACAAATAGGTACAAATTTTATTTTCGCCACATTATTTGTCTACCAAGATTTAAGTGAATCATGCAGCGTTGGTTTTGAAAGTCTAGGAGGATTCATGAGGGACTGCACAAGGAATACCTAATTTCTAGAGTACTTAGGTAAAAGTAAAGTAACAATCTAACAATATTGTCATCACTTCGCTCTACGTGTTTTTAGACGACTTGAAGATATCACGAATTTGATTCAGTCACGAACTATTTTTCTTTGGTTGAGTTAATTTATCTTAGCTCTTTATCTTTATTAGTTCTTGGAGTTTGGAGTCAATCTAAACATGAGAAGTGGCCTGACACTCTAAGCTGTCACCGGAATCGAACCAAGGTCCATGAAGCTCACGAAATCCACGCGTTTGGTTACGGTTACACCAGAATCGGGCTAACATAATTTTATGACCTAATTCATTATTTAAATGAAAAGAACCCACTCAAGTAGTTTAATAAAAAAATAAATATTATTTTGAGATCTCTTATTTATTACAAGTAACGCCATCTATTGACAATGTAAAACATAAATACAAAATAATGAAGCTGTATGTTTTGATTTCATTAGCGTAGCGGAGAGAGCTGGTTGATTAAAAATTGCAATATCATAATGACAGCTGATGACAGTTGACTGACAGTTTCACAATACAAAATCACGAAACTCGATTTTCTTTTCGTAATAAAACGAAAAATACACAGAAATGCGAAGAGAATTTATACTACTTTTGTTAGGTATAATATGTGTATCAACTTTATCGTCTATGTTATCCGGATATGTGCAAATTGAGGCTGATAAAGTGCTATTAGACACGGTGGTCGGTGCGGTGGGAGCAGGAAACTTTTCTTATTGGCAATTAGGGCATACCGGGCCTTTATTAGTGGAACTAACGTCTTTAGCGGGTGATGCGGACCTGTATGTGTCTGATACAATCAGGTTTGTACCTTGAATTGAAAGATTTAATGCGAAATTTTACAAATTTCTAACACTCCATTAACGTCACGATAGATTGATGTTTATCGTTTTTCAGCGTGTTTTGGCGACTTATTTATCAATATAATTGATTTCCCCGACGTTACTGTGTCTCGCCATGCGTTGATTATGAAGCTGGGTTTAAATATCTACTAGATTGTTTTAGAAAATAAACTTTTGAAATAGGCCTATTGCTTGTGGAAAGATAGACGCCCCCGCTAAAATTCCACCATCTGTTCAGTCACGCCACTAGGTCTGCCTGTCTAGTGATATGACATAAGATTTTATACGTTAATTTTTGCCCTGTCTGTGAATATGAGAAAAGAAACTGGAATGAGATGAAAATTAAATAACTGGTGAAATTTTATTTGGGATCCAAACTTTATGTAACAATTCCACACTATATTTATAATTATGTTTACTTTCGTATGTTTCCAGGCCAAGCTATGAGGTTGATAAGAACAACTTCAGCTCTGCTACATGTGGTCCGGACCTTGTCAACATTCCTTCAGACTTTCCCAGACCTATAGGTAAGAAATTGTAGAAAATTCCCATGAAAAACATAACTATTTATTCTAGGTATTTCATTTTAAATACTGTGATACCTTCTTTGTGATTTTCACAAATTGTAAAAGAAATTTACTTGCAAAAAAGTAGTGAAAAGTGTAAAAAGTAATAGGTGTATGAAAGAAAAGTTTTAGGTAAACAACTTTAATACATATTTGCAATGTTAAGCTTTAAAATTTGTTGTCTTGCTATTGTCAACTATTACACCTAATCATTTTAAATGCAGAAAAAGAGTGCACCTACTTGTGAAATAATAAAATTCATAATGTAGATGAGTAAAAACAGTTCATGGACTACCTGCCTAGTTCTATCCTATTTGTGAATAGTAATTGCTTGATAATTTGATATTTTACGACAATATGTACCATTCCAGACTACATCTCATTTGCACACTGCGATTGCGATCAAATACCTGCCTTGTTATGCATAAAACAAAGTTATTGTGAAAAGTGTCCAAGTTATTTATGTTTATTTGATCTAACCATCAACCTATGCTCTTCTAGGTATTGGAGTCTTCGGGCACTGGTCGCACCACCTCTCGGAGTACAGTATCCAGGTGTTCCTGGACGCTTCGGCCATTATGGACTCCTCGTTGCTTCTGACTGGTGACCGCCAGTCTGGGACGGATCGACCTGGTAATAAACTTAAAGTATTTTCATCTTTTGAAGTGTGGTTCAGGCAGACTAAAATAGATGTGTAATGGCTTTCACGCCTAAACCACTGAAATATTTGATAACTGTTATAGTTTGAGTCTCGGGAAAGGACATGGGATAGGTTTTATCCCGGTAATTAAAACAGGGACGCGCACGATTATTTTTCTGTGCCAGACAAAATTTTAAGCGGGCGAAGCCGCGGGCAAAAGCTAGTGTCGTAAAAATATACGTACATCAGGCCTCGCCAAACCCTCAAGACGTAGGGAATGTATGTAGGGTTGCCAACTATACTGTTTTGAACAGTATTATACTGTTTTTCACTAAATTATACTTTTTACTGTTGTAAAATAAAGTATACAAAATACTGTTTTCAGCTAGCATCACTAGTATCCATAGATATTTTTAAAAGTAAATGCCCAACACCACATTTAAGTACGCGTTGTAGAGCTATACTGTTTTTTTTTTAATACTGTCTGTTTTCCTTCTCCGACCTCTAATATACTTTATATTTTGTAAGAAAAGTTGGCAACCCTAAATGTATGCCAAATTCTCCTATGCCTTTGGTGAATTTGGAATGTTTATGCTGAGTTTTTAATTTGCTAACTTTTTTATTTAGTACAGGAACTTAATTTGGAATGCAACAAAAAACTGACTCCAAAAAAGTACACTAAAATTTTTCTACTGCTTTTTACAAGTTATTCCAAAAGAATAGGGATGTTTCCTGGGTCAAAAAGCAAGAGTTTTAATTAGTCCGTCAGTTAAATTATCAAAAAATACTCTACACGTATTTTTCACTTTTTCAAACTAATGAAAATTTAAAGAGATAAAGCGCGCCAAAGTTCATAAGAAGAGGCCCGTGACGTCAATGCGTGCATAAAAGTGCCGCACGTTGTGATGTCGTGCGGAACTTCAACGCACCATAACTATGTAATTATTTGTTAGATTGACAAACTAGCCTATTGCTGATTCTATTATTATAAAGTCAAAGTCAAAAATAATATCGTGGCAGCGCAGGACCGATCGTTATCATTCATTTAGTTGAAACGAACGAAAAAGAAACATCTACTGAACGATATTTTTAATCCATAACTTTAGCCCGGTCCGTGAGCACGTAGAATTTTGTCCAATGACCCCTAGCTACCCATCCTTATCGCTCGCGCGTAATTATATTGCTGTCGCGACTGTGCGACGCGCGCCCGCAGTGAGTGTGCGAGCGCGACAGCAACATAATTACGCGGGAGCGATAAGGATGGGTAGCTAGGGGTCATTGGACAAAATTCTACGTGCTCACGGACCAGACTATAGTATAGATACATAGATCGGAGTGAACATTATTTGTTTTTTTCTATTGGCGCATACAATTTACTCGCCAATCTCTACTACTTGATCACAGACCCCAGAACTCTCATTTTCAGAACTGGAAAAGAGAAGCAGAGAGAAGCCATCGCGGAAGTCAGAGGAGGAAAAGCCACGGTTCCTCAAGTTGTTGAGCATTTTGGACATGATATTCGAGATGTTTGTGTTATAATTTTTGTGTATAGCTTTGATTTAGAGGGATACGTATTACTCAGTCGGTGCCTGAGGTATGTATTATTATTCTGTCTAAGGCGATTATCACACTGCGCCGCGCTCCGCCGCGGTACGCGGGACGACAGATTTAATCATTGTATGCAAGTACCTCAGTTTGTATAGAAAACACGCGCGGCACAACACACTGACAACGCGTCTGCGCGCGGGATTTTTTATATGAAATCATGCGAACCGCGGCGGAGCGCGGCGCAGTGTGATAACCGCCTAATATAGTTCCAAAATACTGGACTGTCCTATCGATGACATTGACAGTGGGGCGCCACCGTCAATACCGGATCGCTGGTTCCGATTTTTGCCATGTTGGAAACCATATAGTTGAACGATGGTAGCGCCCCCCTGTCATTGAGTTTGGTGGGACAGTTCAGCGTGGGTCATCATCTATAGCGGCATTTGTGTTTTTGAAACGTCAAACGTCTTCTTCTTTTATTTTGGCCACGACTTGGTTTTGAGAACCATGATTTCGCCAATGTCACGTAAACAGCTTTGACAGAGAGTATATAACAGGGTTTACAAATAAAAAAAAAATTACATTTCTAAAGCAAAATTATAGTTCCAAAATACTGAACTGTCCTATGCATGACATTGACAGCGGGGCGCCACCGTCAATACCGGATCGCTGGTTCTGATTTGTGCCATGTTGGTAGCCATATAGTTGAACGATGGTAGCGCCCCCCTGTCATTGAGTTTGGTGGGACAGTTCAGCCCCCCTAGACAAAACGCACTTTTTGATCGAATCGAAAATCGAATCCGTCAAATTCCATACAAAAAAGGGGCTTTTCGACCACTTTTCGACTGGTTTGCGATTATAATGGCACTTTGTCTAGACCCACAGCGTGGGTCATCTATATTAATTTGTGTGAGTACGTCAAATGTCAGCGAGACTTCATATTTGTATAGGTACTCTGTCACGTCATAATATGTCAATGCCACCCCTCCCGCGCCACTCCCATGCCTCAGGCACTGATTGAGTAAGCGCTAGACATATAGGATAATGGGTGAGGAATGGACCGATACCAAATCAGTGTGATGTGTATACTTTTATACTTGTTCATAATTNTTTGACCTCTTTTTTGTCGACAAAAATAGGCCTAGTTTCATCTATTTTCATATGTACACTTTAACGTGACTCACACTGTATAGTTGAACGATGGTAGCGCCCCCCTGTCATTGAGTTTGGTGGGACAGTTCAGCGTGGGTCATCTATAGCGGCATTTGTGTTTTTGAAACGTCAAACGTCTTCTTCTTTTATTTTGGCCACGACTTGGTTTTGAGAACCATGATTTCGCCAATGTCACGTAAACAGCTTTGACAGAGAGTAACAGGGTTTACAAATAAAAAAAAATTACATTTCTAAAGCAAAATTATAGTTCCAAAATACTGAACTGTCCTATGCATGACATTGACAGCGGAGCGCCACCGTCAATACCGGATCGCTGGTTCCGATTTTTGCCATGTTGGTAGCCATATAGTTGAACGATGGTAGCGCCCCCCTGTCATTGAGTTTGGTGGGACAGTTCAGCGTGGGTCATCTATATTAATTTGTGTGAGTACGTCAAATGTCAGCGAGACTTCATATTTGTATAGGTACTCTGTCACGTCATAATATGTCAATGCCACCCCTCCCGCGCCACTCCCATGCCTCAGGCACTGATTGAGTAAGCGCTAGACATATAGGACAATGGGTGGAATGGGCCGATACCAAATCAGTGTGATGTGTATACTTTTATACGCGTTCATAATTATAGGGTAAGGTGGGGCACAATGTTACACGGGGTACAATGTTACAATGCATATTTCTCCGTCCCTTTCTATTAGTTGTATGATGTTGGTATACACGTTTGTCAAGCTCATAAGAGCTGCTGAACTGAGCCGCTGAACATCATACAACTATTGAAAGGGACGGAGAAATATGCAATGAACATTGTGCCCCACCTTACCCTACAGATTAACAGCCTCATATTTTGTGCTTATCAGGGATGTTATGGATATCCATAACCGTAACCGAAACTTTCGGATATCCGAAATAAAAAAATATACGTAACCGTAACCGAAACCGGTATAATATTATTCCTATATCCGTAACCGAAACTACATATCCATAACATCCCTAGTGCTTATATTATCGGCCGACAAATCTGTACTCGATTGAAAGCCGCTTTGGGATAGATAAGTACAAAAGAATTTGGAAAAAAAATTTTTTTTTCGAACATTTTTTTTCTTGACTTCTGAAATTTATTAAATGACATTTTAATAGTTGTGACGTCATTTTCCAGTATTCACTCTCTAAATTGTTTTCAAACTTCAAAGTAATGTTTTTAGCTTATTGCAATATTCTCATAATGTGCTTTTTTTATAAGGCATAAAATAGATTGTTGTGTAAATATTGTCGGAAAATCATTAGCGAAGGCCCTGTGTCCAGCAGTGGACGTCCTGTGGCTGAAATGATGATGATGAAGGCAAATGTGGGTTTCCATAATATGCTCACCAGTGGCGCCAACTGGTAAGAATGTAGTTTTACAAGATGTCTTCCAGGCAATTTTAAATTTAATAACCAGAATCAAGGAATAATTTCATAAAAAAATGACAGCAACCATAATTTAAGAAATCATAGAGTAAGAGTTTAGTAGGAGGTTCTACAGAAGTACCCTCAGTGTTGAAAATCAAAGCTATATGTAAATCACGATGATTGTAACCTCTTTTTTTAAGCCCGTAAGTTATTTTGTACTGTTAAAGGAGAGTATAGGCTAGAGCATTTACTTGTAACAACAACGAGCCGCTCTATGAAATGTTTTAGTGGTCACCCTTTCACAAACCAAACGTCGTACATTTTCAAAATCAAAAATATTTATTCAGTTTAGACCACAAGTGGCACTTATAAACGTCAAAATATAGTATATTTGGGCCCTACCAGCGCTTCGAGACAAACATATATGGCAATTGCTGAGAAGAAACGCCGGAACAAACCTGAAAATTTACCTGTGTTGTACCATTCGTGAATGTTGCATTACATAGAAATGCTGTAGTCTATACTCATCTAAGACTGGGTTGCAACATCTTACTTTACCTTTGATTAACGTCAAAAATCTGTCAAACTCCATACAAAAAGCACCGGTTGTCATAGTTACGGTTAAAGTTACGTGGCGCAACTCAGCCTTAAAGTATTTTAAGTAATTATTATTAATTTTATTATCTAGTCAATAAACTTAATTTTGTTTTGTAAATATTATTATTTATTATCCCAAGGTCTTGAAGGTTGATAAAAACAACATCATCAACTAAAACAGTCATTTATTTACAAATCTACAAATAAATATGCAATTTGAACACATTCCGTTAAAAAAAACATTCATATCTTACAAATACTTGAATAAGCAATGAGGGGCTATCGTTTTAGCGCTCACTGTAGAGTTATGTCACTGTCACTTGCTAGTGGCGAAGGATTTTTTTGCTATAGTCCGGTCACCGAGCACGTAGAATTAATTACGTCCAATGACCCCAAGCTACCCATCCTTATCGCTAGCGCGAATTATATATTGCTGTCGCGCTCGCACACTCACTGCTGCCACCCGTCGCACAGTCGCGACAGCAATGTAATAACGCGCGAGCGATAAGGATTGGTAGCTTGGGGTCATTGGACTAAATTCTACGTGCTCGGCGACCGGAATATACCAATTGTAGTATAAAAATGATAGCCCTCATTACAATTTAATATTAAAAAACAATACAAAACAATATCAGATCTCATTTTGGTTACATAATTTGATTTTCATGCAATTAAAAGCTTAAATAAAATGCTTTTTTTGTGATAACTTAAAGATAAATTTTACTGACACGTCTTAAAAAGAAGCTATTCTGTGAAGAGACTAATTCAGAGAGAAAGTGGTCTTTTGGTCTTCTCTCCGATCCGTTAGTAAAAACGTGAAAATAATACATAGTATAGAATGCTTACAGCTGTGTACTTTTTAGGCAAATTAGTTAGTCTACTGACGGTCTCTTTGGTCTACTGGTCTTTTAGTAAAAAAATTAATTAGTAGACCCTAAAACAGTGTGTTAGATGCCATTTTTAGTTCGTCTTCTGGCAATATCTTTGGTCTACTGGTCTTTTAGTAAAAAATTGAATTAGTAGACCTTAAAGCAGTGTATTAGAGACCATTTTTAACTGGTCTACTGACGGTCTTTCGCAGTCTTCTCGGTCTACTCGTCCTTTTTGTTAGTTTTAGCAACAGCCAGTTTCTTTTTGCATTCTTCGTAGATGCCGTCCAGGTCGAAAGCTGCTTTTGTGTTGTCTTTAGAGAATAGGAACCTGGAATAAATGGGAGAAGTTTAGGGAGATATTCGTTAACCCATAATGCAATCTGGGAGTATGGTTCAAAAGTAATATAAAATTGTTGTGCTCTTTTCAACTAAAAGTAAGATAGCGAAAGAGACCTTTTAAAACTGCAATACCTATCTCGAATAATAACTTTCATTTAACTAGACTACTTATCAAATTCTTCTTTCTTTTTAAGCCTACGCCGATTTTTAGTTGGGTCAGGCTGTTGATTACTACGAAGATGCATGAAACAACATCGATTTGGAATCGGCCGATTCCTCATTCAAATTAAAATCAGGCCCAACTATTCGACAACTAAAAGTCGGTGGTCTGCGCCTAGGCTAAGCAGAAAAGGGCAATTTAAAAGCCTGCTAAATTGCAAAAAAAACCTGAGTTTTATGGTTTTTTATGAGTTCTACATGGACTTTAGCTCTATTAATTTATTTATTAGTTGCTAATTTTGAATAATACTAACTTTTGTAGTTTCCCAGAGGAGTCAGCTTGGGGCCTTCTCATGGTTTCCACTCCGTCAACAAATAGTAACACCGTTGGCAGTTGACGACTGGTCGGGCCGTCTTGGACTCGGTATTTGGCTGCTGCGTCTGGATATCTAGGCAATTAGGAAATATAAAGATCAATTTGCTATTTTGTGAAGATAAGCTACAGTAAATACAACCTGTAACTAAGGTCTAATTTCTCTAAAATAGTTCATTTCAACCCTGAAAACTCGAGTTTTTTCATTTGAGTTGGTTGATTTTTTTTCAGTTACTTTGTAAGAGTAAATAGGTACATAAATGTAGTTAATTTCTAATGTGTAGTCAAATTGTCGATCAAGACACTTAATTAGTCCTTCTCATTGACTAAATTGTGTTTTGATGGCATGTAAAAGTATGTCTATTGATTGCTGAAGTATGTATCTAATGCCTAACTCAATAATTGTATGTTACTAAATTACCTGCCAATGTCCACCTTTCCAAACTTGAAGTTATCCAAACTATAGCTAGCCGACAGCTCGGCGAACACCGGAGCGAAGTTAACACAGGCTGGGTGCCACGCAGCGTACAGGCAGACTACCCACGTCGTTCCCTTGTTTCTCTTCAGCTCTTCGTCTAAACTCTGCGTGCCGCGGAAGTAGATAATGTGTTCGGGACCCATGTACGTCGGTTCGGGCAGTAGAAGTGAGGTGAGGATGATGAGAGCGCCGTACGGGAGACCATATCTGGTGAAAATGAAAATTAATTTGGTGAAAAAGATTGTTGTTTGGATTATTTATAGAATACTTACTAAATTAATTAAAATTTCGGAAAATCTAAATGCTGGCTCTTTCCTTGCACAAAGGCTTAGTATTGCCATTCAGCGAGGAAATGCAGCCAGCATTCTCGCCTCTTTGCCTCACGGACACACTTTTATTTTTGAGTAATATAAGTTTATATTTTTATTTTGTTTAGAGTTAAGTTTGCCTTAGTTTTAAAAAAAAAATTCTGTTTATTAGAATACTTAATTTAAGATGGTAAAAAATCTGTGGTGGGAATTTAATTGTATTTAATGGAGTTATTTGACCGTAAAGGTGGTTTTTACTGTTAAATTCAGCAGTATTAAGGACGTTTGTATAAGTATTTATGTTAAAAAAGTGAATCTTACCGTATATCAGCGTATAACCACAAAATTAGGTTCGCAATCTTTGTATAAACAAAAGAGGACGAGAGGTAATTGACCATTGTGACGCTCCCGGCCTTCCGAGTCCTCAGCATGACCACTATAATTAAGAAAAATAGAATTTCCGTCTCTCGGCTGTCTAATTCACAGTCTGCATCGGGGAACAAGAAGTTGCAAATTATAGATGTCCGCTTGCACGTGACGTAAGAAACACTAAGCAGAATGTTAACCCAGTAGTACGGCTTCAATAATTGCCGCAAATCGCCTTTGATAGCCATTGTTTTATTTTAATTTTCGTGAAATTTTACAGAATTTTTTGGCAGCCCCACTGCCAGAGGTTCGGATTTGACAACTAATGACATTTTCGTTCGGAAACTTTCAGCTTTTTTTATACATACGTTTTACGGCTATGGACAAAATTTATACAGCCTATTTAAAAAAAAAATCTTCTGAAATCTCACTTATCATCAGAAACTGTATTTTTCTTTCATAATCTAAGGTTCTGCTATTTAAGAAATAAGTACACCCCTTACAATATGGTACAGCTTTGAGCTACCAGCAGCTCTTAGTTTCTTCTCTGGCTTAGCGAGTACTAAAGTTACTCAAACAGCAATCGTCGGATAGTTCAGGGTCGCGAAGACATGGGTACAAGTTGTCATATGATTTATGTTATAACTATCTATCTGCCAGGATCCAGCTTTGCTTTGATTATACACTAACCGCCTCGTAAGGTCGTTTCGTTTGTGCTTGAAGTGGTTTCACCTTATTAGTCAAGTCTCCAGCGACTACAATGGGAATCGATCTGGCCCCTTATTTTCCTGTGTACCCTTGGCTGTTCCCTTGATGGTACAGTGGAAAATAAATTTTAACCGCTGTACCCTTGGCCGTAAAACCCAACCAACTTAAATTGTACATGTGACCAAGAGGACTAGCTTTTCTTGAATTTGGCCAAAAAACGAAAACAAATGAACATCGATAAAAACAAATGAAGTAACATGGATGTAGATAAAAGTAAAACCTAATTATAATTAATTTAGTACATGGAATAAAAACAATATTACGGCATTTTCCTGTACCACTTCTGAAATGTCAAAATTGTAGTACTGTCGACCGTCATGTAATAAAACAATACCGCCATTCCTCTCAATAAAACAAGGTATATCATCGTCAATGCAATGATAATATTCACAAAAAATATTGTAAAATCAGTTATGAAAAAACATTCACAGGGACAATTGCGCAGAAGAATAATCTCAAGATATCATATTTCTTTTTCAGAATAATAAAATTAGCCAAGTGCGTGTCGTGCCACGTGCAATGTAGGGTTCCGTAGTTGTCCGTCGTTAACACAATATATTTCAGAAAAACCAAGCAATTACTTCATCTAAAGTCACTTTTAATATTTTCTTCTAAGGAATTTTCACTACTTAAGAAATTTATAATACATGAGTTAAATGACTAGTAATCTAAAAAGAAACGGTTACATTAAAGAGGTTCAATTCAATATCAATCCTAAAATAGGTACAGGATTACACTTAAAATGGAAAACTATAGACTCAATCTCAGTAAACATAGGTAAATATTAAATCTCATTAAATATGGGCAACTAAAAAGTATTATCTAACTCCTAACTTACGAAGTTTGACCTTTCATCATCAGCTCACCTAAAAAACCTGAAGTAATACAACTGTATGTACTGTACGTACCTAAAATATTTAAAGAATTATTCTCCAACTCCTAACCTTTAAGGAGTTTTACCTTCCATCATCACCTCATCAACATTAGATGATAACTACCAGATGCATATACTTGAATATTTTTAGAATAAATATGAAAAACGATATACGTGCTTATAAAATTTAAGGGTTGCCCTCGATTTCCCTAGGATCCCATCATCAGATCCTGACTTGGTGACAATGGGACCACCTCAGAAGTGTACCCTATCGAACAAAAAAAAAATGTTGAAAATCGGTCCACAATTGACGGAGTAATCGGTGAACATAAATAGAAAAAAAAACATTACATAAAGCCGAACATAATATTATTATAACCTCCTCCTTTTTTGAAGTCGGTTAAAAATGGCGTAATATTGTCTTTATTCTATGTACTTAATTAATTATAATGTACTAATTAATTATAATTAGGTTTTACTTTTATCTACATCCATGTTACTTCATTTGTTTTTATCGATGTTCATTTGTTTTTGATTTTTGCCCAAATTCAAGAAAAGCTAGTCCTCTTGGTCACGTGTACAATTTAAGTTGGTTGGGTTTTACGGCCAAGGGTACAGCGGTTAAAATTTATTTTCCACTGTACCATCAAGGGAACAGCCAAGGGTACACAGGAAAATAAGGGGATCTGGCGTTGAACAGTCCTAAGTCTAATGGGCTAACTGTGGCCTATTTCTTCCAGTTTGGTTACAGTTAAAAAATAGCCTTAGCTCTTTGCTATTACCATTAGCCTAGGCGCAGACCAATGGACTTTTAGTTGGGCCCGATTCTAATTTTGTAGATACAAAATTGGTGTAATGTGCGCACTTTTATACAAGTCTATACTGATCAACAGCCTGTACCCAACTAAAAATCGGTGGTCTGTGCCTAGGCTAACTTTGATAGAAAGGATTTTTTTTAGACTGTCATGATTTAGGTACTATTTACTTCAATAAAACAAAATAATATTGAAACTTCATTTTATTAAAAATAACTTAAAATTAAGCTCTAACATCTATTACATCATCCGTAATATTAACATGTTTATTTGATTATAACATTAAATTACGTCATAGACATCAAACTAGAATTAACATTGAGCTATTTTAGACTTGACTGCACTGTGTGCTTCAGTCTCTCACAGTCGACTGCACATTTCTGCTGTAATATCACCCCTATTACAACTATATTACGTCAGTATTTACATTGTGCCGTCGTCTGTAAATCACAATAGTATTGCGTGCCATCCACGAAGACGCGCCCCACTATTCTTCTGCTAATGTTTGTGTTATAGGTATACGCTAAATCATCCATGAGTGCACACACGCACACTACAATGACGCTCGGATTGCTCGGATCAAACTCCCCGCACCCCGCGCAACCGAGACCAAACATTGGTGGGGCGCGTCTTCGTGAATGGCAAGATCTATAAATCACAAAGTAATCAATGCTTAATAAAAGAAGAAGAAATACATATAGAAGAAAGAAGAAGTGTTGACTATTGGTTAAAAATATTTCGGGAGAAAATGCAACTTGATCTTCCCATATTTTCCCGAATCACTATCTGGGGGAAGAAAACACGAAAAATACCAACTTTCCTCATTTGGAAAGCCAGTCCGGGGAAGATGGGAATACCCCCTATTTTCTGTTTTTACTATACTAATTTACTAACAAACAATATTTTTGACTCAAAGGCAACTGTTTGCTTCCAGAAACCACAATTTTATTCCGTAGAGGAACTTATAATGCATTTAAAAAGGCCTTTGAAAGAATACTAATGCCCGATTACCACCAAAGCGGTGAAATGTTTGAATAATCAATCGGATTTCACTTTTTTCCGTATCACCTCTCCGCTCCGCTTCGATGGAAGCCGGCCCAAAGGCTTGGCTGCCATGATGGTCCATTTCATAAAAATACCATCTACATCGAATCAAGAGAGGGTATCAGGAGAATAACGCATTTTATAGCTCTTCCGCAACGGGTTTTCCAAATCGGGCATATCCTTTACATCCATAGACGGGACTTCAATCGTTATTTTTTGTATTCCCGAGTCAATTTTAATTCGATGCGACTTCTCTATGTGTTTCTTCAAGTCGTATCCTCTGACAAAAGTGGCTGAACAATGCATGCATTTCACGAACTGCCCTTTCCCGTGACGTCTCTTAGCGTGTTCCGATCTCCTTGAAGCCGATATGAAGTTCTCTCCGCACTCCTCACAGTTGTAAGGTTTCTCTCCAGTATGTCTCCGTTTATGGTAGACAGCAGCCATTCGAGACACTAACTTAGCACCGCAAATGTCACACTCGAAGTTCCTAACCCTAGTATGCACCACTGTATGTTCAGCTAAACGCGCGGGCGTATAAAACCTCTTTCCGCACCACTGGCACTGATGAGGCCTCACATCCATGTGTATCCAGATTATATGATTCTTGAGCTGGGGCCGAGACGTGTACGTTTTTCCACAGTAATCACAAGTGTATGTCGCCGGATCGCGGATATTCGACCGTTTATTTCTCGGCAACGATTGCGTGTCAGGCCTCGCGTCCGGTTCGCATTTCGACCTGTGCTCTCTGTAGCAGCTGCGATTCGCGAACTGTTTGCCACAAGTCCGGCAAGTCCTGACCGCGTGCATCTGAGAATGCGTGTCAAACGACGACTGTCTCGGAAACGTTCGTCCGCAATCAGCACAAGTCAACGAACCTAGTTTGTGCGCTTTTTTAACGTGTTTCTCTAAACGCAGCTCGTTTGTGAACAGCAACGGACACTGCTTGCACGAGATGACGCTTTCTCCATGCACTTTGGAGAGATGTTCCTTCATTTCACGTCCTCTAATGACGACGGCGCCGCAAGTTGCGCACGCTTCCTTCTGCCCGCTGTTGCTGAAGTGCAGGCACAAATAATACGGACTGTAGAAGGATTTTCCACAGTCTGGGCACGTGCAAGCCGGCCCAGACCTATGACTGCGTGGTTTCTTATCTGGATTATGTTTTTTCTTCGTCAATCTGTTTTTCAGCCGGTTCAGCATAGTTTTCGTGTCTCCACCGGTGTAATCTTTGACTGTGTGTACAGCTAGAGAATCAGATTTGATGAAGGCGCACAGAGACTTCACGGAAGGGGCAGAGGATTGGGGGATCTCGTTGAGAGCTTCAACTGCTTTTGACCAGAGTTTGAGCGAATTTTGCGTCAACATTCTAAACTCTTGGACGGCCAGTGCGGCCGCGGCGCATGTGGCGCATATTCCGACCGGCACATACTGCTCTTCTACCATCTGTAATTGAGAAGCGGTTTTTGATAGAATTTGTTAATCTATTACGATTAAAAATTGGGTAATTGACGTTACCTACCAATTTCAATAATTTTGTGCGACTTATAAACGTACTAGCTTTCCGCCCGCGGCTTCGCCCGCGTGGAATTTTGTCTGTCACAGAAAAACTTTATCGCGCGCGTCCCTCTTTCAAAAACCGGGATAAAAACTATCCTATGTTCTTTCCCGAGACTCAAACTATCTCTATGCCAAATTTCATCAAAATCGGTTGCGAGGTTTAAGCGGGAAAGCGTAACAGACAGACAGACAGACAGACAGACAGACAGACAGACAGAGTTACTTTCGCATTTATAATATTAGTTGGGATTCTTTATGCATGACAAGGAACACCATAGATTTTGTACAGCAATAGATTATGAGGCCAAAATTGATCGCAAACTAAATTGACTAACGATTACTGAATTCAAAGCCACTAAAAATGGCTACAAGAAGTATCTTTAAAGATGTTCTTCGAAATTATTGGCTGATGGTGTCAATTACCCAAGTAAAGTTTTAGAAGGTGTCACAAGTCACAAAGTTAAAGTTAACATTTTTCGATTATAATGAAAACAATCATTTATTTTCGAAAATAACATTTTTATACAAAATCAAACGGGATCAAAGAATGAATTATCAGTCAAAAAATATGTTTTACATTGCAACTATGAAAGATCAATATTATTATACTGACAAAAAGTACTCACGCCCGTATTCACAAAGATTACTATGAGGTCTCAAAATGCGCGTGGACGCACAGGGTGACACATGAACGTTGTGCGTTCGATTTGATCCTTCACATAAGCAAGCATCGTTTGTGAATAAAAGGGCGTCAATACTCTAGTAACATAGGATTTGTTGATAGCTAAAAATTGGAACATGCATTTTCATAATGTCAAAAATCTGTTAAATCATCAAGATTATTAATGCTATTTACAAAGAACGAAAAAACTTAGGTTTTCACATGATCATAACCAACAAAGTAAGAACAAAAATCGTCATATTTTGTCGAAATGCATACAATACAAAAGTATTTATTTCTACACCCACGTCATTCAGTCAATGCCTACCCAATAATTCTGTGCCTGGCGATAGTTTGGACGATCAAATTTGAGGGAATGGACAGACAAGTAGTGTTTTTTCAGTTCAAAAGGCCTAACGAATCTAGCAGAGCATTCTTCACAGCCGTGCGGCATGTCTTTAGTGCTTCTGTGCCTGCGTTTGATATGATCGGACCTCCTAGAAGCAGACAGAAACCTATCCCCGCACTCTTCACACTCATACGGCTTCTCACCAGAGTGTATTCGCTGGTGGAGGTGGAAACCTAGTTCCGTACGCATTTTCGCTCCACAATGACAGACAAACAACCGCCTTTGCAGTTTATGGACTAGCTCATGGGATCTTAGATGAGAAATCGTCGATGTACGCTTCCCGCAAGTCTCGCAAACGTACGGCAACACGTTCAAGTGTTTCTGTATGATATGGATCCGTAGAGATGGCTTTTTAGTGTACGTAGAGCCGCAGTGGTCACATTCGTACCGATTAAAACGGTTCACAGCTTTATTCGCTTTAGTCCGCCGGGCGTTGCATACTTTTTGATGGTAAATGTAACACTTGCGGTTCTCGTAACATTTCTCACAGGAACTACAATGGAATATGGAATGCGAGTACGCATGAGCGCTTAAAGCTCTTTCACTGTTGAAACACACACCGCACACTTTGCACTGAAGTTTAAAATCTCCGTGACAGTTCAAAAGGTGGGCATTAAGTAGCTGCGTGTCGTCAAACACTTGGTGACAGCTGCCGCAAGAGAAAACACACTTCCCGTGTTCGCTGCTCAGATGCCCAGCCAATTTAACTTTCGGTACGACCTCACCGCAAAAGTTGCAGGCTCGTTTCAGGGTATTCCGCAAGTGGTTATTCAGGAACGATATGACGTTGAATTTCTTACCACAGTCGGCGCAGTTATACGGACGCCCGCGAGCTCTTTCGACTTTCTTAGGCTTTACTTCGATTGGATCCTGAAAATGGGAGTTCAGTCGGCAGAGCGCTTTCTCTGTACTCGCGGCGGACTCCGTCTGGTCGCCGATAATAGTCTTTTCCTGCGCACCGTAGAATATGTAGTACACTTTATCGTTCTCCGTCGGGTCTTGGATATTTGTGAGGAAGTCGGCGGCGTGGGACCACTGGTTGTGGGATTCCATGCAGGCTTGCCGGAAGGTGATCGCGGCGAGCGCGCTTTCCGAGCAATCGCGACACAGTCCCGGCGGCAATTCCTTGTCATCCGCCACCTGAAACGACGTCATCAATCAGTCCGTTCCTCTTGCGATCACCTTAATTTAACCTATTTGAAGCACGAATTAAAAAAAAATCAACACTGTTATTGATCCCAGCCTACGGTTTCGTGTTGGGATTTAAGATGGCTGTTTAAAGACCGTTTGGAATTGAACGCAAGGTCGCAAACGATGCAACCGTACATTTTACGCTTCCTAGGTTTACGCAGAGGGGTGTATTCCCTCAGTTCGCCGTTTTCATCGAAATGTTTTTTGTGATGTCTCTCGTATCCTCTCCGGGTGCTGTATTTCGCGTCGCAAATGCTGCAGACGTATCTATCTTCGACCCTGTTGTGAGTGTTGTCGTGTTCCCTTAAGTGAGCGGCGTTACAGAATGTTTTGCCACACTGATCGCACTGGTGCTGCCAGCCTACTATGTGGCTGTACCGGATGTGATGTCTCAGAGCGTCTTTGAATCGGTACTCTCTGGAACAGTAGTCGCAGATATACTTCTCCGCCTTGCTTGAATTGGTGCACCGTTTCGAGTGGTAAGCGTAACACTGCAAGCTAGTGAACCTGATATCGCACCCTCTGCATATCCTTTCTTTATGCTTGTACGAGCAATGAGCGTTCAAATTGAATTGAGATGGGAATCTTTTGTTGCATTCAAAACACACGTGATTCCCTACATTCCTGGACTTTGTTGAACTACAAAAATGTTTGTGTTTCTTAAAATTCTTTTGCGATCTAAAATATCTGTTGCACGCTTTGCATAAAAACACCGTAGCTTGGTGAACGACTCTGACATGGTTCTCGAAAGAATCCGTAGGTATAATACGATTGCAATAGATGCACATCTTCATCCGTATGTCTTTGATATGTTTATTCAACTCATAGACCGATGGGGATTTTTTCCCGCACTTAGGACACTTCAATTGACCCAAAGGTATTCTTCCTAACCTATGGTTAGTACTGGAAGCCTTCATTCTTTTCCTGCTTTTATTAATCATTGTGATGTCATCGTCTATGAAGACGTACGCTCTCTCTTTCACGTCAGACACGTCCATTTCGTACAAATATTCAGTGACCTCATCCCATTTTTGCTGGGAAGCGCTGCAGAGCTGGATGAAAGGCACGGCCAGCTTTGCGGACGCGACACAGGCGTTGCAGGCCATCGAAGGCAGCGAAGGCGCCAAGTCAACCTGGAACAACGTTCCTGTCACTCAGCCAATGTCCAATCTCGGTTGTATGGTTTATTCTGTCCGCTTTTTCAAGGTGGTTAGAGATGCTATATTTGGGACTTGTAAGTGCCCTGTGAAGGCCTTTACTAGTGAATCTTTGACATTTATATCGGCAAGTAATCTTGTAAGAGGGAGTTTATATACGGTCATGGAGGAAATATCAAGTATTAGATGGGTGGGTAGGCTTTAAGTAACAAAATGCTGAGGCATTACTTGTCCAATCGTTAAGATGCTTGGACAAGTAAGTAAAGACCTGGCTGGGGCCATGGAAAATTGGGGTCACATTTTTGGTCAGGAACAATAATAATAACCACAATACGAAACAAGAATTAGGCTAAATATCAGACGATTTTCAACGTTGCAGATACAAAAATAAAAAACAACTTCTAAAATTACCTAACTAGTGATCTACACCAGCATTGTATGGTAATTTTTACAATGCTTGTATAAGTAGCTGCAGATAATTTTCCTATACGACCAGAATAGATATTGTGGCATGTACCCAAAATTATTAAATACAATAAGGTTAGTGAGTTAAACATTTACTCATCAAAAATGTCAAGAGAAACTCATGCAGACACATAAATCAGTTACAATCTAGGCTTTCTTTAAGCGAGATAGTAATAGTACATACCTACTATTTCATGATCATGAAGGATTAATAAAGTAAATAGAGTAAATTACATAATACACAACGCATCATCAGTAGAGTGCGTTTAGATAGGGCAAACATAAAATTGAAAACAGGTTTCTTTTCAAATAATAGCATATCAAAATATACAGTAGAAAAAAAGAGCAATTTAGTACACCAGGTAGGTATTTGGTGTGGTCATTATATTAATTTTAATAGTAGAAAAATGTAACAAAAACAATACAAAATATTTATAAAATGTAAAAATGTCATTCAGTCAATATTTGTAACTTCCACTTCGTCTCCTTTAGCAAAAACTTTAATCGGAATAATTATCTTTCTAGGTCTTCGAATGAATCCTTTCTGGTGTTTTCTGCTATGATGAACCAGCCCTCTGCACGTTTTGAATTTTTCCTGACATTCAGGGCATTCAAATAACGCGTTTTCATCGATTGGGTCGCTGTGAACGTCTGATATATGCCTCTTCAATTTAAATGGGAAAGGAAATCTAGCCGGACAAAGATGACAAGCATGTTTGTTCAAATTATCAGCGCTGTGCTTTCTTTCTAATGTGCTCTGACCTCCTTGACGAAGCAGAGAACGTTTCTCCGCATTGACTACAAAGATAAGGCTTCTCTCCAGTGTGTAAACGTAAGTGCTGTGTGTAGCCCAGTCGTGTTTTCAAGACAAGGCAACAGATGTCACATTTGTACATGGATTTTTCGTGACTTTTTAAATGAGAAGACATGTGAGCAGCTGCAAATGACTTCCCACAGTGTGGGCATGGTGTGTGCGTGTTCTTAAGATGCACTATTTGGATGTGAGCGTTCACAAACTTCTTTCCAGCAAACTTTTTATTGCAGTAGTCGCAAATGCACTCATTTTGAGCACTGCCTCTCAGTCCGACCCGGACCTTTTTTCTGCTCAACTTATTTTTTACTTCAATAGTCACTTTGTTTTTAGTTCTGATCGTATCTTGGCGGTTCTTGTCCAAATTGCAACATGTTCGAACATGGTGGATGTAGCATGGCTGGTTACGGTACACCTTGTCGCAGCCTGGACATGTTTTCAAAAGATGCATGTTGTGGTGAGCAACGTACGCATGATTCGTTTGGAAACTGCGACCACAGTCTCCACACGTGCAAGCTCCTTTAGCGTGATCTGCTTCGACATGTCTTAAATATTTAATCTTAGACAAAAATAGCGCAGGACATTTTTTACATGCGTACAGTTTTGTTTTATGATAGACGTGTAAATGTTCCACCATATCGTTCCTAGGCATTATTTTAGCGCAAATATGACACGCTCTCTTGTAGTCCGACGAGTATTTCAAGTGTTGTGACAAGTGCTCAGCGTATCGGAACTCTTTTTGACACATCGGACAGAAGCATTTCAATTTTTTGTACCGTTTGCGGGTTTTTTCTTTAACAAGAACCGGTGTTACACTGCGAGATTTCTCCTTGACAAGACCATTTTGAACGTCCTCTTCCGTACTGTTTTCTTCCAAGTCTATATTTGTTGTAATCATCATCTCGTTACCTTCTATGAAGGCATAGAGCTTTGTGCTTCTATCGGACACCGTTTCTGGAGTTGGGAGGTTGCTTAGCAGTTGCAACATCGAGTTCCATTGGTCGCCTGCCTTCTTGCAGAGTGCGGAGAAGTTAACAGCGGCTACCGCTGATCCAGTGCATACTGAGCAAAGGCCTTGAGGCAGGTACGCTGCCTCTGGTACCTGCAAGCACCGCATTGGTCAGCAGTTCACGATCTTATGTGCTGGTCTCTTCAGGACTGCTATTCCGAACTATAAACGCTTTCTTCAATAAATATTTGGGTTCTTAATATTTACAGAGATAGTTTAAAGCTTAACATTTGGAGTCAAATAACATGTTTCGTGTATAAATACCATGGTGTTTATTAATTTACTTATTTTAATAGTCATGACAGTGAAAACTCAAGACATAACCTTAGCTAATAACTAGCTTCGTAAACGCTTTTTAAAATGGTTAAAATTGATGATTTAACTTAAAAATACTATGAAATGTCGCTTAATAATCATATTTGCTGAGTGAAAACGGATGTAGCCTACTTATTTCTAATAAATTAGTGCAGCATCATAAAAAATTATTCATTTTCCAATTTCCATCCGCCATTTTGTTTTCATCAAGGCGGGAATGACGCGTTCCGTTCTTCGCAGAAAATAAACAATTTAGATGATTGCTGCACTACAAAATATAGGTTTGTAAACCCACCTCGATGCCTGTGATCAACTCCAGGAGATCAGCAAGGGTGACTGATCTCTCCCCATCCATCATCACGGTATCTTCTAGGAAAACTTGGCCTTCCGACGTATCGCCCATACATATTCGACATTTGTTTGCACCGTCTCCACGCACCAAATGGGAGACCAACGCCTTCACATCTATCTCTCTACTCATGTTGAAAGTTTATGGGTTTTCCAGGCTGAATTTCTAAGTAAAAACTATTTTTTGATAAGAAATACGAAAAGTACACGCTCCGCTCATGCAGTCAGCTTTCTTTTGACAGGTATAGAGATGTTCCCATATGGTTTGAGAAAAGGTCCATCGATTCAAACGAATAAAATCGAATATCTAATATTATTTTACAGTATTTATTAGTAATGGATTCATTAGTATTATCATTAATCATTAGTATGGGAAATCATAATTAGCAATAATTTAATTAATTGAAGTTGCAAAATTTCATTAAAGCTAAAATTCTTAACAACTCATTTATTATTTTAGAATTTCATATGATTTGCATTTTTAACCCGAAATCACAACATGAACTCGAAATACCACTCACTGATTAATCACGAAATTCACGAAATCTCAGAAACTATAACACCTACAAACTTGTTGGTAGGTAGGTTTCTAATAGAAAGTAGACATCCATTGACAGATTTTACGAAACTACACCCCTAAGAAAGTAAATGGTAGCGGGTGGCCGCAATGAGGTAAAATGACAAATTCATTAAGAAGACTTCAAAATAATAAAAAAGTAACAGTTTAACCTACAGCTGACAGCATATTCAGACTATAGCTAAAGAAACTAAGAAACAAGTTTGTATAGTTTTTATGAGAAGTTCAGTTCATTATTAGGTAATTTATAAAATAAATTGGACTTTTAAAACAAATAAAGAATTATTATTTACGTTACCAATCAAAATCAAAATTATCTTTATTTGTACTTACAAATCGTCAAATTAATGCTTGTCTCATTCTTTTTTTGCCCTACTAGCGCTTCGAGACAAACATTTGGCAACTGCTATTTATAAGACACTAGCTTTCCACCCGCGTGGAATTTTCGATTTTTATAAAACCTATGACACTCAGCAATTACGTGGCTTTCTATTGATGAAATAATTTTTTAAATCGGTTCGGTAGATCCCGAGATTCCCCCTTACAATTTTACAAATGAACAAACACACAAACTTTACCTCTTTATAATATTAGTATAGATAACTATCTAGACTCTCTTGCAATGTGTAAAAATTGTCCAAAGACTTATTTATTTAAAACTATTTTAAACTAGCTTTCCGCCCACGGCTTCGACAGTGCGTTGAATTTCGTTTGTTAAATTTTCCCGAATTTTCTTTGCTATAAACCTCACGGAGCCCGAGACCTTTCCAACGAATGCAAAACCGTGGAAATCGGTTCGTGCGTTCTGGAGTTATAGCGTCAGGGAGGAAAACCCGACTTATTTTTATATAGTAGATTTTAATAATTTAATTAGTTGTGTAATCGATTAATCGATATGAATGTAATTATTACATCACTACTTGATGCTGATTGGTCGTTTCTAAGGACCAATCAGAACGAAGCAATTTTGGTCTTGTTGCCATTTTTGAAATTTATATTACCCCAATTTACATAAAAATAGTTACAATGATACAATTTATTTTTTCTAATAAATTATGATTTAAGTTGTATAGCCTGACCAGGAACATAAAAACCCTCGCCATGTTGCGGAAAACTAATGGTACTAATTTCTTTTAATGGCAACAGTTACTGAAAACTTCATTAACATGTCACCTTGCATGTCAGTCTATTGCTGTCAAAGTGTAAACAAACTTTATTTTAAATGTGTGCAATTGATTTTGTGAATTAAATTGCTAAAATATTTTTATAGTCGTGAAAGAAAAGTGGTTCACAATGTGTTAATGTATTTGTCGAAGAGAAATACCAAGGGTTCGGACAATATTTTCATTGAATAATGTTTGGTGCCGGTTGGTGGGCACCATAAAACATCTTGTATCAGTGACTTCTGTAGAGGTTCTATGAAAATATAACTCGCGCTAAGTTTGATAACGTGGTTTATTCATGAGCTTAAACACAGTACATTTTACTTGCACAATTATTTATAATTCGCGGGCGAGTCTAATAGTACGAAGTGTCATCTGGCGGCCGCCTGCCTAGCGAGTCTTCATGTTGGTAGCGAAAGCAGTATTGCCAACCACACGATGACATTTCGCTACAAATGTTTCCGACAAAGGTTGTCAAATTGACTGATATGTTTATCGTATAGTACAGTCCACTATGAAAATTAGCTGTAGTTTGTTTCAACTACCTATTTTAAAGTTTTTTGTCACTTTCTCAGTTTTAAATTTTATGAAATTGGGAAAGAAGTACCGAGTTTGAAGCGTTCATGAGCAGACATTGCAGTTGAATATTCAATTTCTGAATTTGATTATTGATGAATAATAAAATAAATCCTACTAGCTCGATTGATGATTTCATTTAATTTATTTAAACCAGGTTACCTTATTAATAATATTTTTTCGTTAATTTATGAAAATATCAAATTAGCCCGTAATCCTGAATCATGATACATAAATTTAGCCTATTAATTTAACACAGGTACGAACTGTACTCAGTGTTGCACTATCAAATGCAATTGACGCGCCTCTATGCCAGGGTTTTTATGTTCCTGGTCAGGCTATATGTCGCTGTACTTAGACCGTGTAATTAATCAAAGTGCCACTATTATAAGAATGAATCTCAGAATGGATGTAGTTTTCGGTCCTGTTTTTTCTTATCTCATTCTTGTTTATCAATGCGGCATGCATACCTATAGTCTTTTCTTGTTCTTTTACCCATTGTTCTGGTAAAAAATTTGCTTAATGGTAACATCAGTTAATGCTGTCAGTTCTAGCTGTCAAACAAATTGACATTGTCAAAATTTCGCTATTGTTTGTGAATCATCGGAAAGCAAAATGGTAATTAAATTTGTAAATATGTAATGAATCTCCTAACTTAAAGTAATTTGAACGTAATTGTATGATTTTTGCGGGCTTAAATTACACACCAGTGCGAATATTTATTGTGAAAATAGTGTTTTTCTTAGTGAAAAAGTGATAAGAAATGACAGGTTCTAAGATTCTAGAAAATGATTATTTTTAGCTATTTACAGTGTTAATATTGTACTATGTTTGTGATTATGGGTAAAGATGACACAAACTATCTTACTTTGATATAATATTTCATTTTTTAAACATTCTAATAATAAAAAATCTTTGTTTTTCCGCTAGCCGACTGTCATTTTTGTAACCTCCCTATTCTGCGACCAACTGCTCACATGATTTGCAAAACTTCACATAAAAATCCATCACGTGATGTATTCAACTTAATAATTCAATTACTCGCACCATTAAATATCTTCTGAAGTGATTTTCTTAGATAATCTTAAGTTAAAACCAATTTTTATTGACAATGGAACTTGTTGATTACTCATAGATTTCTATCCATAATAACATGAAATTATGCTTTTCCTTTTATTTTAAGACGAGTATATTACCAATTTATTTGAAGACTGCAATATGAGTTGATAAAGAATCAAATGTTTCCTTTCCTTTCCTTTACAAATGTTAGTTAATAATTGCTCTTGTTTTAGCTTGAATTAAATGTCCCTATAGTTGTTATGTTAGGTTCTGGTATTCACTGGTTATCTGGAGAAAATAATGTATTTTTAAAAACATTTGGGTAATAAAACACCTTTACAACTCACAACTTCTCCAAAGTAAATTCACACACATTTTACATAGACAACATTCTACGATTCAATGATTATAAAACACGGATCCAATTTCTGAATCCCTCTTGAGGACACCTAACATTTATGAGATCAAACATCCCAGTCAACAACGCACTTCATCGTTACTACACAACTAACGTTTGCTGAACGTTATCGTTCACAGCAACCACAAATCCTAGTGCTGAAGGAGGGGACGGACCAGTCCCAGGGCAAGCCGCAGCTGATATCCAACATCAATGCGTGCCAGCTGGTTGTGGATGCGGTGAGTTAAACGTGCCTTTATGTTGCTGTTAGATGAAATCTGTTGCTGTTCGTAACATTCTGCTGTTAGAATTAAAAGATTCATTACTTTTGTTCCCATTTAATGTCATAAATGTAAGTGATACCTAAACTGGTAAAAGGGTGTTTCTCCTTTCTCTACAAACACTAAAACTGTTCTACTCTTAAAAATTTCATTAAAATAATTTAAACAAAAAAATGTGTTATTGTAGTAGTACTCTGGAGTGACTCACTCTATCTTTTAATTTTCTACCAATAGAGAAACTACTTTTATTTTCTGTAACACCTGGTATATTATATTAATATTACTGTATTTATTTTCCAGGTCCGAACGACCCTGGGCCCTCGTGGCATGGACAAACTGATCGTAGACCACTCCGGCAAGTCAGTTATATCCAACGATGGTGCTACTATCATGAAGGTATGTATACCATGAATATTATACCCGCGACTGTGCGACGGGCGCCCGCAGTGAGTGTGCGAGCGCGACAGCAACAACATTACGCGCGAGCGATAAGGATGGGTAGCTTGGGGTCATTGGACAAAATTCTACGTGCTCACGGACCGGGCTTTAGATTAAGAATCACAGATATCAGATGAATCATTTAGGCCTGGTTCTTTTTATGCATAACAAGGCAGGTATTTGACTACAATCGCACCTGGTGTTAAGTGACGTGAGATGCAGCCTAGGATGGTACATATCTGCCCTGTAAGTGCCTATTCACTCTCGCCTTGAAAAGGCCTGGATTATAGCAGAGTAAATACAAATGAGTAGGTCATCTTCACAGAAACCCCGAGCGCGGTTTGTATGTGAGCGCGCCAATACGTATGCGGCGCGCACGCACACACTGACAAAATTCGGGGCAACTCCCCGCTAATCCACGCTAAATTTTGTATTCACTCTGATTATAGTCTTCGGGCAAGACAGCAGCTTTTTTGGTCACAAAGACTCAACTAAATTACCTGTGAAACTACTAATAGAGCTAGGCAAAACAAATAATAATAGGCACTGCATGATTTTTTTATTAAAACAATTTTGTATTGTTTTTTACAGTTGCTGGACATCGTACATCCTGCCGCGAAAACGCTGGTTGACATCGCCAAATCACAGGATGCCGAGGTAAATAATTGATTATTTTAAAGGACAGATAAAAACTGCTGTACCTTATGTTCGTTCGTTTCAGCCGAATGACGTCCACTGCTGGACATAGGCCTCCCCCAAGGATTTCCATAACGTCTGGTCTTGCGTCGTCAATCGTCGGTCCACCTAGTGGAGGGCCCACACCACGTGCGTGCGATAGAGCGTGCTATGCTCGGAGTTCCCTTGCGTGAACGAATCAGAAATGAGGAGATCCGCAGGAGAACCAAAGTGAAGTGACCGACATAGCTCGCAGAATTGCTAAAATCAACTGGCAGTGGGCGGGGCACATAGCTCGCAGAGTACCTTGTGTAAAGCCCGGTCCGTGAGCACGTAGAATTTCGTCCAATGACCCCAAGCTACCCGTCCTTATCGCGACTGTGCGACGGGCGCCCGCAGTGAGTGTGCGAGCGCGACAGCAATTTAATTACGCGCGAGCGATAAGGATGGGTTCTTTCGTTCGTTCGTTTCAGCCAAATGACGTCCACTGCTGGACAAAGGCCTCCTCCAAGGTTTTCCACAATGCACGGTCCTGCGCTGCCCGCATCCAGGCTCTTCCCGCGACCTTTACGAGATCGTCGGTCCACCTAGTAGGAGGCCTGCCCACGCTACGGATGGGTAGCTTGGGGTCATTGGACAAAATTCTACGTGCTCGCAGACCAGACTATAGTCACAAAAATGTATACATTTTCAATGATTATAAAACACGGATCCAATTTCCGAATTTATATTGCGGACACACGATTATATGAGATGATTCTTTCATAAAAACTGGCCACAGCAATATGTACTTTGTGAATAAACACACAATTAATTTCAGGTCGGAGACGGAACCACGTCGGTGGTCATTTTGGCTGGAGAACTGTTGAAGAGAGTGAAGCCTTTCATTGAAGAAGGTAATTATTTTTTGCTTATTTATACTTGTCTTACTTTATATCGCACGCGTGTCCTGTAATAAAAAAGAGGTCATGAAGTTCCTGTTGTAGTATAAAGAGCTATAGTTTTCTGATTAAAGAAAAATAAAAAAGTCAGGTAGTTAATTAGAACTAATCCACCCACCTGGAGGTAGGCAGCGCAGGACCGTTGTGGAAATTGTTGGGGAAGTCTGTCCAGCAGTGGATGTCTTTTGTCTGAAATGGACAAAAAAATTAAGCCACCTATAAATTATTGCTGCAAGTCTTTTATGTATTACTCTTATCACTGATTTGGGTCAATAAATGTAGGGCTCTACCTTCGGGCTCTTTCTAATTAGACGTTGTGAGCAGGAGCGTTGTCGTGCGTTGGGGGTCCTGCAAACAAGAAACAATGTTCGGCTCAAAACATCTTATTTGAGCCCTAAGCCTCTCCCCCCCAGACTACTGACTTAGTCAAACGATAGTTGAGACCGATTCTAATTAGTATGAAGAATCAGCCGATACCAAATAGGTGTAATGTGCTTGTCTACTCACGGACATAGCCCGCGGGCGGCGTGACCGGAGGGAGCGGCGAGCGTTCGGCGAACGTACGAGCAATGTTTGGTTCGCGAGCGAACATCGAGGAAGATGATCCTAACGCACTCTCTTCAACGACTTTGCACTAAACGGTCTTGATAATATTGTAATTTTATACCAAATAGATAATAAATTTCATACAGTCCACTCTTTTAATTTATAAACCACTACACACACTATCGAAGTAACATATTGGTCCTTCGAGCCGGATCAACTGCTTACTTTCGTACATCTTCATACTGATTGATTAACAGCCCGACCCAACTAACGGCCAACAAGTCTGTGGTCTGCGCCTAGGCTAAAACTCCACCGCCATGCAGAATACATTCAGCGCCATCTGTTACCATTTTAACGAACTTTCTATCACTTTGTTTCCCAGGCGTGCACCCACGCATAGTAGTGCGTGCGATGCGCACAGCGGCGCGTCTCTCCGTGGCTCGCGTGGGCGAACTGGCTGTGAAGATTGACAACAAGAGCCCTCATGAGCAGAGGTATGTATGCAGACTAAAGTCCGGTCGCCGAGCACGTAGAATTTCGTTTAATGACCCCGAGCTACCCATCCTTGTCGCTCGCACGTAATTATACAGGATGTTAGGTAAATGGGTATATGAGCCGACACTAGCCCATGTTAACATGGGCATATAAATGGTATGGTGAAGTCAGAAAATTGATATCATCATTTTACTTTTTTTTATTTTCATAAAAAATAAATTTTATAAAATCCGATTTGTATGAAAAATAAAATAATTAAAATGAAAATATAAATTTTCTGACTTCACCATACCATTTATATGACCATGTTAACATGGGCTAGTGTCGGCTCATATACCCATTTACCTAACATCCTGTATATAAAACTAGCGGCCGCCCGCGACTTCGTACGCGTGGATCCCGTTTTACCCCCTTAGGGGCGGAGTTTCGTAAAATCCTTTCTTAGCGGATGCCTACGTCATAACATCTACCTGCATGCCAAATTTCAGCCCGATCCGTCCAGTGGTTTGGGCTGTGCGTNTACGTACTTACGAGCACTGTACGTATGGTTAGACATCTTTCTAACACACATTCACTATTACCACACTCACTATCACACGTTCACACACTAACTATCCGCACGAGAAAACAATCAATAGTCGCAAGCGCATTCGACGCGATTCGACGGCCGAAGAAACCGAACTGGCCGTGCGAGAAACGCGAGGCGCGAGCGGTCCCTCGCAACAAAGGCACTGCCCCGCGCCCGCGCGGCGAGACTGACTGACCAATAACAGTCAAGCAATACGTCTATCGAATGTGTCGTCGTACTCGTCGTGAATCGGTACTCTTCATTTTCAACTACAAATTTACGTAATTTTTAACTTAACAAAAATGTAATTCTATCAACAAATGAGATTGTAAAAGCGGCGGCAAAAATACTTTGATTAATCTTTGTTAACTAAAGATCCGTCCTAGCATACTTAATAATAATTAATGCTTTAAGCATGCTTCCAAAATACTCAAATTTGAATGAATTGTAGATGCGCAATCGTTATTAATAAAACAATAAGAATATCAATACATTTTGATAGTTATTCCGTGTAATAAAGTTACGTTCATTTAAAATAATCACGAACAAGACGATGAATCTTTTTATGTTGAAGAATGGAAGTAATTGGTACGAAAGAAGTGCTAAAAGATATGAAATTTTGTTTAGTTTCTAAAATCAATCGAGTTTAAAAATAAAATCTTATCTTTTAATCTCCCATCGAAAGTGAAGGAGCAAGAGTTTGCCAGTGTGTTATTTCTAGGCGTTCAGATTGCAGTAATAAGTAAGTTAAGTTTTATTTTATTAATTACTATCGTAAAGACGTAAAATTTATTAAGTTAGAGAGCTAGAAATAATGAACCTGTGTGTAAGAGCATTTGTCATTTGTTTACAGTACTTTTTAATGATACAAGTTTATCACATCTGCTTACTGCCTGTGATTAACGATTAAAATTACGTTTATTTAGAATCGCGTGCATAACCATTATTTATTTCAAGTAAATTATGAAGAAAGGAAGTAATGAGTATGGAAGGAAGACTGAAAAAAACTGTGATATTCATGTGGTATTTTACTAGCTAGTTCTGAACCAATTGAAGAGAAAAAACAGTTAAACAAGTTACATATTTCTGTGCCGTCAGTTATTAATTTGGAATTAGATATTAGGTTTGGGAGAGCAGAGCTACTCTTAGTTTTGTTTGATGCAAGGCTATTAATGACTTCCCACATTTTTTTAGGTTGATTCTGTGTTCTATGGAATAAGCTATGGTAGTAGCTTTCCTTACACGTCTTGATTATTTTTTGGACCTTCTTTCGCTCCTTTACAAAACATTTCCTCAATTCTTCATTTCCTGGATTTCTTAAAGTTTCCTTCCACAGGTGATTTCTTGTATTTATTGAATTTATAATGTTCTTATTTATCCAGTCCTTCTGCGGTGGATTTAGTATTTTCGTTTTTTCTATTTTGCTTGTCTCAATGCTTTGTAATATACACTTTTCTAAGCCACAGTAGTTGTCCTCTACGCTATGTAGTGTTTTTGATATGCTCTCGTATAGTTTATCATAATCCAGTGCCGTATAATTAGTTTTTATTCTTTTTCTTGGTGCTAGCTTCCCAACTTCAAGGTATAATTGCTTATGGTCCGATAGGGATGATTCTATGATAGACAACTTGAAAGAATGATTAGTAATATTGGTGGTAACATGGTCTATTATTGTCCTTGTTGAGCTAGTTTCTCGCGTGCAGTAAATTGGGTTAATATTATTTAAGATTTTGTATCCGCATTCGCTAATTTCATTGATGTATTTCGTGACGTATGAATCTTTCTTAAGTAAATCTATGTTGAAGTCGCCAAAGACAAGAGTCCGTTTACGCTGCTCCAGTTGCGATGAGTAGATGTCAAGGAAACTATCTATGTCAGAATCTCCATCACGCTTATAAACAACTCCAATATTGAGTGATAATTTTTCCACGTATATCCATAAATAATGGTCACCGTTTTCAATCAAATCTTCTGTTACATTGAATTTTATCGAGTCATGAACAAAGATAGATACGCCACCACCCCTACTGTTCTGTCTGTAGTTATAAATATGTTTGTATCCCGGGATTTGATAAAAATTTGCATCATTTTCTGATATGATCCACGTTTCCGTAAATATCAACAAGTGTGTAGTCGTAGGTATGGTTTTCAGTAGGCACTTTATTTCATCGAATTTACCCTCACTACGTATACTGCGTAGATTAGTGTAGAAGAATCGTAGCGATGAAGGTATAAGTGGAATGTCTTCATATTTATTTACAATGCAATGGTCCAATCTTTTTGCGCATTTTTCTTTTAGTGGGGAGGCAGAACTCAGTTTTTTTGGCTAGTTTTGGCTTTGACAATCCGTGGCACTCCTTTGCTATATTTGAGAATCAGATCCTTTTCGCCATTTTCCAAACGATTACTTAACTCTCCCTTAACAGACTGTAGGTATTGTTTTTGTGCCGGTGTCTGGTCGTAGTAGATCTTGATATTTTCCGGGAATTTCGTCTTGTTTTGTAGTATAAGTTTTGCCGTTTCGCTTTTATGATAACATATTTTTAATGGGCGGTCTTTGCCCGGAACGTATTTGCCAAGTCGTATCGTTTTTAATGGTTTCGGGCAATCATTCAGTATCGGAGTTGTTAATTTTGAGAACTCTTCGATGTCATGGTTGCGTCGAGCATTATAATTTTTGTCAATTTTTTCGGGTATTCCTACGATAACAATGTTCTTCTCGCGTTCGGAACGTTCCTTTAGCTCGAGGATGAGGTTTTCATTGATATTTCAATATGGGAAATATATATCAAAAGTAAGTAACTGACGATTTATTCTGAGATTAATATTTACTCTTGTTTGGTCAAATCCACCCTAAACCACGTAACCGATAGCTATAAATATATTTGGAGTCTCGGGAAAGGATATAGGATAGTTTTTATCGTGGTTTTTTAAAAAGGGACGCGCGCAACGATGTTTTTCTGTGACAGATCAAAATTTCAAGCGGGCGAAGCCGTGAGCAAAAGCTAGTAAATGTCATTAAAGTAAATTATTTTCTGCAAATAGACTTAAAAACCGTTCTTTCCCGTCCCAATATTACTTTAAGCCTACCACTGCTTCGGGACAATAAATGGGCCAGTGCTGAGAAGAAGAAGCGCAAGAAACTCAGGTCACCTTTGTCAGCCTAAATGATAAATTATTGTTATGGCCAATGATTAAAAACTACGGATCCAATTTCCGAATGAGATGTGTGGATCAATGATAGTAGATATGAGGCCATTTTCTCACTACTCTAAACTCAATAACGGCTAGACTAATTCGTTTTTTTTTTCATTATAAAAGGAAAAATAAATTGGATGGAAAAAAGTAAAAATAGCACTTCTTTTCCCATACAAACAAATTGTTAATCATTTGTTGACAAAACCAAATTTTTCCGGGCTATTTTCCGAATATATACTATCTATACTAATATTATAAATGCGAAAGTAACTGTGTCTTGCTTTCACGCCTAAACCACTGAACCGATTTTGATGAATTTGGCTTAGAGATAGTTTTGAGTCCGGGAAAAGGACATATGATAGTTTTTATCCCGGTTTTTGAAACAGGGACGCGCGCGATAATGTTTTTTTGTGGCAGACAAAATTCAACGCAGGGATGCCGCGGGCGGAAAGCTAGTAAACAATAATAAATAATGCTTTTACCAATTATTTTCTTGTCATATTATCCACAGGTGCGTGTAGACAACGTGAAAGAATACCAGAAAGTAGTGGATGCTGAATGGCAGATTCTCTATGAGAAGTTGGAAGCTCTACACAAGAGTGGCGCTAACGTGGTGCTCAGCAAACTGCCTATTGGCGACGTGGCCACACAGTACTTTGCTGACCGGTGAGTTATTTTGCTGACCAGTGAGCTATTTAGCTGACCCGTTAGTTGCAGTGAGCTATTTTGCTGACCAGTGAGTTATGGGTATAGTGTGTTGTGGACACTTAGTAGTAGATACTGAAGTTGGAAGCTTTGCACAAGAGCGGTGCTAATGTGGTGCTCAGAAAACTGCCTATTGACGACGGGGTCACGCAGTACTTTGCTGACCAATGAGTTATTGTACTGACCATTGAGTTATTTTGCTGACCAGCGAGTTGTTTAGCTGACTATGAAGGTATTTCTAGTGTTATTCGGTTTGGCCAATGATTAAAAACAACGGATCCAATTTCTGAATGAGATGTGTGGATCAATGATAGTAGATATGAGGCCAATTTATTCCTAAGCAAAGCTAAAACCTACCCCCACCTAAGAACGAGCGACATTATGTCGGAGACTGCTTGCGATAGTGGAAAGCCGGTGACGGCTTATTCCACTATTCCCCGTTAACGCCAATTGGAACATATAATGGGGAATAATGAACTAAAAAGTTCATTAATCCCCATTACGTTCAAAATAAAATTCAAATATAACGGCGATTAATGAACTTTTTAGTTCATTATTCCCCATTTAAAAGCTCCAATTGGCGTTAACGGGGATAAGTGAACAAAAAGTTCACTAATCCCCGTTGACGGGGATTGTCAACGGGGAATAGTGGAATAAGCCAAGGCGACGATCAGCGACTTTAGGTGACTCTCGGCGACAGTCTGTCACTCGCGCCTTTTGACGTATAGTGAGTATACGTTAGTGATTGCCCGTTCTTGGAGAGTCGCGATACATCGGCGACTGTCGCCGATCGTCGCCGGCTTTATTTGCAAGCAATCCCTCCATAACGTCGCTCGTCTGCGAGCTATCTTAATGTGCTGCTGATAATACTTGTAGGCTATTCATTTATTTATCTAAATGTCAACAATAATAAATAATAGTAAANTACACCCGTTATAACAATGATAGATAAAATGTGTGAAAAGCCACCTTATTTTGAATAGATATGCGTGAACTGAAAAACCATCTTATTTTGATCCTAAAGACTCAACTCATTTGATTCTGTAGCTTTTATATGTTTATGAATTTTGAAAAAGATTTTTTTTTTATTTAGAACAATTTGTATTGTTTTTTTACAGTTGTTGGACATCGTACATCCTGCTGCGAAAACGCTGGTTGATATCGCCAAATCACAGGATGCCGAGGTAAATAATTGATTATTTTAAAGGACAGATAAAAACTGCTGTACCTTATGTTCGTTCGTTTCAGCCGAATGACGTCCACTGCTGGACATAGGCCTCCCCCAAGGATTTCCATAACGTCTGGTCTTGCGTCGTCAATCGTCGGTCCACCTAGTGGAGGGCCCACACTAAGTGCATGCGATAGAGCGTGCTATACTCGGAGTTTCCTTGCGTGAACGAATCAGAAATGAGGAGATCCGCAGGAGAACCAAAGTGACCGACATAGCTCGCAGAATCGCTAAAATCAACTGGCAGTGGGCGGGGCACATAGCTCGCAGAGTATCTTGTGTAAAGCCCGGTCTGTGAGCACGTAGAATTTTGTCCAATGACCCCAAGCTACCCATCCTTATCGCTCGCGCGTAATTATATTGCTGTCGCGACTGTGCGACGGGCGCCCGCAGTGAGTGCGAGCGCGACAGCAACATAATTACGCGCGAGCGATAAGGATGGGTAGCTTGGGGTCATTGGACAAAATTCTATGTGCTCGCAGACCAGACTATAGTCATAAGAACAGCTGTACACAAAAATGAACACGTTTTCAATGATTATAAAACACGGATCCAATTTCCGAATTGCCATTGCGGACACACGATTGTATGAGATGATTCTTTCGTAAAAACTTGCCTCAGCAATATTATGTACTTTGTGAATAAACACACAAAATGCATTTCAGGTCGGAGACGGAACCACATCTGTGGTAATTTTGGCTGGAGAACTGCTGAAGAGAGTGAAGCCTTTCATTGAAGAAGGTCAGTTTATTTAGTGTTATTTCTATTTGTCTTTTTTTATACATTCCATATTCGATGTTAATATTTTTTCGTGAAAAACTTAAAACAACTTTTCAAGAACACCGAGTTCTTAGTCCGTATTTTATAAGTTGGACATTTTCATTGGTCATAATTTTGACCGCATTTTAAGGTGCGGGATATTTATGTAACGCATTTCATAAGATCGACCGCCTTAATAGGCAGCAGGAAGGCACTAGATGCAGGCAGGTTTTTCTTAATCGTTATAAAAAAATATTGGACACGTATATTTTTATTTGTCAATCAAACAAGCAATTACGAAGTTAAGATGCGTTCAAGTTCCGCGTGACGTCAAAAAGTGCTACACTTTAAAGCATGCCTTGACGTCACGGACCTCTTCTTTTGAACTTTGGCGCACTTTATCTCTTTCAATGTTCATTAGTTTGAAGAGGTTAAAAATACGTTTCTGGTATTTTTTGATAAGTTAACCGACGGACTAATTCAAACTCTTGCTTTTTAACCCAGCAATTACATACTGTGCATCGCTGTGTTATCAAAAAATCCACCGCGATGCAGAGTATATTCAGCGCCATCTGTTACCATTTCAAGGAACTTTCATTTATTTACTAAGAAAAGTGACGTCCACTCATTTAACACGAGACATAAGAATAAACTTGCTGTTCCATCATTTAGGTTGCATAAGATAGGTAATTCATTCTTGGGGAAATGTATTACCATATTTAACAAAATACCACACAACCTTGTCGAATTGCCAATAAACAAATTTAAGATACATATAAAAAATACCCTTATGTCCAAAGGGTACTACAAGGTTCGAGACTATCTATATTGATGACAAGGATGCGTGCGTGGTCAGTTCAGTCTGCACATATTTGATGTACTTAAATTACAATGCCGGAAATTGGCGTCTTTTTTTTTTCGCGCGGCCATCGACCAAACTTTGTTTTTTGATTACAAAATAGTGTAATAAATCAAACTTACTATGGCATGTATGTATACCTCTAAACTCAGTCTGAACTGAGTTACGAGCATTAGAAGAGTATTAACGGCATATCACGGATACGTCGCGTCAATCTTACGATACGGGATAATCTTTTGGGGTAATGCTACTGACCGAGAGCTAGTGTTCAGAGCACAGAAGAGATGCGTACGTGCAATCTGCCAGCTAAAACCCACAGATACATGTAAACCTCACTTTATACGGTTGAACCTTCTAACTTTGCCATCTATGTATATTTATGAAGTTGCGGTCTTCGTCAGACAAAACCCAACATTATTCAGAAGTCATCACAGATCACGCGACAAGAATTTAATATGTAAGGATCCTTATAAGACAACTTTTTTTGCTAAGAATATTGTAGGCATGGCACCCAAGATTATAAATAAATTACCAAAAGACATTAGATTAATTGAACATCTAAATTCATTTAAAAAAACTTTACTGACTTATTTAATTAATAAATGTTATTATAATATATCTGAATTCTTTGACGATAAATCTAATTAGTTTATGTAACTGCCAAATTTTATTGTTGTCTGACAAATTGTATGCTCTTTGAGCGGAACATAGTGATACTACCTAATGTAACATGTCACCATTTTACCTATGATTCACAATAAATGATTTTGTATTTTGTATTTTTTTGTATTTTAAGGGAAGGGGATTTTTTTCATTTGGCGCCCCCTTAAGCTGCCCAGGGTAGGCACCCCGGTTTGTCGGGTTTTAAAGTATCTGTCTTCATTTATCTTTACTTCCATGAATTCAATAAGAATGACTATTTGTGTTATAATTCAAGGTTGAAACGTCAAAATAATGTAGATACTTTTAAAAAGGAACCCATAGTGCGCGAATCCAACTTGCACTTTTTTATACTATTTTTGTGCAACTAAATTTACACCAAAGCCAATGATTACAATCAATCGGATCCAATTACTGAGCATCCATGTGGATTGTGATAGTAGACATGAGGCTCACATTAACTTCTTTTATTTCTATCCGCATATGACACCACTTTGACATAATATATGTCATTTTTTGACAGGGAACTCCTACGCAAGTGCGCGATGACAGCGATGTCATCCAAACTGATTCATCAACAGAAGGGACACTTCTCTCAAATGGTGGTTGACGCTGTGTTGTCTCTGGACGCTCCTCTGCTGCCTTTGGACATGATTGGTAAGTCTTTTGTCTATGGTTTTAGCTTTTCTGCCCTCCTAGACAAGTTACAAATTAGTCAAATGATGGTAGACGCTGTGTTGTCTCTGGACGCGCCTCTGCTGCCTTTGGACATGATTGGTAAGTCTTTTGTCTATGGTTTTAGCTTTTCTGCCCTCCTAGACAAGTTACAAATTAGTCAAATGATGGTAGACGCTGTGTTGTCTCTGGACGCGCCTCTGCTGCCTTTGGACATGATTGGTAAGTCTTTTGTCTATGGTTTTAGCTTTTCTGACCGCTGGACAAGTTACAAAACNTAGATTTGCTTTTTGCGCGCAAAGTTTTGTAAGAAATTGCAACAAACTAGTGAGATTGTATGTGTAAACAAACAATACCATCCATTAAAGGCTCCAGACATCAGTGTGGAGCAGAATCAGCGCAATAAAAAAATAGCGCAATATTTTGTTGCAATTTCTTACAAAACTTGCGCACAAAAAGCAAATCTTGTATGAAAATCATCAAACTTCTAATGCTCGTAACTCAGTTCAAACTGAGTTTAGAGGTATACATGCCATAGTAAGTTTGGTTTATTACACTATTTTGTAATCAAAAAACAAAGTTTGATCGATGGCCGCGCGAAAAAAAAAAGACGCCACTTTCCATACAAAATCTGGCATTGCCATTTGACTATTCTTACCGTTAGATAATTCCTGGCAATAAGTGGTGACTTAGTTTGTTCCGGCGTTTCTTCTCAGCACTTGCCATATGTTTGTCTCGAAGCGCTGGTAGGGCCCAAAAGATAAGGAGACATGTAAAGTGCCCCATAAGGGCTACCTTTTCTTTTTTTATTATTTTCTATTGACGTTCATAAGTGCCACTTGTGGTCTAAACTGAATAAATATTTTTGATTTTGATTTTGATTTTCTATCACTTTGTTTCCCAGGCGTACACCCACGCATAGTAGTGCGTGCGATGCGCACAGCGGCGCGCCTCTCGGTAGCTCGCGTGGGTGAACTGGCTGTGAAGATTGACAACAAGAGCCCTCATGAGCAGAGGTATGTATGCAGACTAAAGTCCGGTCGCCGAGCACGTAGAATTTCGTCTAATGACCCCGAGCTACCCATCCTTGTCGCTCGCGCGTAATTATATTACTGTCGCGCTCGCACACTCACTGCGGGCGCCCGTCGCACAGTCGCGCACTCAGCGACCAGTCTTTAGTAAAATAAATTGTGCTTTTTGCAAAATGTAAGGTAAAATTTATTGTAGCGTTTAAGATGCCTAAAAAAAGTGGACGCACATAACTTTCTTTTTAATGTAAGACAAGGCAGATATTTGACCGCAATCGCATCTGGTGTTAAGTGAAATGCAGTCTAGGGATGGTACATATCTGTCCTGTAAGTGGTCAAAAACTCAATAGAACGTTTCAAAATAACTATCGATAGAATAGTTTTTTTCATAAAGAAGGTTCAGAGCACAGAAGAGATGCGTACGTGCAATCTGCCAGCTAAAACCCACAGATACATGTAAACCTCACTTTATACGGTTGAACCTTCTAACTTTGCCATCTATGTATATTTATGAAGTTGCGGTCTTCGTCAGACAAAACCCAACATTATTCAGAAGTCATCACAGATCACGCGACAAGAATTTAATATGTAAGGATCCTTATAAGACAACTTTTTTTGCTAAGAATATTGTAGGCATGGCACCCAAGATTATAAATAAATTACCAAAAGACATTAGATTAATTGAACATCTAAATTCATTTAAAAAAACTTTACTGACTTATTTAATTAATAAATGTTATTATAATATATCTGAATTCTTTGACGATAAATCTAATTAGTTTATGTAACTGCCAAATTTTATTGTTGTCTGACAAATTGTATGCTCTTTGAGCGGAACATAGTGATACTACCTAATGTAACATGTCACCATTTTACCTATGATTCACAATAAATGATTTTTCATTAACAATAGAGGTGATTCTAGCGCTCGGCGGCCGCTGCCGCGGCACGCTTCGCTCGCCTTCGCGCATTAAGGGTCACTGTTCTAACCTAACCTAACCTACTTTTTTCTGTAATACCTACTTTTTGCAACCATACTATTTCCTGCAACATACATAAAATTCTTGTGAAAACCATGATAATGTGTCTTATACTTTGATTTGTGGGTAACGGTGGGTAAGTATGTGAAGTGTCAATTTGACCAAACAAATTATTTGGGATATAATATTTGGCAACATAAAACATTTGCTATATAAACATTTGCCAAGTAAAATTTGGCCAAATGATAATTTGACCAAATGAATTAGTTGCGAAAAGTACAGTTGCTAAAAGTTCATTTGGGAAATGAAACTTTGGCGATAAGTTGTTTGCGAAGTGAAATTTGGCGAAAAGTAATTTGGCCAAACGGAAGGATACCAGATTCTTTATTTCTACCCGCATATGACAGCACTCTGACATAATTATGTAATTTTTTGACAGGGAACTCCTACGCAAGTGCGCGATGACAGCAATGTCTTCGAAGCTGATTCATCAACAGAAGGGACACTTCTCTCAAATGGTGGTTGACGCCGTGTTGTCTCTGGACGCGCCTCTGCTGCCTTTGGACATGATTGGTAAGTCTTGTCTATGGTTTTAGCTTTTCTGCCCTCCTAGACAAGTTACAAATTAGTCAAATGATGGTAGACGCTGTGTTGTCTCTGGACGCTCCTCTGCTGCCTTTGGACATGATCGGTAAGTTCTCTATGGTCATGTCATCCAAACTGATTCATCAACAGAAGGGACTCTTCTCGCAATTTTTTAAAGTAAGTAGTTTCTTCTTTACTCTGTGACATTTGGCCAATGATTATAAACAAACGGATCCAATTTCTGAACTGCTGTGTGGATCTGTGCTAGTAGATATGAGGCCATGATTTAAAACGAAACAATACATATCCCTATTAGGGCCCAAAAGATAGGAAAACATGTAAAGGACTGTTAGGCAGGCTGTACTTTCATATTCACAAGTGTTACATCTTATTATCAATGTCAAAATGGATAAGAGACTTCATTTCTGATAAAATTGCTTAAAATTGGGTGTTTTTGACACTATTCACCAATAATTTTTAAAGCTCAACTTTTTAAAAACACTTCATTCTGTTCTTAAATGAGTCGTAAATTTAGAGTTTTGGTTGATTTGTAATTGATAAAATGTTATTATTATTATTATTTTTTAATTTAACTATTATAATCGTCGTCGAGTTGACGAAATAGTGACGTCATTTGTACCTATGATAATGACGAATAAATTTCTTTTTAATTTTTTTTTTCATTGTCCTACACAATGTATGGGAGAGTCTTTTTGACAGTTCATAAAAAGTACGAAAAAGGTGTCAATTGCCCTATTCTTTTAAATATTTTTACCATAGTCACAATCATTTATATACCCCCAGGAATCAAGAAAGTCTCCGGCGGTGCTTTAGAAGACTCGTTCCTAGTCGCCGGAGTGGCCTTCAAGAAGACATTCTCTTACGCCGGCTTCGAGATGCAGCCGAAGTCCTACAACGACTGCAAGATTGCTCTGCTGAATATCGAGCTGGAGTTGAAGGCGGAGAGGGACAATGCTGAGGTTAGTACTGTTACAACTAGAGATGAAACGGATAGTTGTTTGGCCGGATACCGGATATCCGGCCAGCTGCTAGGCCGGATAGCCGGATATCCGGCGGCCGGATAGTTGGCCCATTATCTCGTTGCATGTCGTGTCGAGTTTAGCGCCGCACAGGTGCTTCGAACGCGATCAGTGGGTCTAGTAGACTAGACAAGTCACACTTTTCGAAAATCGGATCTGTTCGAATCCGAATAGAATGTCAGATTTTGCAACTTGTCTAAGGGGCAGATCAATCGGGCGATTCCGGTTGCCATCGTGAGTGGTGTGATTGAATACCTAGCGAAAATTAAATGAGTTTACTTGCTGCGTAATCTGATTGATCTACATCATGTCATCAGACTATCAGTGAAAAAAAGATCGCCTTTTTTAATTGGCAATATTTCGACATTAACAGATATTTACTATTTATGTATTCGTCATTAGAGTGAATATCCTAGAAAAAGAAATCAGTTTTTTGAAAGGCCTTAATAATATGGCTTTTTTGTAACTTTCTGGAGTTTAAATAAAAGCCGTCATTATTATAAGCCATTTTATTGACATATACCTCAAAGATTAATGCATTTCGCTTTATTGTCGTAGTTTTTTTAATATCCGGTATCCGGCCGGATAGTAAATTTAGGCCGGATATCCGTTTCATCTCTAGTTAAAACCATTAAGTCAATATTTCTTCGCAATAAAACTGCATACTGCAAGTCAGTTTTTGTTCTTTGCTCACAGCACACTGCCAGATCGCAATCGAGGAGTCACTTCTTCTTATCGTGTCGACAATAAACCTACACAGTGTCAGCCCAAAACTCCGCTACAAGAGTGGCGTTGTCAACAGCATTAATTAAATCCTGAGTACAGTTGCTTGGAGGAGTCACTTAAAAATTAAGAATTCTGTTGCAAATTCGCCCCTTAAAGTAACATAAGACCTTGACCTGCCGTCATCTGTACGTCAGTTACTGATCAGTGTTTCCGTGAGTGTCCAGTTTTATTGTCCTGAAGTGTTGGTAGTGGTAAAGTAAAACTGGGGCGTGTGAAAGCGCTTTAAAAAAGCGTACTTTGATTAAATAAATGACTGATAAATGGCCAATGATTAAAAACTACGGATCCAATTTCTGAATGAGATGTGTGGATCAATGATAGTAGATATGAGGCCATTTTCTCACTACTCGAAACTCAATAACGGCTAGACTATATCGTTTTTTTTTTCATTATAAAAGGAAAAATAAATTGGATGGAAAAAAGTAAAAATAGCACTTCTTTTCCCATACAAAGCAATTATTCAACATTTGTTGACAAAACAAGTTTTTCCGGGCTGTTTTCCGAATCAATACTATCTATACTAATATTATAAATGCGAAAGTAACTGTGTCTTGCTTTCACGCCTAAACCACTGAACCGATTTTGACGAAATTTGGCATAGAGATAGTTTTGAGTCCGGGAAAAGGACATAGGATAGTTTTTATCCCGGTTTTTGAAACAGGGTCGCGCGATAAAGTTTTTTGTGGCAGACAAAATTCAACGCAGGGATGCCGCGGGCGGAACGCTAGTAAACAATAATAACGCTTTTACCAATTATTTTCTTGTCATATTATTATCCACAGGTGCGCGTAGACAACGTGAAAGAATACCAAAAGGTGGTGGATGCTGAATGGCAGATTCTCTATGAGAAGTTGGAAGCTTTGCACAAGAGTGGCGCTAACGTGGTGCTCAGCAAGCTGCCTATTGGCGACGTGGCCACACAGTACTTTGCTGACCGGTGAGTTATTTTGCTGACCAATGAGTTATTTTGCTGACCAATGAGTTATTTTGCTGACCAATGAGTTATTTTGCTGACCAATGAGTTATTTTGCTGACCAAAGAGATGTTTAGCTGACCAGTGAATATTTTGCTGACCAATGAGTAATTTAACTGACCAGTGAATATTTTGCTGACCAATGAGTTATTTAGCTGACTAGTCAGTTATGGGAGTTATGTAGTGTGTTGTGGACGCTGATTGGCAGATCCTTTACGAGAAGTTAGTTTGACTACGAAGGTATTTCTAGTGTTATTCGGTTTGGTCAATGATTAAAAACAACGGATCCAATTTCTGAATGAGATGTGTGGATCAATGATAGTAGATATGAGGCCAACTTATTCCTAAACATGCCGTGGCTAGCAAAAACCTATCTCTTACTTAAAAATCCCCTAAGAGCGAGCGGCAGATATTATGTCGGCGACTGCTTGCGATAGTTGTAGGCGACAGTTAGCTACTTTAGACGACAGTCTCCGACTCGCGCCTTTCGCTGTCATGACATGTTGATACTCTGACTATACGTTAGTGACTGCCCGTTTTCGAGAGTCGCGATGCATCGGCGACCATCGGCAGTATTCGTGATACGTCGGCTAAAGTCGTCTAATTTAAATATCTGTCGTCGGCGACTGTCGCCGATCGTAGCCGGCTTAAAGGTAGCCTTTCGAAGCGAGGGGTGGCCAACTTGATTAGACATAAGATCTACTGTTTACTAACGAAACCCTGGGCGATCTACCACTTACATACTTCTTGAAATCTTAAATTAAACAGCATAGTTTAGTACACAATCATGTAGTAGGTATTTTTTGCCTTGCCACGAGCGACTGGACTAATAGTCGCGATCAACCGGTCGATCGTCAGTGGTGCCGCGACAGAGCGGCAAATAGATGTTCTATGCAAATGTATGAAATTCTAGGGAACGTCATTCGAACGCACCGACACTGTCGCGGCGTTAGGCTAAAGGTAGCCTTTCGAATTAAACGTCACAGACGCAGCGTCTTTAGCTTTGGTCTTGTGCCACCAACGCCGCGTGACTAACTCGCTTCGAAAGGCTACCTTTAAGACCAGTGGTTCTTAACCGGTGGTCCGCGGACCACTGGTGGTCCCTGCAGGCATTCCAAGTGGTCCACGAAGACATCGTAATAAACAAGTGACGTGACGTGATGAGTCGAGTCAACACAACGCAAACGTCGCACAGTGGGCGAGAAATCGACCTCCGCTTTCATAGGATTTTGAAAAAAAAAAAGGTCCCTGACAAGACAGAAATTTGGTAAAATGGTCCCTCGTGACTTAAAGGTTAAGAACCACTGTTTTAGACCAAAGCTAAAGACGCTGTCTGTGACGCTTAGTTCGAAAGGCTACCTTTATTTGCAAGCAATCCCTCCATAACGTCGCTCGTCTGCGAGCTATCTTAACATGCTGCTGATGATGATGATGTCTTGCCTACAGTTTGACACTAGTTTCTCCGTTCCAGCGATATGTTCTGCGCCGGCCGAGTGCCCGAGGAGGATCTGCGGCGAACGCAGCGCGCGTGTGGCGGCGCCGTGCTGACGTCAGTTCGGGAGCTGACGCAATCGTCGCTCGGTCACTGCCGCGCGTTTACTGAGCGACAAGTTGGTGGCGAGCGGTATAACATCTTTACTGGTAAGTGTGGGGGACTGTCACATGGTAGCATGATGTACCTAGGTGGCCTAGGGGCGCTGACGTCACGCGGGCGGCCCTAGACTGCCTAAACCATACATACTACCTCTGTAACATTATGGATGCATTAAAGAATTGAGTAATTGAGTAGGGGCGCCTTTACTGAGGCTCCTAGGAGGCCTAGGGGCGTCTTCACCGAGGCCCCTTCATTGCCTTCACCGAGCAATGTAACATCTTGAAAAGTGAGTAGAGGGCGCTGACGTCACTTAGGCGCTCCTAGGGCGGTACATCTAATCACCGGTGGGTATGTGAGACGGTGACGTCACGCTGGAGCTATCTAGTGGTGACGTCACACGGAAGCTTGCCAGGCGTGTGGCGACGCCGTGCTGACGTCAGTTCGGGAGCTGACGCAGTCGTCCCTCGGTCACTGCCGCGCGTTTACTGAGAGGCAGGTTGGAGGCGAGAGATACAACATCTTTACTGGTGAGTGTGGGGTTCTGACGTCACGCTGTAGCTCACCAGGCGCCGTGCTGACGTCAGTTCGGGAGCTGACGCAATCGTCGCTCGGTCACTGCCGCGCGTTTACTGAGCGACAGGTCGGCGGAGAGAGATATAACATCTTTACTGGTAAGTGTTAGGTTCTGACGTCACGCGGGAAGCTCACACAAGCGTTCTTAGACGGTCTCGGGGTTTCATTAGGCGCCCGTAGGCGGCCTAGGGGACTCATTAGGCGCCCCTAGACGGCCTAGGGGACTCATTAGGCGCCCCTAGACGGCCTAGGGGTCTCATTATTCGCCTCTAGGTGGCCTAGGGGTCTCATTAGGCGCCCCTAGACGGCCTAGGGGTCTCATTATTCGCCTCTAGGTGGCCTAGGGGTCTCATTAGGCGCCCCTAGACGGCCTAGGGGACTCATTAGGCGCCCCTAGACGGCCTAGGGGTCTCATTATTCGCCTCTAGGTGGCCTAGGGGTCTCATTAGGCGCCCCTAGACGGCCTAGGGGTCTCATTAGGCGCCCCTAGGCGGCTTAGAGGTCTCATTAGGCGCCTCTAGGTGGCCTAGGGGTCTCATTAGGCGCCTCTCGGTGGCCTAGGGGTCTCATTAGGCGCCCCTAGGCGGCTTAGAGGTCTCATTAGGCGCCTCTAGGTGGCCAAGGTGTCTCATTAGGCGCCTCTCGGTGGCCTAGGGGTCTCATTAGGCGCCTCTAGGTGGCCTAGGGGTCTCATTAGGCGGCCTAGGGGTGCCTTCACAGAGCGGTGCAACATTAACCAATAAGATGGGGGTGCTGACGTTACGCAGTGTCTAGGGGCGTCTTCACCGAGCGGGTCAACATTTAATGGTGAGTGGGGGGTGATGACGTCACGCGGGAGCTCACTAGGCGTGCGTGAGCGCCGTGCTGACGTCAGTTTTGTCACGAGTTTCTTCCGCTGCGCTCTGAAAAGGTATCCCAACTAATATTATAAATGCGAAAGTAACTCTGTCTGTCTGTCTGTCTGTCTGTCTGTTACGCTTTCCCGCTTAAACCTCGCAACCGATTTTGATGAAATTTGGCATAGAGATAGTTTGAGTCCCGGGAAAGAACATAGGATAGTTTTTATCCCGGTTTTTGAAACAGGGACGCGCGCGATAAAGTTTTTCTGTGACAGACAAAATTCCACGCGGGCGAAGCCGCGGGCGGAAAGCTAGTTCTAAATGAAGGTAAAAATTACACACTATATTAAGAATCGATTTTTTAAAAACGTGTAGTTCTACGTACTATGTATTACTTCCTTGTAGTGCACTTTTTTAACTCTGATGTCAGCAAAGAAGGTTTGCATTTTATAGGAACTTGACATACATATTTCAAGGATATTTCTCTCCTCTATTACCCTTCCTACCTTATACCAATCCTACTCCTAACCTACCACCTTTCCTTCCCCAGGCTATAATAAAGAAGACGCTCCCAATGGTAAGCCATGATGTCATGTTGTTACCTGTATTGTAGTCTTCCCATATACCCATAGTTACCATAGTCCCACCGCTGCAACTCCTGTTTAGCCAGGATCTGCAGCTTGACTGTAAAACCGAACCAGTGAAGGCTAAAGTCTATAAAAAACTATCTTGCTAATCCTTCTAGCTAAGCTAAATAAGCTTTGACTAGTACTTGTGTTGTTGGTGATATTTTTAGTTAAGTAGTTGCAGTTAGGCGGTTATCACACTGCACCGCGCTCCGCCGCGGTACGCGGGACGACAGATTTAATCATTATATGCAAGTACCTCAGTTTGTATAGAAAACACGCGCGGCACAACACACTGACAACGCGTCTGCGCGCGGGATTCGTTATATGTCGCCACACGGACCGCGGCAAAGCGCGGTGCAGTGTGATAATCGCCTTAGGCTAGTGTGCTGATCACGCGAATGTTTATTTCCTTTGTTTGGTAACCATAGTATAGTTCTCTCTGTTCCTATCTGTGTATATCTGTGCAGTTTTCTCTGTTCCTATTTGTAGAACTAATTATTCAAAGAATAGATTTCTTGTTCGTGCTTGCAACACACATAATGTTCGATACAGTCACATTGATATATTCAATTGTTCTCTGCGTGTTTTTACCTCACATATTAGGAAGGTTGACCACGTTTAAGTGGGATTATTTTGTTTCTGATGAGCGTTTAATTACCTAGTTAAATTAATACGAAACTTTTTATAATATGTCTTCGCTATTGACATATTAACATTAGAAACTTTTTTGGCTTATGAATAAACTAAACTTTTCATGTACCTATATGTGATATAAAAGCTGTATGTTTCTTTCATTAAATAAATAAATAAGTTTTACTTTGTTAATATACTGCGTAGGTTAGTATCAAAGGTGTTTAAAATGATGTTTAGTATGGAAACGTCATAATAAACAACTGTTCAACGCTTGTATAACTTTTTATTACACTAAGACGGTAAGTTGTGCTAGTCTCACTATGTTTCGCCTGTTTTTATGTATGTTTAACTTTATATTTGTTTTCTACAGGTTGTCCCGCCGCCAAGACTTGCACGCTCATACTCCGCGGAGGCGCCGAGCAATTCTTGGAGGAGACTGAGCGCTCGCTACACGACGCCATCATGATCGTGCGTCGGACCATCAAGAACGACGCTGTGGTCGCCGGTGAGTGGATAATCAACCTTATGTCAAGGCAGTAGGGTCCATTTTAGCATAACAGAGAGTTTGTGATCTTGCGAAGGACCATAAAAATGACGGGTGAGTGTAAAGTGAACCTTAAGTCTAGGGAGTAGAGTCCATTTTAGCACAAAAGAGGACTTTCTGAATGACGTGCTAGCCGGCCATTGTAAAATGAACTTTAAGTCTAGAGAATAGAGTTCATTGTAGTATAAACGGAGCGCTCGCTACACGACGCCATCATGATCGTGCGTCGGACCATCAAGAACGACGCCGTCGTCGCTGGTAAATGTTGATTAATATTACTTCTATAGGAAGAGGTATTCACAGTGAGTGAGACCTCAAATTAATGTTTGTGAATACGGGTGTGAGTTTTTACGCTGCTAATTCTGTTCTGTGTTTCAAAGAAGTTGCGTGTGAAGCAGATTATCGAACGCACAGGCCACAGCGTTAGAGCAATAGAGCTCTGTGTTCGTGTGTCACCCTGTGCGTCCACGCGCACTGTGAGACCTCATAATGTTTGTGAATATAACGTTATGTTTTTTAACAACTTTTTTGACCCTCTCTCATTGACTATGGAAAGCGTCTAAACAGCCGATCGCCGATGAAAATGTAGCATATGCGTGTGCTAAAATGACTCTAATTTTTAAAGGCTGTGTGTCTGATCAGGCCTGTTCATCTCCGCGAGTTTACATCGAAAACAAAACACACACGATGGCCCACCTATAGAGTACTATTCGACAAGTCCTCACATACGAGCGAACATTGACTCACGCACGCGTATTCTTGTGTATGATGGAAGAAAATAAAGAAAATGGTGTACTAAATACTGTGCAGTATTTAACTGCCTAAATAATAATAAAAACACAGAATGTACTTTTTTAGGTTGCCTCAAGCCACTGAGAGGTAAATAAGTGGTTAATATTATTCATGATAATTCATGCTAAATCATGTATTTCCTCCGCCATTTTCCGCAGTTTGGCACCTCACGTCACGTCACATCATTTTACCGAAGTCAGCCCTATAGCTTCGGCGCAGTGCCGATCACTGACGTTTGTCAACAAAATGGTGCTTGACTCTTGAGACAGGCTAAATTATACCATATTTTTAATGACATTGAGCATACATTTTTTTAAATACCTTCGCGAAGTAAAATTTCTGTACGTAGTACTTATTATTATTCTGTGGTCTGATTCTAAATGACTTATCTTCACAGGTGGCGGCGCAATCGACATGGAAATATCGAAGCACCTTCGCGAATACTCCAAAGGCGTCGCGGGCAAAGAACAGCTGCTTCTGGCGGGCATCGCGCGCGCCTTCGAGGCCATCCCGCGCCAGCTGTGCGACAACGCCGGCTTCGACGCCACCAACCTGCTCAACAAGCTGCGACAGAAGCACCACCAAGGTCGGGAAACCCTCCATTTTAGGTGTTACTTTCGTATGTGTCACTTTTAGGATGGGTGACCGTGTGACGTCCTTAAAACAACGAAAATTCTAGAAGAAAAAATCGATGATCGTCATTTGTTTCGAACGCGCGAAAGAAAAAACAAACTTATTCTTGCGATCGTCTTTTGTTTCGAACGCGCGTCGACCTTAAAGGAACTCGCAGGATAGTCGATTGTTTCGGAGTGATTATTAATAGCTGCGGTGGCGCATTGGTAAAGAATGTGCTCCATATCCGAGAGGAACCAAGATCAAATCTCGGTAAAAATACAAAAAGCAAAAATTTCTGAAATTTTCATAGTAGTTGAGTGTGATGATCAAAAGTGTTTATAAGGAGTCTTCTCAAGGAGGTTTCTTTAGGCCAGGTCTTTAAGCACTAGTGGTTTAGTTACCAAAACTTCATCAGCTACCTTAGTGTCTAAAGAATTGGAACAAAAGGATGAGTAGCTAGCCTGGTGTGTGACGTCACAAACATGGTGGAGGAAAACCTTCTGTAGGTAAGAATAGAGCAGTATTTCCAGCACCTCGTCTAGTAATAAAATCGTGTGGGATTTTAAACCTTCTGTAGCCAGCAATAAGAGCAGTGTCTCCTCCGCTCATACAGTGTGAGTCACGTTAAAGTGTACATATGAAAATAGATAAAACTAGACCTGTTTTTATCGACAAAAAAGAGGTCAAAATTTTTTTGAGATTTTTTTTTAATTTTTTATAGAATTTTTTTTCNAAACAAACTAATCCTTGCGATCGTCTTTTGTTTCGAACGCACGTCGACGATGAGAAAAAAACAAACTAGAAGTTTCTGCGATTGTCATTTGTTTCGAACGCTCTTTTTGTCTCGTGAAGAAGGCCCAACCTTGGTGCCAATATTTTCTGGATACACCACGTGGACGAGTGGCTTTGGGCCAATGTTTCTGGAGTCTGCCTATACGATTGCCTTTGTTTCGAAACGTTATCGGCTGCGGTGGTGCCTTGGTCTGAGGAAACGACGTTCAAATCTCGATTAAAAAAAAATTAGTTCAAAAAGCTAAGCGTTCAGCGCTTGGTATGATTCGTTGCATAGAAACACACAATTTCAAAGGGCGCGTTGAAATGTAGTGTTTTGAACTCCATTCACGATGTAAAAAGAAATAAATTACCATGTTTTTTTTCTGTTTAGCTCAAAGGTTAACTGGCAGAGAATTGGACTTATGTACCAACCTTATGGCATTAAAGTATGTATAAATAAAAGCTCCCATATTGTTCCAGGCGAGGTGTGGTACGGCGTAGACATTCAGAAGGAAGATATTTCGGATAACTTCGAAGCGTGTGTGTGGGAGCCGGCCGTCGTCAAGATCAACGCCATCACCGCCGCCTGCGAGGCCGCCGCGCAGGTAATCATCATCATCATCATCCATGAGCAGAAATCCATACATCCCCAACGCTGCTTAAAAAATGTGACTGGATAAGACTACCACCCCTACATAATCTCTAACCCTACCTAAGAATCAACTGGATCAAAATCCTACTTCCTAATAATATTATAAACGCGAAAGTTTGGATGTCAGGATGTCTGGATGTTTGTTATACAGGGTGTTTGGCGCATCGTGTGCCAAAATGATTTGGCGGATAGAATGGGTCATTTCCTATATTTTCAGCCCCCATAACACGTTCCATGTCAGGCGGCTACTTTTATATTAAGTTTTTTAGTAATTTCACCAAAATACCCAAATCGCATCATTTANATTGCATGTCATTATAATAATATTTTTCAATAGCGTTCAGCCTTATTGCGTTCCAGCGATTAGATCTAGGTATTTTCTCGAGGCTGGAAAGAAATGATAACGATGACACACATTATTTACCACTATTTAGGTCGATTTAGGTATAAGAATAGGATTTAAGATACCGCGCAAGCACTCTCAAATTTAACAGCTGCTTAAGACGATTTGACAGTTGTTTGAGTAATGCTTAGCGTTGAATGGCGTTTCAGTATGCGAAAATTCATTTAAGTGGCGTTTGAGTGCAACTTAATTTGAGAGGTGCTTAAAAATTGAGAACTGCTCAGATATTGTTTTGAGTATGCGAAATGTAAGTTTAGGAGCTGCTTAACTATTTGAGAAGCCGTCAAATATTTAAATGGCGTTTCAGTATTCGGCCGTTAGTATTTAAACACTAAGGTCCTAATTTCCTATAAACGCCATGTTGTCATCAGCCACTTTAGTGTCTCTAGATTGGGAGGAAAAGAGGCCCTAGGTTCAGAATGGTTCCCTATTCTGACGTCACAAACATATGGTAGAGGAAAATCGTCTTGCTATAATAGCATCATGGGGGTAGTTGAACCTTCTGTAGTTAGAAATAGAAGCAGTATTTCCAGCACCTCGTCTAGTAATAGAACCGTATGGGATTTTAAACCTTCTATAGCTAGCAATAGAGCAGTGCTTCCTCCGCTCATATAGTAAATGGGACCGTGTGGGGTAGTAGGACTGGTGTAGGAATCTCAACCTTCTCAAGCTAACAATAGAGCAGTGTCTCCTCCGCTCATATAGTAAATGAGACTCTGTAGTTTGGGTACCAGGACTGGTGTGGTATTCTAGACCTTCTGTAGCTAGCAATAGAGCAGTGTTTTCGCGCCAGCAAGGAGCAGCTGCTTCTAACGGTCATCGCGCGCGCCTTCGAGGCCATCCCGCGCCAGCTGTGCGACAACGCCGGCTTCGACGCCACCAACCTGCTTAACAAGCTGCGACAGAAGCACCACCAAGGTCGGGAAACCCTCCATTTTAGGTGTTCCTTTCGTATGTGTCACTTTTAGGATGGGTGACCGCGTGACGTCCTTGAAAAAATGAAAATTCTAGAAGAAACAATCGACGATCGTCATTTGTTTCGAACGCATATCGACGATGAGAAAAAAACAAACTTGAAAAAGCTAGAAGCTTCTGCGATTGTCATTTGTTTCGAATGCTCTTTTTGCCTCGTGAAGATGGCCCAACGTTGGCGCCAATGTTTTCTAGATACACGTTGGCCGAGTGGCGTTTGGAACCAACTTTTGGGCCAATGTTTCTATACGAGATTGTCATTTGTTTAGAACGCGCGTCGACGGTGAATGAACTCGCAGGATAGTCGATTGTTTCGGAGTGATTATTAATAGCTGCGGTGGCGCATTGGTAAAGAATGCGCTCCATATCCGAGAGGAACCAAGATCAAATCTCGGTAAAAATGCAAAAAGCAAAATTTTCTGAAATTTTCGTAGTGGCCGAGTGTGCTGATACAAAAGTGGTAGAGAGGGGTCTTCTCAAATATAGAAAGTGTCTTTAGGCCTTAGTATTTAAACACTAAGGTCCTAATTTCCTATAAACGCCATGTTGTCATCAGCCACTTTAGTGTCTCTAGATTGGGAGGAAAAGAGGCCCTAGGTTCAGAATGGTTCCCTATTCTGACGTCACAAACATATGGTAGAGGAAAATCGTCTTGCTATAATAGCATCATGGGGGTAGTTGAACCTTCTGTAGTTAGAAATAGAAGCAGTATTTCCAGCACCTCGTCTAGTAATAGAACCGTATGGGATTTTAAACCTTCTATAGCTAGCAATAGAGCAGTGCTTCCTCCGCTCATATAGTAAATGGGACCGTGTGGGGTAGTAGGACTGGTGTAGGAATCTCAACCTTCTCAAGCTAACAATAGAGCAGTGTCTCCTCCGCTCATATAGTAAATGAGACTCTGTAGTTTGGGTACCAGGACTGGTGTGGTATTCTAGACCTTCTGTAGCTAGCAATAGAGCAGTGTTTTCGCGCCAGCAAGGAGCAGCTGCTTCTAACGGTCATCGCGCGCGCCTTCGAGGCCATCCCGCGCCAGCTGTGCGACAACGCCGGCTTCGACGCCACCAACCTGCTTAACAAGCTGCGACAGAAGCACCACCAAGGTCGGGAAACCCTCCATTTTAGGTGTTCCTTTCGTATGTGTCACTTTTAGGATGGGTGACCGCGTGACGTCCTTGAAAAAATGAAAATTCTAGAAGAAACAATCGACGATCGTCATTTGTTTCGAACGCATATCGACGATGAGAAAAAAACAAACTTGAAAAAGCTAGAAGCTTCTGCGATTGTCATTTGTTTCGAATGCTCTTTTTGCCTCGTGAAGATGGCCCAACGTTGGCGCCAATGTTTTCTAGATACACGTTGGCCGAGTGGCATTTGGAACCAACTTTTGGGCCAATGTTTCTATACGAGATTGTCATTTGTTTAGAACGCGCGTCGACGGTGAATGAACTCGCAGGATAGTCGATTGTTTCGGAGTGAATGTTAATAGCTGCGGTGGCGCATTGGTAAAGAATGCGCTCCATATCCGAGAGGAACCAAGATCAAATCTCGGTATAAAATGCAAAAAGCAAAATTTTCTGTTATTTTCGTAGTGGTCGAGTGTAATGATCAAAAGTGTTTAGGGGTCTTCTCAGATATAGGAAGAGTGTCTTTAGGCCTTAGTATTTAAACACTAGGGTCCAGTATAAACGTCAGCGAAGAATTGGAACAAAAGAACTTGAGGCTAGGTTTAGGATGGTTGCCTGGTCTGAGGTCACAAACATGGTAGAGGAAAACTGTCTAGATAGGATTCTGGGGCAATCTTCTCTAGGTAGGAATAGAAGCAGTCTTTCCAGCACCTCGTCTAGTAATAGAATCGTGTGGGATTCTAAACCTTCTGTAGCCAACAATAAGAGCTGTATCTCCTACGCTCCATAGTAAATGGGACTCGTGTGGGTAAGTAGGACTGGTGTGGGGAAATCTAAACCTTATGTAGCTAGCAATAGAGCAGTGTTTCCTCCGCTCGCGCCAGCAAAGAACAGCTGCTTCTGGCGGGCATCGCGCGCGCCTTCGAGGCCATCCCGCGCCAGCTGTGCGACAACGCCGGCTTCGACGCCACCAACCTGCTCAATAAGCTGCGACAGAAGCACCATCAAGGTCAGGAAACCCCCCATTTTAGGTGTTACTTTCGTATGTGTCACTTTTAGGATGGGTGACCGCGTGACGTCCTTGAAAAAACGAAAATTCTAGAAGACAATCGACGATCGTCATTTGTTTCGAACGCGCGAAAGAAAAAACAAACTTATTCTTGGGATCGTCTTTTGTTTCGAACGCCCGTCGACGATGAGAAAAAAAAATAAACTTGAAAAAACTAGAAGTTTCTGCGATTGTCATTTGTTTGGAACGCGCGTCGACGGTGAATGAACTCGCAGGATAGTCGATTGTTTCGGAGTGATAATTAATAGCTGCGGTGGCGCATTGGTAAAGAATGCGCTCCATATCCGAGAGGAACCAAGATCAAATCTCGGTAAAAAAAGGCAAAAAGGAATAATTTCTGAATTTTACGTAGTGGTCGAGTGTGATGATAGAAAAGTGTTTTAGGGGGTCTTCTCAGATATAGGAAGAGTGTCCTTTAGGCCCTTAGTTTTTAAGCACTAGGGTCTAGTTTCCTATAAACGCCATCAAGCTACCTTAGTGTCTGAAGAATTGGAACAAAAGAACTTGAAGCTAGTTTTAGGATGGTTGTCTGGTCTGACGTCACAAACATGGTGGAGGAAAATCTTCTAGCTACAAGCATCGTGTGGGGTAATTCTAGAACCTTCTGTAGGTAAGAATAGAGAGCAGTCTTTCCAGCACCTCGTCTAGTAAATAGAATCGTGTGGGATTCTAAACCTTCTTGTAGCCAGCAATAGAGCAGTGTTTCCTCCGCTCATATAGTAAATAGGACTGTGTGGGAATCTCCAAGGTCGGGAAACCCTCCAACTGGTAGCTAGAGAATGTAGAGCGATAGTTGTCATTAATATGGTCGATCTGACGTCATTAATATGGCCACCAAGCTGCGACAGAAGCCCCACCAAGGTCAGGAAACATTCCATTTCAGCCCCAATTGGACGTGAAACTTTCGTTTTGGTCACTTTTAGGATGGGTGACCGCATGCAGAAGCCACGGCTCAGAAGCTGTGACCTTGAAAAAACAAAAATCGACGATCGTCTTTTGTTTCGAACGCGCGTCGACGATGAGAAAAAACAAACTTGAAAAAACTAGAAGTTTCTGCGAATGTCATTTGTTTAAACGCTCCTTTTGTCTCGTGAAGATGGCCCAATGTTGGTGCCAATATTTTCTGGATACACCACGTGGACAAGTGGATTTGGGCCAATGTTTCTGTAGTCTGCCTATACGATTGCCTTTGTGTCGAAACGTTATCGGCTGCGGTGGTGCCTTGGTCTGTGGGAACGAAGTTCAAATGTCGATGTAAAAAAATAAGTTCAAAAAGCCAAGCGTTCAGCGCTTGGTATGATTCGTTGCATAGAAACACACAATTTCAAAGGGCGCGTTTTAATGAAGCGTTTTGAACACGCCCTTCGACTGCCTATAAAATCATCGATATCGTCTTAGTTGAAGGTCAAACATCATCTCAATAGCGTCCGGTCCGCAATTCATGATGCATAAAGAAATAAATTACCATGTTTTTTTTCTGTTTAGCTCAAAGGTTAACTGGCAGAGAATTGGACTTATGTACCAACTTTATGGCATTAAAGTATGTATAAATAAAAGCTCCCATATTGTTCCAGGCGAGGTGTGGTACGGCGTGGACATCCAGAAGGAAGATATTTCTGACAACTTCGAGGCGTGCGTGTGGGAGCCGGCCGTCGTCAAGATCAACGCCATCACCGCCGCCTGCGAGGCCGCCGCGCAGGTAATCATCTACTCGGTGGACCGACGATCTAGTGAAAGGGGCCGTCCATATATTNATAGAATGTCAGATTTTGTCACTTGTCTAGGGGGCAGATCAATGAGGGTTTTCGCGAATGTAAAATCCGCCAGATGGCAATACGTAGACGCGAGGTCCAAATGCTGCATGATTGGTTATTTTTGACATGACATTGACAGATATGTCAAAATCCACCAATCACGCAGCAGTCAGACCCCACATCCACGTCCCGCCATCTAGCCTAGCCATCTTTCATTGGCGAAAACCCTCATTCGGGTGATTTCTGTTGCTATAGCTAGTGTGTGATTGAATAGCGAAAATTTAATTAGTTTACTTGCTGCGTAATCTGACTGAACTGCATGCATCATGTATGTCACCAGACCATCAGTGAAAAAAAGATCGCCTTTTTTATTTGGCATATTTCGATATTAACAGATGTTTACTATTTATGTATTCGTCATTAGAGTGATTAGGCCAGAAAAATAAATTAGTTTTTTAAAAGGCCTTAATATAGCTTTTTTGGAACTTTTTGAACCTTAAATAAAAGCCGTCATTATTATAAGCCATTTCATTGATATTTACCTCAAAGATTAATGTATTTCATTTTATTAATAGGAAAATGTCGTAGTTTTTTAATATCCGGTATCCGGCCGGATAGTGCGTTACTATCCGGTATCCGGCCGGATAGTAAATTTAGGCCGGATATCCGGCCTACCGGATAGTTACCGGATATCCGTTTCATCTCTAGTAGGTATTTAACGTGTTATTCACACAAAAAGGGGCTATAAATACAAATTTCGCAAATCAGTCCGAATAGAGTCAATGCACTAATTTAGGGAATTTGTGAAGTTGTTGTTATTATTTAAACAAGATTAGTATACCGTTTGAATGGGGATAGACTAGAGAAGTTTTGATAAAATCCGAAGTTCGCTATCTCTTTTAAAAAAAAATTTATAGCCATGTAAACTTAAATGTTCAGTCCATTTTTAACTTTTCGGAAAAGTTCAAAGCTGAATTAAAAAAAAACTAGATGATATTTGCCAGTAAATTTAGATTTGATGCAACCCTATGTCAATGCACGTCAAAACAAAATATTTACTTTGAGGCTNGGGGGGTCATTAAGAAATGACGATAGGATGATTGTAGGGGGGGGGCTAAAATCTGAAAAAATCGATGACGTAATTTATGGACGGCCCCAAAGTCGCGGAAAGCACCAGGACCTGAACCATTATTAAATTACCCATGGGTGAAGTTGCAGGGGGAAATTGTTAACTCCTACATCCCTAACTATGCGTCCGTGATTACCTCTCCCTCCTCCCCCTTGATCAGACCAGGCCTGTTCATCTCCGCGAGTTTACATCGAAAACAAAACACGCACGATGGCCCACCTACAGGATACTATTCGACAAGGCCTCACATACGAGCGAACATTGACTCACGCACGCGTATTCTTGTGTATGATGGAAGAAACTAAAGAAAATGGTGTACTAAATACTGTGTAGTATTTTACTGCCTAAATAATAATAAAAACACAGAATGTACTTTTTTAAGTTGCCTCAAGACACTGAGAGATAAATAAGTAGTTAATATTATTCATAATAATTCATGCTAAATCATGTATTTCCTCCGCCATTTTCTGCAGTATGGCACCTCACGTCACATCATTTTACCGAAGTCAGCCCTATAGCTTCGGCGCAGCGCCGATCACTGACGTTTGTCAACAAAATGGTGCTTGACTCTTGAGACAGGCTAAATTACACCATTCCATATTGTTAATGACATTGAGCATACATTTTTTTAAATACCTTCGCGAAGTAAAACTTCTGTACGTAGTACTTATTATTATTCTGTGATCAGACTCAGACTGGCTCCCCCCCCCCCGTAATCAGACTTTCCCATTGGGCTAAAAACTGTATACGCTTTAAATCATCATATTCAGTCTCCACTGCAGAAGAACATCATCATTTCAGCCACAGGACGTCCATTGCTGAACATAGGCCTCCCCCAATGATTTCCATGTTGCCCGGTTGGTAGCGTCCTGGGTATGCGCATGAGAATATAGTGCCAGCAGTATAATTAACATAGTCGCCGCACTATATTGGCGCATTTATTGTCCTGAAGCAGTGGTAGGGTAATACTGGAACGTGTAAAAGTGCTTTTTTAAAGCCTATTTGCAGAAATAAATTAGTCCCCGCCGTATATGATACATATAGTTCTCGCTATCAATGCCATCGTTGCTTGCGAGGTCGCAGCGCAAATATAGGTTAAGAGTTGTAAGAAACTCGAGTCTTTTAGTCTTCATTTCGAGACTTGAGTCTATTTTCAAGACTAGGACTCGTTAGTCGTTAGTTTTTTCGAGTCTTCTGAGTCATTTGGAACTAATTTCAAATTACAGCTATGGCTTTAGAGGATTAAGTCATGAGTTATTTTAAAATGACTCAGTCTTTGAGTTCTTTTTGGCAGGATACGAGTCTTTTACAAAAGACTCAAAATTCTGAAGGACTTAAGCTCTAAGTTTTTTATTTATAAAATTCGAGTCTTCAAAAATACCTCCAGTTCTATTAAATAAGACTCCAAGATCGAGTCTTGGAGTTGTTTTACAATACTAGGTCAGTCAGGCAGTGGGAATATAGTTCCCACGTATAACGCTATGTTTCTAACCTACACTTGTATTTCCAGATCCTATCCGTGGACGAGACGATCAAGAACGCCAAAGGCGAGGCGCCGCCCCAGATGCCGGGCCGTGGTATGGGCCGTCCGCGCATGGGATGAACAAACAAACTATCACTATATCTCCACTTCACTGCGTCTCCCTTGCTGACCACAATACTTAGGGCTCTTTCAAAAGACAATGCCCGAAATTGACTTACTTGACTTATGGTCCTATGTCCACTAGATGGGGCAGAGGGCGTCCACAACAGTCCTCCATCTCGTTCGGTCTTGAGCTTTTCGCTTGATCTCGCTCCAGGTTTTGTCGATGCCGGAAATTGGCGTCTTTCTTTTTTTCGCGCGGCCATCGACCAAACCAAGACCAAATTGTTTTTTGATTACAAAATAGTGTAATAAACCAAACTTACTATGACATGTATACCTCTAAACTCAGTCTGAACTGAGTTACAAGCATTAGAAGTTTGATGATTTTACTAGATGATACTAGATTTGCATTTTGCGCGCAAGTTTTGTATGAAATTGCAAATCTGGCATTGCCATTTCGGGAAGGCTGACGCCCTACCTGTAGCCTTATTCACGTAACAAAACATCAACAACAACAAATCGCTGAGTTGCGATCCTATCGAGTAATCGTTCTATCGAAAATGACCCTCGTGAATACGGATTTAGAACTGTTTTTCAATGGGACGACTTCTGAACGTCAGCGAGATCAAAATACGTGCTTTAGGCCACTGGTAATGGTACATCCAAATCCCCTTAGTTTGTCCTTAAGCCTTTAACGGTCTAAATTTTTCATTGTTTGTGGACCTTAAGACAAGGGATTAAAGTTCAAAATATGGTGGGAATTATATTCCCATTGCCGTATAAAGGGTTAAGTGACTAAGCAAGGACCCTGCCTAAATATTCTGATTTGCCCTTCCTGGTCCAGATAGATCTGTGTCAAAGCAGTAAATTATAATGTTTGCTTAAAATAAAAATGTGGCCAATTAATTTTTAAAAGAAATGTTAAAATAATTATTGTTATGTTCGCATTTAATTTATTTTATTTAATACATTAAAATGTTTATTATAATGTCAGCAAGGGAGGCTTTGCCTTAATGCTTCACAAACGCTAGAGTAAGTCACTTAGGTATTACTATATTGTAATGATTATTATTATAATAAAATACTTACACTGCTACACACGTCTTTTAATTTTGTATTTTAGGGCAGAGTGGCACCACTGGCATTGTCACTTGTCTCCACTGAGGATAAATGGGAAAAATAATCCCGGTTGTCACCAGTGGGGATACATACTTTAGTCAGACGGTAGGTTCACTTCTCGCTTGAGGGCAGTTTATTTTAGTAAAACATATTTGTGGCTACTGTAATAAAATAAAAATCTCTCACATGGGAAATTATTTCCCACTAACTTATCGCTGGACTACGTTAGGGCCTAGGCCTACATATTTTTATAACTGTAATATTAAAAATAATTTTTATTTAAGGTTGTTTATTTATGTGAGAAAACGTAATAGACAAAATTATCGCCTTACAACAAACTAAGCGTAGCGTGCACGAAACATAATTGATAAAGACCTTAATTAAAATGATAACGTTACTATGTAATTTAAGTTACATTGTAAGATTTTCACTCATAAAAACCTAGTTTAACACGTAACATAATACATACAGGGTGACAGGTAAAGCGATACATTCCTTGAAAGGGGTTAAAGTAGAGCTTATTTCCAGTCATTTAAGTCATATGACACCATGTCCGAAACTTGTTCATTTCCAAGTTATTCAAGATTTAAGTATTTTTAAAAAAATCTCCAGTTTTTATGTTAAAATGTACCCTTGTAATGAAGAATACGAAATAATGTTAACTTTTTTGTTGTATTCGTATAGCTAAATAACAAGATTGACATTTTAAATTAAAATTTGCAAGAAAGAATCGTCATTACTCAAGTAAAAGCTAAAAAACCATGTATTATTTTGCAAAAAAAAATTGTTTTAGGTAATTAAACGAAGAATTTCCAAGAAACAATGTATGGAATGTTGTGTACAAATTACAGAATTTAGTTCCTTGATTCATTAGCTATTCAAAAAGGTACAGGTGTTTAACAAACACTACATAATTATTTTTTTATTTGAATTTAAACGTCTNTTATGAAAGTATCTCACTAGACGTTTAAATTCAAATAAAAAAATAATTAAGTAGTGTTTGTTAAACACCTGTACCTTTTTGAATAGCTAATGAATCAAGGAACTAAATTCTGTAATTTGTACACAACATTCCATACATTGTTTCTTGGAAATTCTTCGTTTAATTACCTAAAACAATTTTATTTTGCAAAATAATACATGGTTTTTTAGCTTTTACTTGAGTAATGACGATTCTTTCTTGCAAATTTTAATTTAAAATGTCAATCTTGTTATTTAGCTATACGAATACAACAAAAAAGTTAACATTATTTCGTATTCTTCATTACAAGGGTACATTTTAACATAAAAACTGGAGATTTTTTTAAAAATACTTAAATCTTGAATAACTTGGAAATGAACAAGTTTCGGACATGGTGTCATATGACTTAAATGACTGGAAATAAGCTCTACTTTAACCCCTTTCAAGGAATGTATCGCTTTACCTGTCACCCTGTATAATTATGCATGTTTAAATACGTGCTCATTAAATGAAAAGTCGCTTCAAGGATTGATCGATAACATAACTGTAGTAAGTATTACGCATGTTATAATAACGTTTTGCATATTATCTTCGTCCAATCTCGCATGTAATAGAAGCAGAATTAGATTTCTAATCCTGTAGCCTTGCAGTGAGAAAGAAGGGTTTAAGAATCTAATTTGTATTACTATTACACTAGTATTATATTATCTGTGTTTCGAGTATGGGATGATGCATCTGTACTAGTATTATAATATGTGTGCTATTACATTATTGAATAGCAATTATTTTATATAATTTTAAAGTTAAAAACCCATAAATCTTTTGAATTGTTGCCTGTTCCTAATAAAATAAAGTAAATAACCTATGCTACGAAAAAACGTTTTGGGGACTAAAAATGTTTCCCACTTTCTACACATCTTTCCCTAAAAAAATTTTTTTTTCGCTTTTCATCATAGTAAACATTATTTTTGGTCAAGTTGTACCTACTGCCCAAGGAATAAATTGCGAGCATGTAACGTTAAATTCCAATGCCAGAAAAATTAGGAAAAAAAAAGTCATTGGACGATATTTTAAAGTTTTGTGGAGGGTAGTTAGTTTTGAATTGAAAGTAATGGTTGTTCTATTTTATTCCTTTAATTCATTTAATGTATGTACAAATAGGGTGTTATTTTGTGTTGTAAAGTGTAGTGAAGTGATCAATATACAAAAATGATTAATAATCTTGAAAGTGCATCAACATGTGNATCAAAATAATGTGAAGCGACTCGCGTGGGTTTGACCTAGATTTGGATTTTGGACTCGATGGAGTCTTGAATTGTTCTTCTCCATGGAATCCGTGAAAAAGTAAGTGTATTAAATAAAGAGTGTAATTCAATTTGCTACGAGGATATTGGTAAGAAAATATTAGCTTTTTTCTAGTGTACAGTCCGATTCAATATTAATTTGAAAGTGCATAAAAATAATATGAATCGAATGTCGCGTGGGTTTGACCTAGATTTGGACTTTGGGCCCGGACGGCGTCTTGAATCCTGCTTTTATTAAGTATTCGTGAAAAAGCAGGTGTATAACTAAATCGTGTAATTCAATTTGCTACGAGGATATTGGTAAAAAAATATAAGTTTGTTTTTGCTAGTGTACAATCCGATTCAATATTATGGCGGCTCGGAACATCGCACGAGTCGCTGCGCAGTACATAGCAGTACACATATAACGCCGATATTCACAAACGATGCTTGCCTAAGTAAAGCAGCCAATCGAACGCACAGCGTTGATTAGGGCTCTGTGATTGGTTCGTGTGTCACCCTGTGCGTCCACGCGCACTGTGAGACCTCATAATAATGTTTGTAAAGTTAGGCGAAGAAACCTGCGCGCATAGCACTCGCAAATATTCGAGCTGCACGCGCCTAAGTTTGAATCGGACTGTGCCTATGTTAAATTATTTCCTGTATGTAGTGTAGGTTAGTAGTGTAACCTTTTGATGATAATAATTTCAATTCGATAAATTCATACACATTTTTTGCTGTTGATAAAAATGTTCTTTTGTGACGTGGCAAAATGGAATTTACATCGAATGTTAAATGTACTACCCTACTTTTATAACAAACAATGGTGCAGTGGAGTTTTCGATTTTGGAAGGCGTCCCGGGTTTAATTCTTGGCCGGGTCAATTTATAGAAATATATTTTGATCGTCTCTAGGTTTTAAAATTATTGAAGTATTGTGGAATAAAATGATGAGGCATGCATTATTTTAAGATTCTTTAACCGTGCGTTCGAAACTACAATGCCTTCATAGGTTTGAATCCCAGAGGTAGACAATTGAGCCTTCTTTTATAAATATTGTATACAAGACTGAATTATCATTGGAAAAATAATATTTTAGTTAAGTAGAGACCTAGGTAGTTTTACCTTCACGCATCATGATCGCGAAAGTGATTATACAATCATTGAGTGTGATGATGTGTGTTGTAGTACCTTTGTATAGAATTATTAATTGATTTGCCAGTATTGATGTTCGACGCGCTCACCCTGAGACAATGGGCCGCGGGAAACGCATAATTACGCAAAAAACCAACATCCGATTGCCTGTTTCATATTTCCCAACGCAGTAACTTACACGGCCCCACTTGATATCCACGTATTCAATAAAAGCGCGCCAAAATATTCGGATGTCAAGGCCGCCATTTTGAAAAGACCNTGAAAAACTGTCAAAATTTGCGCGGGCAAAATGACAGCCGCTAGTGCTGTGTACGCGTTGGTATTTTTCACTGTGATCGGTTTTCAAGTGACCGCGTGGACAATCGATTTGCCGGAAGTTAGGAAATTTTATTTCGAACGTTTCGAAAAACATGAAGCCAAAGAAAATCTAAATAATGAGTCGTACGATAATATAAACGGGAATAGTGTTCATAATGCTAAAGATATGCAAGTTTACGACTTGAATAAAAATAATAGAATTAAAGACCGCGGCGAAGAGAAGAGCAAATATGCGGATTCGTTTAATAATTACGAGTCCTACATGGTGCGAAAAGTAAGTATAAAATTAAATTATATAATAAAGTTAGTTTATTAGTACTATATCTTAAATATGAAGGTAGTTGTATATTGTTATTCCTAGAATATCATCATCTTCGATCAAGCGTAAAAAACGTTAATTACCTAGTCACCTCGATTAACTTGACTCCAATTAGGTAGTTATTAATTTATTTTACGTTATGCATGAAAGAATGTGTTTCTATTCAAGCTACTTACATTGTTATTAATAATAAGTTGCTTGTCTTGTAATAAAACTAATAATTAGTTAGTCATCTCTCTCAACAGATTGTGAATTCATAAATTAACTTTTTTCTTCTTTAAAAAAAAAGCATAATTGAACTTTCTATCGCCACTGCGATTGACTTTCGTTGCTTTCGTGTTTCAAGGAATAAATAAATAAATAAATAAATAAATCTTTGGACAATTTCACACAGCGCCAGCCCTAAAGTAAGCAACTTAATGGTTGTGTTATGGGTGCTAGCTTAACGGATATACTACTTATATACTTTTTTTTTTAAATACATAAATATTATACATAGTCACACCCAGACCCGTCACAGAAATTAAAATTCATCATTTCAATTTCTGCCCGGCCGGGAATCGAACCCGGGACCTCTCGGCATAGTAGTCCGTTCTGAACCACTACACCAAACGGCCGACGGACGACGAATAATCGCAAGTAAATAAATATTTTCTTCACAAAAAAGTAACAATAATATTTACCTACACCATTTTTTAGAAAGTTAGCGTTAGCCGCAACGCATCGCAACGTCCACACTCGTGTCTCATTTCTCTTACTTTTGTAAAGACTGTTAGATACATAAAGAATTACCTATGTATCTTTTTTCTTTTCATTCTGTTATTTTGTTTTAATTTTTGTAAGCCCCTGCATAAAAGACACCCAATAAAAATTTGTGTCTTGGCAGTTACAACACTGTCAAGATGGTACTGAGTGGTTGACCTTTTTGGCAACTTTATTAGTTTTTTAAATATATTTTTTCTTTTTTTAAGTGTAATGTCTTTTGTTGCCAAATAAAAAAAATATTATTTCCTTCTTCTAACTTCTAGGTGCAGGATGCCCTTCACAATGGTAGCGTATACGTGGACGGCCTGCGTCTGTCCATCGAGCGGTACATCGAGGTGCTGGAAAACTGCAGCCGGCTCAACTTGACCTCGGTAAGGAACATGCGAGTTTACTCATTTCAATTGTTTATGATTTCTACTTTAGTGTCAGGGCCTTTATATTTTGTTTCTGTTTCTTTATTTCCATTCAAATACACTGTAAGACGTTAGAGATTATTGGAATATCCACAATTTGGACTAAATTAATATGACTGGGAATCGAACCACGCATTCTATGTGTAAATCACGCCATGTCTGTCTGTTTACTTGTCGCTTTAAATTACTAATGCGTCTTCAAAGTCTTCTTCGTTGCACTTAACAAAATTAGCGAATTTCTACAATGAATCTCTTTAGCAATAAATCAAATTAAATCTACCTTTCAAAACGCTAATCATCAGAATATACAGAGTGTCTGGGCATGTAGTGATCAAACTTTAAGGGCGAAATCTAGTTACAATTTTATCGATAAAAATACTTCAAATTTGGGGCTTGACCCATTTATCGCAAAATTACAAGGATTTAAGTTTTTAATTTTTAGTTTCACCTTTTCCTTCAAAAACAAGTGAAAGCGTGGGTAGCTTAACATTAATAAGCAAATATTTTATATCATGCGATAGTCAATAAAATTATCTTTTAGTAGAAGTAGAAAACAGACACAAGTTTCATACATTTTATGGGAATAAGAATGGATTTAATTAGAAAAATACATGATTTTTTTCTCTTCTTTTTCAGTTATTTTCCAACACAAGAAAAACCAGGTCGTTAAAGTATGTTTTTTTTGCATTTTATTATTAGTATTTGAGCTATTCTACAAAACGAATGTAAATTTATTACTCTACGTCTATTAGTTTCGACGTAATTGTTGAACTAAGAAGAAGAAAGAAGAAGGGGTATCTTCTCAGTCGGTTCCATAGTACGTCGGAATAGGTTGTGTGATTCTTTCAGGCAGTGCATTTTCGCATGTTAGCAGCGCTATGGAACAGGCTGGGAAGGGGTATCTTTGTTCAACAATTACCTCGGAACTAATAGTCGTAGACTAATAAATTTACATTCGTTTTATAGAATAGCTCAAATACTAATAATAAAATGCAGAAAAAACATACTTTAACGACCTGGTTTTTCTTGTGTTGGAAACATATGTTCCTGGTCAGGCTATACCTATAAAATTAAATTATTTAATACAGTTAGTTTAGTAGTACTATGTTTTAAATTATGAAGGTAGTTGTATATCGTTAGGTGTCATAGAATATCATCATCTTCGATCAAGTGTAAAAATGATTAATTACCTTGTCACGTTGAGGAACTTTACTTCAGTGAAGTAGTTATTAATTATTAATTTACACGTTATGCATGAAAGAATATGTTTCTATTCAAGCTACTTAACTACATTGTTAATTATTAATAATGAGTTGCATGTCATAAATTATAACCAATAATAATTAGTAGTCATCTTTCTTTTAAGATTGTATTCATAATTTTTTTTTCATCTTGAAAAACGAAGCATTTTAAACTTATCTATCGCCTCTGCAATTGTTTTTCATGTTTTATGGTTACTGAGTGGATTTAGCAATTTTATCGTTTCGTTTTTTTTTCAATTGTAATGTCTTGTTGCCAAATAAAATTATTTCCTTCTTCTTTTAACTTAGGTGCAGGATGCCCTTCACAATGGTAGCGTATACGTGGACGGCCTGCGTCTGTCCATCGAGCGGTACATCGAGGTGCTGGAAAACTGCAGCCGGCTCAACTTGACCTCGGTAAGGAACATGCATTAATTGTTTATGATTTCTACTTTAGGCCTTGTTATTTTGTTTCTGTTTCAATATTTCCATTCAAATACAATATAGGGGAACCTGTTGAACCTTGGACAGAGTTGTACCTAAAACAATTGTATATATTTTTTAAATTATGCGGTTTTATGAAAAGTTGTCTAGGGTATTACATACGTTATTTGTCAACATTAACGTGAAGTTAGCTAAGATTCGCCGACGCCGTGCAAGTACAAGAAAAAATGGTAATTTAATATTTTACACTGACGCAGTGAGATTTTGGAGGTTTACTTCATGTCAATTTATGAAAAATGTTGCATGTTTGACAAAACGGTTATAGTTAGAACATAATCTTTATATATCTAGCTACTGGACGATATGAGTTTCAGATTCTAAGCTCAAATGGAAGTGGGTTTATTATGCTTATTAAGTGAAGTAGTCGTAATGTTGTACCTTGACCACCCAACTAGCGATGTACCTTGGTCACTGTTTTTCATTACGTTTAAATGAGAATTTTATTGTAATAAAAAAAAATTATACTGTTATAGAAGCAAATGCCCCGAAGACCTCAAAATAGCAATTTAAAGTCTGTTTTTGATATATTTTTTTATAATTTCTAATGTTTTTTAAATTTACGTTTAATGTATCTTCATATGACTTTTTTAAGATTATTTACGTTGATAAAGCGGTTTTAATGGATATTTAATTCATTATGTTTTGGACAAACCGTTCACGTGCTTATCTTCGACAAAGTAGAAAATGTACGTTTAGTTAATAACCCTCTCTACGTCCAATAGCTCGTCACCCGCAGGCTCCCAAGCCTTATAAAGGGCCACCTTAACCAGCGTATCCCTGTCAGGGCTCGCGAGTTGGATTCGCCTATCCTTGTTCGTCCCAGCCGATCCTTAACTGCGGTTGCTGCACCTCTTCCTTGCACTCTCCTGAACGACACTGTGTTATCTACTATGGTTCCCCCTCTTCCTTGTACCCTCCTGTACGACTGTATTGCTTAGCCGTATGCCTGGTCCAATGTTCGATGCCACAAAATCAACTTCATACGCGTGAAAATAGTTTAAATACTATTTCCCGTGCTTGCAACATTTTTCTTTACTGCTTCGCCTCTATTAGTCGTAGAGTGAATGTATGTATCCTATAGCCTTTCTCAATTTATGAGCTATTCAACACAATAATAATTATTTAAATCAAACAACCAATTCTTGCTGTCAGTAACAGTAGCCACATCTGTTTTAAGATCAAGTAAGTCAAGAAATCTGTTTTCAGTAGCTCTGCAAACTGCACTAATTCGCCACCTAGGCTGTTCTCCAAATCAATTAACATACTGACAGTAGTTTCACAGTTCATTTATGAAAACCTTTTATATTATGTTCGAAAAATATAGAGCAATTCACGAAAAAGAGCGATTTGCATAACTTTAATACAAGAAACAAAAATAAACTTGCCGTTCCAAATTTCTAGGCCAGTAGAATTAGATTTTAAATCGGAAATAATTCCTACAAAAGATTTTATTGCTTTAATGGCTTCATTGGTTGCCCATTAAGACTCTACTAGGTTTTCGACTTCGACGAAGTTGTGCTTAAGTGGTGGGGGCCTCCGAAAGGGGCGTTTTTTCGGTTTTCCGGTTATACCGCGTAAAGGACTTACCGTATCGAAAAGTGGTCTTCAGGACGGTTAAAGAGCACTTCATTCTGCATTGAATAAGACCAAATTCATATGTTTTGGACAAACCGTTCTCGTGCTTATCTTCGACAAAGTAGAAAATGTACGTATAATTAATAACCCTCTCTATGTCCAATAGCTCGTCACCCGCAGGCTCCCACTTTGTTGAATATACTCGTAGAACATGATTTCCTTAAAGAAGTTGATATTGAAAGTGTTATCTCTAAATTTGCCCACATTAAATCAAGAAAAGTTCATTTGTAGATAACAGTTTTGTTTCATTTAATACCCTAAACTTGAGAACCTAAAGCAAACCAAGGGCCCCTTGATAGAAATTTGCTACAGGCCCCGCGCTGGCTTAATCCGGCACTGGTTGGAAAATAACTGAAAAAGAAGAGAAAAAAATCATATATTTTTCTAATTAAATCCATTCTTACTCCCATAAAATGTATGAAACTTGTGTCTGTTTTCGACTTCTACTAAAAGATAATTTTATTGGCTATCGCATGATATAAAATAATTGCTTATTAATGTTAAGCTACCCACGCTTTCACTAGTTTTTGAAGGAAGAGGTGAAAACTAAAAATTAAAAACTTAAATCCTTGTAATTTTGCGATAAATGGGTCAAGCCCCAAATTTGAAGTATTTTTATCGATAAAATTGTCTCTAGATTTTGCCCTTAAAGTTTGATCACTACATGCCCGGACACACTGTATAGATGTCTCGTAGGGCGCTACCATCAATACTGGTTTGTTAGTTTTTGATTTTTGCCACTGGACGTTTCATAATCGTTGGACTATTGACGTCAGTGCTAGTGTTAGTGAAGTAGCAGCATAGTGCGGTCTCAAAGCTTATTCAGTGTTAATAAAGGCACCTCGCCGATGGTGTCCCGGACTCCCGGTTAGTGAAGTTTAACTTGCCTAGTGAAAGTGTAGATTTAGATAGCGGATATTAAAGACTCTAACGTATAGTAGTCACTGCCTAATTACATCCATGTCATAATCATCATCATTTCAGCCATAGGACGGCCTGCGTCCACCGCTTCCCTGATACCTTTACGATGTTGTCGGTCCACCTTGTAGGTGGGCGTCCCACGCTGCGTTTTCCGGTACGCGGCCTCCATTCCAGAACCTTTCTGCCCCATCGGCTGTCCCCATAAGCTATTGATTGATATAAAATATGTCATCAACCCTAGGACCTCCCGCCCGAGTTAACATCGCCGTTATCCATTGGCGATTTCACCAGCGTCCGCGCCTGGGTGACCACCTGCCGTCGAGCCACCGAGTCGAGCGAGCACGTGCGGCGGCTCGCCGAGCTGGCGCTGTGGACCACGCGTCGGTTGCAGGACGTGGCTTTCACTGCTAAGTACAGCAAGGTCGGGACATGAGGGCTATAGTATTTGTCTTACCAGCTAGCGCTAAGGTCCAGCTGTCACTTGCTGGCATTCACTGCTAGTCTCTAGTAGCTAGTATTCACTAGTTGACGCCGCTGTAGATCCTGTACATTATAGCTCTAGCGAATAACTGAGTCCAGTACTTGAGGTATGGAAGCTGCACGGAAGGACAGCCCTCCTGCGTTTTCAAATAGTATGAAATTTTTGTCGTTTATCGCGAGACAGCCATGGCTGCTAAAGTTGCATTAAACGTGAAAGCGTAAGAAGGAGCATCACATTTGCACTCACTAAGATGTCGTCATTGTAGAGTAAGGCCCTACCACTTTCTAGTAGCTAAGAATGGCGCCAACCGCTAAAGTGACAGGAGTGACTATCGCATATCGTCGCTTGCCTCTCTAACTGACGTAACAATAAATAATAAAAAAAAAATAATAAGAAAAAGCAATAAATACATTCTATTCTATTCTATTCTAACTGACATTTTTCAGGCCATTAGACAGATCGATTCGTCTTGCAAAATTGATTAAGGTCAATATCTGTGATTAAGGTGGTGTAGAGAACTCAGTTTCGAAAAAAATGTCAGATACGTCAGTTAGAGAGGCAAGCGACGATATGCTGTCACCACGATGTCACTACTAGAGTAAGGATCTATCCACCGGCGCCGTGGCCAGCGTCCGCGCCTGGGTAACCACCTGCCGTCGAGCCACCGAGTCGAGCGAGCACGTGCGGCGGCTCGCCGAGCTGGCGCTGTGGACCACGCGTCGGCTGCAGGACGTAGCATTCACTGCTAAGTACAGCAAGGTCGGTAGATTCAAAGGGGACTATGGTTTTTGATCCCAGCTGGCGCCCCTAGAGTAGGTCCTGTCACTCGCTATGACTGTAATAGTGGCGCTAACTGGTGAGTGCTGAAGTGGCAGGAGTAATATCGCATTCGCAGGGGAGTCGGAGCGGCACGGGACGGGTGACATTGATTTGACCGAGCATACATACATATACAAGTCTGAAGCACATCTGAAGTATCGCTGACGTTTGACGTCACAAAAAATCTTATGTGCTGTCATATTTGCTACCAGTTGGCGCCACTGTAAAGTCCTATCACTCGCTGACGTTCACTGCTAAATATAGCAAGATTAACAAGGATCATTATCATTTCAGCCAAAGCAGGACGTCCACTGGTGAATATAGGTCTTCCTCAATGATTTCCATTCTGACCGATTGGTAGCCTGCATCCAGCGCCTTCCTGTAAATGAGGTCGCCCGTCAGTCCACCTTTATGGTCGCCTCTTCACAAATTCAATATCAAAAGTATTGGGATTACTTAACGTTACTCTCTTATTTCCAAAAAATATAAAAGAATTAATGGGCAATAGTACCTACCTATAATAATACCCACGTAGGTACATTACCCATTCTTTCTTTTGAATATTAACCTATATTGCTTAGATTAATAAAACCTAGATGGATAGTCTNTTCAGATTCTAAGCTCAAATGGAAGTGGGTTTATTATGCTTATTAAGTGAAGTAGTCGTAATGTTGTACCTTGACCACCCAACTAGCGATGTACCTTGGTCACTGTTTTTCATTACGTTTAAATGAGAATTTTATTGTAATAAAAAAAAATTATACTGTTATAGAAGCAAATGCCCCGAAGACCTCAAAATAGCAATTTAAAGTCTGTTTTTGATATATTTTTTTATAATTTCTAATGTTTTTTAAATTTACGTTTAATGTATCTTCATATGACTTTTTTAAGATTATTTACGTTGATAAAGCGGTTTTAATGGATATTTTGCTAGAATTTATGTTAAATGATAAAAAATAAAAAAAAACTACATTGCAAGTTAAAGCCACTCCAGCGCGTATTTTGTCCTACACGACATAACATATCAACATTCAACTAAATTTTCTAGATAAAATGTTGAATATTGTCATATTTTTGTTGATTGTGTAAGGCTAAACATGGACTGGAGAGCCGGCTTAAACTTAAGTGATTTGTTGCCAAAAAATTGTGAAAAATAATTAATACAAAAAATATGGATGAGGATCTTTTTTAAAAAATACTTTTGCTTAGATATTGTTGCTAATAACTGTAATAATTGGTATTTCAAATAATAATTTAACAGAAAATTAACAAATTGAAGCGAATATAAGCATTTATTTAAATTTAAATAGGTACAACGTACACGGTCCAAGGTACATCTGGTTTGTTGTACCTAGGACAGTTTTCCTTTTTTTTTTCTACCAGCTAGTAGGTATGCCCAAATTTTTAAAATTATACACAATTTTATGAATTAATTATGTAGTTAATTAAATGATCTTTAAATATAACTGCACTAGACAAGTTTAACTATCACCATGATTTTTCAAAAAATCAAAATTCGAAAAACTGGCCTAAGTACAACAGGTTCCCCTAATAATATTAGAGATTATTGGAATTTGCTCGATTTGGACTGGATACGACTGGGAATCGAACCACGCACCCTTTGTGTAAATCACGCCATGTCTGTCTGTTTACCTATCGCCTTAAATTACTAATGCTATCAGTTAGATATTGTCATTCGTCAACTAACACTTCAATTAGCGAATTTCTACAATGAATCTCTTTAGTAAAAAAAAAACAAATTAAATCTACCTTTCAAAACACTAATCATCAGTACACAGATGTCGTATGGGGCGCTACTATCAATAATTTGTTGTTAGTTTTTGATTTTTGCCACTGGACGTTTCAAAATCGTTGGACTATTGACGTCAGTGCTAGTGTTAGTGAAGTGGCAGACATAGTGCGGTCTCAAAGCTTATTCAGTGTTAATAAAGGCACCTCGCCGATGGTGTCCCGGTTAGTGAAGTTTAACTTGCCTAGTGAAAGTGTAGATTTAGATAGCGGATATTAAAGACTCTAACGTATAGTAGTCACTGCCTAATTACATCCATGTCATAATCATAATCATTTCAGCCATAGGACGGCCACTGCTGAACATAGGCCTCCCCCATCCCCCTGGCCTGCGTCCAGCGCTTCCCTGATACCTTTACGATGTTGTCGGTCCACCTTGTAGGTGGGCGTCCCACGCTGCGTTTTCCGGTACGCGGCCTCCATTCCAGAACCTTTCTGCCCCATCGGCTGTCCCCATAAGCTATTGATTGATATAAAATATGTCATCAACCCTAGGACCTCCCGCCCGAGCTAACAGCACCGTTATCCATCGGCGATTTCACCGGCGTCCGCGCCTTGGTGACCACCTGCCGTCGAGCCACCGAGTCGAGCGAGCACGTGCGGCGGCTCGCCGAGCTGGCGCTGTGGACCACGCGTCGGTTGCAGGACGTGGCTTTCACTGCTAAGTACAGCAAGGTCGGGAAATGAGGACTATAGTATTGCCCTTGTAGAATAAGGTCCAGTTACTCACTTGTGGAAGACAGCGTCTGTAGGATGTTGCGTTCACTGCTAAGTACAGCAAGGCTATCAGATGCAAATTGAGACTATCGTATGATAGTTGGCGCCACTGTAAAGTAAGGTCCTGTCACTCGCTGGCGTTCACTGCTAAGTATAGCAAGGTTAGCAGAATCAAATGAGGATATCATTTTGCTACCAGTTGGAGCTACTGTAGAGTAAGGCAGGTATGCTGAGCTGGCGTTATAGGCCACGCGTCGCCTGCAGGTGGCGTTCACTGCTAAGTACAGCAAGGTTGGAAAACCAGGTTATTTGCTACCAGCTAGCGCCCCTAGAGAAGGTCCTGTCATTTGCTGGCGTTCACTGCTAAGTGCAAAGAATTTGCTAACATTTGGCGCCACTGTACAGTAAGTTATCCATGCTGAGCTAGAGCTGTGGACCACGCGTCGGTTGCAGGACGTGGCCTTCACTGCTAAGTACAGCAAGGTTAGTAGATTCAAAGGACTATCAACAGCTGGCACGACTAACCAGTGGTATGACCTTAGTCTATATTGGCGTGAACTTGGTAAATGCAACTGCTATAGTCCTCTATCTTGCATCATAGCCATTTCTGTGATCATAGCCACTAGCGATTGACAGGAGCCAAAACGATAGCTCTCATTGGTATTTATTGTGTTGAGTATTATTTTAATAACTCAAATAACGGGGTTTGTTAATCAAATTCTTGTGTTAGGTAGTTACACAAGAATTTGGTTACCTCAATAGTCTACCAAAATATTGTTGCCTCAAAATAATATCAATGAATGGAAAGGACAATGACCAAAAATGTATGGAGTGTGGTCCAAATGTCCACCACTAACGAGACCTATGTAGTAAAATAGTCTAGTAAATACTGATTCATTATAACCAAACCGCAATCAAAAATATGCTGTCAGTAAAAAGTTATGACTGAATGAAAAGTCTGTTTTTTACCTTTTCATCCGAAAAATGTTCTTGATATCATTCTATCCATTGCACATTTTGGACTAATCTACGTATGTTATGTCATGTCGCATGTGGCGCGGGGCTATAGATGAATTTTATTAAATATTATATATTATACTAGCTGTGCCTACGACTTTGTATGCGTGAAAATAGTTTAGTAGAAAATAGTTGTCTTTACTGCTCCGCCCCTATTGGTTGTAGGGTGATGTTATTTATTGTAAAACCATCCTTGATAAATGGGCTATCCATAACAAAAATATTTTTTTAAATCGGACCAGTAGTTCCTGAGATTAGCGCGTAAACTACTACAATTTTTCAAACAGTCAAAACTTTTTACTGACAGCTTTTTTTTTTTCGTCCCATACTGAAAGTTAATCTCTATTTAATGGACTATAAGCCAATATAGGTCTCATTATTGGTGGACATTTGGACCACTTTTGGTCATTGTCCTTTCAATAAATAATTTATTCTCATTCCTTTTTGTGTGATTATTTGTCTGTGTATCAAAATTGTTTGTTTCCTTAATATTAATAAATAAATAAATAAACTAGGTACAAAATAAATATACCTACATAATATCATGTGTTAGGAGATTTCGTTAAAAATCTTTGCCAAAAGTTCAATCGTTTTATCTTGTTCGAGGCTTAATTGAGCACTAGCTACTACTGACTACTTATCCCAGAAAACATCTGACGTTCTCCAAACCTTACCATCTGCTTACAGGATGACAGCATGGAAGAGAACGAATTGTTACTGCGTCTGGCGTGGTATCTGGACAAGCTGGCGCATCTCACAGGCTACGACCCTAATCCCGAAGATCACACCACCACTGCTAGACCACCAGGTTAGTAAAGTAATTTATAAGAAAGCTAAGATCAAAATAAAAAAGGAAGATTTATGGTATGTCATTGGGGAAGATACCCTAAAATAGGAGTGTATATCATAGTTGCGATAAACAAAGGTGCTACAAACGTAGTGGCGACAGTACGTTATGCCGACAATCAATGGCGCGACTGCACATTAGCTCGACGAACGTTAGCGCGACAGAACGATGGGGCGACAAACGAAAGCACGACAGTACTTTGGCGCGACAAACCCTAGCGCGACATTACTTAGGCTCGACAAACGATTGCACGACAGAACCTCCCTACTGGGCTACATAGGTCTAACATAGGTCTCCGGTGAGCGAGACAGAGCAAAGAGCTCCCAAGTTTCGTGCAAGCTAGATAAAGTAGTCAGCGAGTCCGAAAGTAAGCATGCACCTAATTTAGACAGCACACTTGCGATACGCTACGGGACTATTCCCACAACTCGTTCCCACCGCTGCAACTCCTGTGTAGCCAGGATCTACAACTTGAGCGCCAATAAAGCCAACCAGTGAAGATACGCTAGTGTCGTACCTTCTCTTTTTGTTTTAATCAAAGTAAAAAAATATCAGATAACTTCTGAATGTCTATTTGTATTGCGCTGACTATACTTAGTTTCTTGCACTGCTTCTCTTCAGCACTGGCCCATTTATTGTCCTGAAGCAGTGGTAGGGTTAATACTGGGACGTGTAAAAGTGCTTTTTTATTGATTTGTGAATCAACACCGCCAAAGCGACTGTCCAAGCGTCTCAAGTTCTCAACTTTCAGTAAAGGTAAGTATCACAATTCCAGAAACAACACGTCTGCCCTCACTCGCCCTGCCTCTGCCGAACTTTCTGCCAAACATATCGGCTGAAGTGAAGAACGCCATACTGGAATGTCTCCGAGTAAACTCTAGCGAGCCCGCGACCCAAAGGTGTGCCCTGCCGATCCCGCCGCGGGCGCTCAGGCAAATCGCTAGGGTGTATAATTTAAGTGGTGCGTATTTCAATAAATCATCATCATTTCAGCCACAGGACGTCCACTGCTGAACATAGGCCTCCTCCAATGATCTTCCACATGGCGCGGTTGGTAGCGGCCTGCATCCAACGCCTTCCTGCGAACTTTATAAATAAATTTAATATTATCAAAGCTCATGTTCGAATTCATATAAACAAAAAGCCAAAAATCGGAGGTAAATAGATAAACAGGCTCATGTTTGCCATGTTCAAACTCTAGGAGAGAGAATGCGTACTAGGTCCCAAACTAATAGTAGGTACCTATTGCCATCGATCTAATAGCTAACTAGGTAGACCGACGATCTGATGAAGGTAGGAAGTACCTGGATGCGGGCAAAGCGAACAATCGTTGTGGAAAAAGAAAATCCTTGAAGGAGGCCTTTCTCCAGTTGTGAACGTCATTTGGCTGAAACGATGTCTACTACAAAATAAGTTAGGAACACTTAAGCAGGAATCGAAAGCTAATCAATCAATACTAATCATAATATTTTTTCTCCGCCTCGTTGTTTTTTGTGCTTTTTAGTTGTCAAATAAATAATTTTTCTTTCTTTCTTTCTTTCTATTATATTTAGGTAGGTATTATTTAACAGTTGTTAACAAACTGTAATACAACTTTAATTTGAGTAATAGGTTGTCGAAATGTAGTAATTAGCAGTCATCGGAAACAGTAATTCGATGTAATTTGGCTACAGTTATGCACTGGAAAATTTTGTACTCAATATTGAGCAGTTTCTAATTGGTATTAATGAGGGTTTTCGCGAATGAAAAATCCGCCAGATGGCAATACGTAGATGCGAAGTCCAAATGCTGCATGATTGGTTATTTTTGACATGACATTGACAGATATGTCAAAATCCACCAATCACGCAGCAGTCAGACCCCACATCCACGTCCCGCCATCTAGCGGATCTTTCATTCACGAAAACCCTCATTGAACTGAGTTATTTTTCACTTCCGCAGATTCCTCCGAAACAGACGCGTCACTTGATACGTCAGGCCGAGTACCACGAAGATTGAGTGACGACACTCCGCTCCCATCCCTAGAACCGGAACTGCTGCTCGCCACAGACAACAAACGCGTTTTCGCGCCAATTCTGACACCTGTCAAATCCGTTCAGAAACGCTCCGTCACAGATTCGGTAGATCCGTTGGTGAAGGTTTTGAAATATTACGCGAAGCACAAAATTTGGGTTAATTCTAATCCTCTCGTTGAAATTTCAGACGAATCTGCGCCTAATAATGATGTCTATGATGTTAAAAACGATTTGCACCCTAAAAATATCCAAAAACGGTCATTAGATGATAAACCACAAGTTATAAACAAGCTTCAAACAAATCCTTTGCAGGATCTTAGCAAATACATTAAAGGAAAACCTAGTATCCACTACAACATCAACAGAGAACGTTTCCGTTCTGCTCTAGACGCTATTCACAGCAAAAAGGTACTTTCGAACAACAAAATAAAGAAGTTAAAAAAGATTTTTAGATACCGACGTTCGCCCTACGAGTTTGAACACCACCACCACGAGCATTTTCTTCCACACATTCCACACGACCACGTAATAAAAACGCACACAAACGTCCACTACGAACCTCACAAAGATCCGGCAGTCGTAGCTAAGGAGACCGTTGAAAAAATAAAGGCGACCATAGACAAGATACACACGAAAAAGGTTATATTGCACAAGAAGATTGAAGCGTTGAAACATATTTTGCGGTCGAAACGGTCTACGCACTATGAGGGTGTGATCCGGCCCCGTATATNGCGTATTTCGGACAATCCTCAGCCAGACTTGAGTTATTTTGTAAAGAATAGGGTAGGCACAAATTTTAATAGGGATTTGGCTCAAGCAGCATCGGTCAGAGCGTCGCTAGAGAATGCTTTCCAGAGGGGAAACATTTTGGTGGTACAGCGGTACGGAGCTAACTACAATCCAGCTGTTCTCAACCCTTTCTATGCTGGAGTGCTTCAATCTATGAGTGATTCTTAACCCTCAATCGCTCAATGGTAGTATAGTAACCACATTATTTCAAACTTTATTGCCTTGTGTTAAGGTCTAAAAACAAGGATTTTTTTTTAACTTGCGTATCCGTTCTACAGCCGTATTGGGGCAGTAGTTTCTTTTCTTAACAATAACGTTATCATAAATCACTGGTTAACGCAGCGTAGGACGTCCACCCACAAGGTGGACCGATGACCTCGTAAAGTAGCAGGAAGGTGCTGGATGTAGGCTGCTACCAACAGATCATTGTGGAAATCATTGGGGAAGGCCTATATTCAGCAGTGGACGTCCTATGGCTGATATGATGATGATGAAATCACCGAGTTTTCATAACGTCATCACAATTTCTATATTGTTGTAATGTTGTATAATTTTTTTATTATACTTGTGTGCTTAATTTATTAAAATCAGATAGTTACTCTTCTAATACCAAAACTGTATTTCTGTGACGTAACTCGCCACCGCGTTCTAAAAGTTTGGCAGCGCCATCTTTTATTTATAAATAGAACTAGAATGAACACCTTAATAGAAACATAAATTAATGTAGTTTTATTTGTCGGTGTATATTATATTTAGTTTTATTTATTGGAGCATAATATTGAAATAAATAATTAGTTAAGTATTTAACATCAATTTTGTAGTTTAATAAAGCAAAACTGAATTTGTTTGTAATTTTACTGCATGGCAATAGCTCCAACAGTAAGTATAGTTCCAAAGTACTGAACTGTCCTATCCATGACATTGACAGTGGGGCGCCACCGTCAATACCGGATCGCTGGTTCCGATTTTTGCCATGTTGGAAACCATATAGTTGAACGATGGTAGCGCCCCCTGTCATTGAGTTAGGTGTGACAGTTCAGCGTGGGTCATCTATAGTCTCATTGTCACCGTGATAGTATGTCTCTTTGTCACAGTGACAGTATGTCTTTTTGTAACCGTGATATAGATGACCCACGCTGAACTGTCCCACCAAACTCAATGACAGGGGGGCGCTACCATCGTTCAACTATATGGTTTCCAACATGGCAAAAATCTGAACCAGTGATCCGGTATAGACGGTGGCGCCCCACTGTCAATGTCATCGACAGGACAGTCCAGTATTTTGGAACTATAGTACGTCTCTTTGTCACCGTGACAGTATGTCTTTTTGTCACCGTGACAGTATGTCTTTTTGTAACCGTGATAGTACGTCTCTTTGTCACCGTGACAGTATGTCTTTTTGTAACCGTAACAGTAGTCTCTTTGTCACCGTGACAGTAGTCTCTTTGTCACCATGATATATTTCTCTCCATAAATTGGAATTCAGAATTAGTACTACAATCCGGCCGAGTTAACGCACACCTGGCTGCCGTGACGTCACATCGACTCTGGTACGGACGGTAATGCGAGGGAGATTCGCATTCAACGTGGTGCGCAGTTAACTCGATTGGGTTGTAANCTCGTAAAGTAGCAGGATGGCGCTGGATGTAGGCCGCCGCAAGGTGGACCGATGGCCTCGTAAAGTAGCAGGAAGGCGCTGTATGTAGGCTGCTACCAACAGATCATTATGGAATTGGGGAAGGCCTATGTTCAGAAGTGGACGTCCTATGGCTGATATGATGATGATGAAATCACCGAGTTTTCATCTATATTGTTGTATTTTTTTTTATTATACTTGTGTGCTTAATTTATTTTAAAATCAGATAGTTACTCTTCTAATACCCAAAACTGTATTTCGATGACGTAACTTGCTACCGCATTCTAAAAGTTTGGCAGCGCCATCTTTTATTTATAAATAGAACTAGAATGAACACCTTAATCTATATATATAAAAATGAAACCCGTTTCGCGTTGTCACGGCATCACGTGTGAACGGCTGAACCGATTTCGATAATTCTTTTTTTTAAATGTTTGTGGAAGTCCAAGGATGGTTCTTACGGAAAAAAATATTAAGAAAATCTCTACGCTAAGGCGGTACGAAGTTCGCCGGGTCAGCTAGTAGATACATAAAATAATGTAGTTTTATTAATTTGTCGGTGTATATTATTTTTTAGTTTTATTTATTGGTGCATAATATTAATAAATAATTAGTTAAGTATTTAATATCAGTTTTTTAGTTTAATAAAGCAAAACTGAATTTATTTGTAATTTTACTACATGGAAATAGTAAGTCCCTTCTAAATCTTACATTAGTTTTTTAAGGCGCGACATTTGTCACCGTGACAATATGTCTCTTTGTCACCATGACAGTAGTCTCTTTGTCATCGTGACAGTAGTCTCCTTGTCACCGTGACAGTAGTCTCTTTGTCACCGTGACAGTAGTCTCTTTATCACCGTGACAGTAGTCTCGTTGTCACCATGATAGTATTTCTCTCCATAAATTGGAATTCGGAATTAGTACTACAATCCGGCCGAGTTAACGCACACCTGGCTGCCGTGACGTCACATCGACTCTGGTACGGAGGGTAACGCGAGTGAGATTCGCATTCAACGTGGTGCGCAGTTAACTCGATCGGGTTGTATGTTCTCTCTTTTACTCTTTATAAAAGTGTAAAAGAGAAATATATGTCACCGTAAAATTGTGAATTCCGTCAGATTATAATCTGACGTAGTTAAATTACAATCTAACCTAACCTAACCGACTGTTAGTTTACAATCTAACGCGTTATATTATAAACTGACAGAGTTCACAATTTCACGTTGACATATATACTGTCACGGTGACAAAATTGAATTTAGGAGAAAGGTAAACTGTCACGGTGACAAAATTGAGAAAATGAAACAAATGAATTAATTACACAAAAATATATTCAATAATAATAATTGAGAAGCAGTACGAACTACATTAACATGATTGTGGGACGTCCCAGTACATTTACGTACGTCCCAGTACATCTTACGTAAGAATATGCACAGATTACGAATTAAGCGTCAAGTTGTTACGGTCATTCTCAATAAAAGTATTTATGTATGTATCTGGTACGTACCCATAGTACAAGCTTTGCTTAATCTGGGACAGACAAAAAAGGTAAGGGTTGCCATTAAAAATACCTAAATGTTGCCATTTAAAAAATGGGGATATCAGTTTTGACAGTTCAAATAAAACGGCGCTACAGTCCTATCAACTTAAGCTGAGAATTGCATTTGTGTGAGTGATCGCCAAAAGTACAGTTAGTAAAACACATTCAAATAAAATTAATGTTTTATTAAAAGGAACTCCATAAAACACTAGCTACCAATCGGGCCGATGTAACGACACTTGACACATCCTTTTAAATAAATAAATAAATAAAAACAGGTCCTCGCTCAGCATATGCCAATTGCCAAGGCACGAAGTACTTCGACGCTGATATTCTGCGAGCACCGTTTATAGAGAGGGCGTCCAGTCAGCCTTACAAAATACAACAAAAAGACAAATAAATTTATAAAATTACAAAATAAAAACAGACTAAAAACTTTTCGTTCACACCTTTAAAATGTACGTATTCAATTAGCATAAAATTTCTTTCACTTGCCTGCTTAATGGCTATCGTACAGGAAATTCACTTACAGTAGGAGCCATTTCACTAATATTTGGAACACAATTACATAAAATTACACGTCTATCTGCTACCAGTACCGGGGGTGAAGTGAAGTATGTGAGCGGCAGGGAAGTGACGCGTGGCGGACGCGCCGCGCCTCAGGCCGCTTGCTATAATCTAGTATAAACCGGTTTAAACCATGCGCGGGACGCGCCGCGCCTCAAGCCGATTGCCACTCTACACTATCGGTGTGCACTCACACAAATGCAATTCTCAGCTTAAGTTGAGAGGACTGTACCAGTAACTCACTCGTCAGTGGTGGCAACTTTGAAGTATAAAAACGACAGCCCTCTTTGCAAAAACATTTCTAAAATTAATTCAAATTCAAATTCAAATTGTTTATTTGCCTACTAAGTGTACATTAAAGGTCTTATCACTAATACATTACAAAAAAAAACTTGTCAAAATTCCTGATTTTAACAAAAACAGTTGAATTAAAAAAAACAATAGAAAAGAACGACCATAATCAACTCGCGCGCATAAGACACCGCACCGCCGGGGACAAAATAGTATAACAATGTAATAAACTTGATAAAATCAACGACTACTAAGGGCGGGGGCCTACGGCCTGTTGTACTTTGCGGAGGGTCTATGAAGACAACTGAGGGGTCTTTTGTACCACTAATAAGCATTAATGGCGGAAAAAAGTGCAAGCGCTTATACGCAAAATGGCGATCGGTAAGCGGTAAGCGTTGTCACTCATAAAAAAACTAGCGGCCGCCCGCGACTTCGTACGCGTGGATCCCGTTTTACCCCGTTAGGGGTGGAGTTTCGTAAAATCCTTTCTTAGCGGATGCCTACGTCATAACATCTGCCTGCTTGCCAAATATCAGCCCAATCCGTCCAGTGGTTTGGGCTGTGTGTTGATAGATCATTATATCAGTCAGTCAGTCAGTCACCTTTGAGTTATATATATTTAGATGAAGGAAACACGTCACTATTGAAGTTAGCAAACGTGCCCTCGTCGAAAACTGACGTATGGGTCGCTATTTTTTCCGCCAAACATACCTATATAAGTTTCCAGAAAAATGTTATACATTTTAAGCTTTGCTTAGTTTGGGACTAGATGGCGCTGTTTATAAGCCCAAGGTTCTTGAGTGGTTGTTGTTCAGATCAAAGCATTCTGAACTTTATGTCAACAATGATAGGTCTTGAATTAGCAGTGTTAAAACTACCCTCAGTTGCAAAAACTTTCAACAAACTCCCGACGGTGCGGCAAGCGACTTAGAAATTAATAAAAATATTAAAGGACAAATGGCCGATTGATTTTATTCTTAAAGCGAAGTTAACTTAAATTATGCTCAATACAAAGTCTGCTGATTACGATTCGACTGACCAAAGAATATTTTTGGCTGTCGAATTTTCGCCAGTACATCAACCAACGACAAAATTACGTTACTTGATTTTCAATCTTAAGTTCAACGAATAATGTCGAAAATTCGCTCAGCATTTACTTGGATTTAATTTGTTATATCTCATTTTAAAAGATATTTTCTCTTTTTTTTTTTTGTTCTGTTGTAGGTTGAATTACTGGCGACTATACAGAGCCTTTAAAGAAAAAGGTTAAATATGAAATAATTATACTTAATTACTTACATTAAAAACTAGATATAACACATTATTATTGTCTCGCCGATGTATTTATTGCTTTAATACTTTTAAAAATGACGTTAACAGCCATATAAATATTTAAAACATGATTTAAAACAAAAAACAATGTCTGTTACTACCATAACATTAATTTAAAACATTGTTATAGAATAAATTCTTGTTTTAATGTTCAGAAATTTTAATTTAATTTAAAAGTTAAAAAGATTAAAAACACGTAAAACAGCACCATTTGTTTTACAAACAATTTAACGGTCAAACAAAAAATTATTCTATAACAAACAATTGTTTATTGTTTGCAATTAAATTGTTGGTCCCAATTTCCAAGTTCTCACATTTGTGACAGTTAATTTCAATGAAAATGGTAATTTTTCGGCCATTTCTATCGAAAATCTAAGTAAGGTTGTCAAAATTGTACTGTAAACTATCTGACAAGTTATAATTATTATGTTTTCGAAAATAAACAAATANACACGGTGTATACACAATACAGTGTACGTATACGCGTACCAAAAAAGATACACAACAATAAAAGCCGTGGAATGCAGAAAAAAACGTTGAAGGAATGTTTTTTTAGTCTTTAAATTTGATTTCAGTCAAAATGGATTTCTAAATTATTATTTTGCTAACACAGTACAGTACAGACTTTCATTTTCATATGATATCTACATCCCACGAATGTATATTTGTATACATATAAGCAAAGGCACGAATTTCAACAACTTATCGACCTGTATACGGCCGTATATAAATGAATTACTGTATATTATATACCAATACAATAGTATATACACGCTACGTTAATATACTCTAGTCAGAAGCAGCTACAACAGTTAAGGCTCGATTACATAATTGACAGTTTTGTAACAAACAGCTGTTTACAATTTTTTGAATTGTTTTACAATTTTTTGAACTGTGTTACATTTTTTTTTTAATTAAACGTGACACGCTTTTTGTCATATTCAATATATTTATTGCTATTAAGTAGTGTAACTATAGTCTGGTCTGTGAGCACGTAGAATTTTGTCCAATGACCCTAAGTTACACAGTCGCGATAGCAATATAATTACGCGCGAGCGATAAGGATGGGTAGCTTGGGGTCATTGGACAAAATTCTACGTGCTCACGGACCAGGCTTTAGTTGAAAATAGAGAATATTTTTATTATTAATTCAAGCTTGATGAAACATACCTATTCACCTTTTCGTATTGTTGTAACTGCTCTTGACTAGTCTACGCGTAGAGGCCTACATGTGGCTCTGAGGCCGCTTCTTCCTGCTGAACAGGCCTCCGAAGACGCCCTTTTTGTCTTTCTTTTCTTTTGTGACGCCGCTCACCGACAATTCGGATTCACCGGATGACCTGATGGAAACGAAGTGTTTATATAATTTTCTTAGTTTAAGTCTTAGGACTCTACTGGCCTAGAATAGCAGATGGTTATTCAAATTACCCTTCTGAGGGCACTTAAACACTTCCCAAATATAGCTTGCCCTACCGGGACAACATGTTAGTGCTAAGAAGTGCCATTAAAAACTATTTATGTTCTTTAGATGAGTACGACTGAGTTGTAGTGGTCATATTCTAGCATGCATGCCGTGGAAACACGCCGGCTGATCGCATGTGATCGCGTTGGTTTGACTGAACCTTAAAGGATCACTTTCTTGTTCAACACCATTGTTAGTAATAGCTTTTGCCCGCGGGTTCACCCGCGTGAAATTTAGTTTGTCACAGATCGTCATAAATTATAGCCTGTATGTTATTCTGAGTTATAAACAATAATACTGCAAAGTTTCATGAAAATCCGGCCAGTAGTTTTTGCGAGAAAAAGTAACAAACATCCACACAAACTTTCGCATTTATAATATTAGTAGGATTCATCTAAATGACGTAATCTGTTGTGTTTTCCAATAAAAAAATATTATATTCTGTTCGAACCACACGGCCAAAGCTATAAGATAAAATAGTGGAACATCAGGCCTCCTCAACCCGTTCCGCTAGCGTGGGAAGTGTAGGCCAATGCGCCATTTTGCTCTGATAAATTACAGGGTCTTGCTCTTGTAGTGGAAACTAAATGACCTGCCGGGCTAAAATGCGCGCCGTGATATAAACTTATCGATGATTTTAGACGTCAAAATGTAATGCGTAAAATCAATAATAAAAATAACTTTTTTAAAAACAAGCTTTTATTCTGAATTTCGAAAGTTTGTATCGCGCATGGAATTTATTCCTCTTTTTCTCTGTTTGCGCTACAAGCTTTCGAAATTCAGAATAAAAGCTTGTTTTTAAAAAAGTTTATTTTTATTATAATTTTATTTTACACTTTTTAGTTATATCTTAATCTCAGGACCCTGGACGTTATCTAACACTAAAGTGCTCGAAAAGACAAATCCAACGAACCCAAACTCGATGAGTTTCCGCCGTTTTGTTTAGGAGTTCCTATGGCCACCTTCCGACTCCATCATCAGACCAGCTCAATGGTACCATAATATTGCATTGTCATCGGACTTACACATGTATGCAAAATTTCAGCTCAATAGGAAACCGGGAAGTGGGTCAATTTTAAGTTGCAAGATTTGACGACAGACACCAGACATGTGAAAGTAATAAAAAGCTTGTAATAATATAATGATGCAATAACCGCTTATCGCGGCGCGCACTGATGATGCACAAAAAGAAATAGATAAACGATGTAAAGGCTCCTAGTGAACAAAATTTGTCGATTGTACTAAAATAGTGCAAATAATGAGGACTTTTTTGATTTTGATTTTACATACCTAGAAGCGGGTCTCTGGTCAAGCGCGGGCGATCCTCCGCTGCCGGCGACGGAAGCCGGGCGTGTGCTGCTGTTCCCACCGTATGCTGAGGAGATAAGGTTCAAAGTTGATTACTACTGCCTTACTGGGGGCGTGGCGATTGTCACGTGACGTGGAGTAGGCGAAGAGTGAGATGGAAGATGTTGCTACAGGCATAGCGCTTAATGAGGGCTCTCACCAGTTAGCGCCACTGTAGAGTAAGGTCCTGTCACTTTCTAGTCGCGAAGACAGTGGCGCCAACTTGTGAGCGCGAAAGTGGTAGGAGGACTATCGCATTTGCACTCAAGATGTCGCCACCGTAGAGTAAGGTCCTGTCAATCGCCAGGGGTGCCAACTGTTAAGTATAAAAACGATAGCCTTCATTGAGTAGGTTTCTGAGGTAGGAGCGGTGCGGGAGGGGTGACAAGTGACGTAATAGAACTGTCACGGGGTGAGAAGTGACGTAACAGCACTGTCACTGGGAGACTTGTGACGTAACAGAGTGGTCGCAGTATAAACATAATATCTCTGAAGCAGCACATCAAAAGCCTCGCTCACGTTTGACGTACCAAACAATTCCTTCATCATCGCTCCACTATTGCTGGAACCTACTTAGTTAAGCACTATGCCTGTCAATTAAAAGAAAAGTGACAAATTTATCACCACGCAGCGGAACTATCAAGAAAACACTTTCGTGTTACAGAACAACTCTCAAATAGGTACGATTCAATCTCAGCCATAGATTCTGTCCTGTTATTGTTTAAATATTAACATGCACAAAAAACCCTTTATCTAAACTTTAAACTGAATCGAATTTTGAGAAATATTCTGCAAAACGCATAAAAATATACTTCTTATTCATAAAAATTAAATCAGTCTTCAAAAAATGTTTGTCCCTGAGTTAAACTTCAGATATAAAGTTTTAAACAATTGAACAGATTTATTTTTTATGAATACGAGTAAAGGAATAATTTGACTAACTACAGTATAATAACACTATTTACAAAAATCCAATCCACAAGCAACAAGAAATACAACATCCAACAAAAGTACGCCATTTCAACAACCCAAGCGACCAAACCTCTACAAGAAGCATCTAAAATCTAAACCACAGCTTAATATAATAATCATAAACTCATACACAGCGCCATCTAGTCCCAAACTAAGCAAAGCTTAAAATGTATAACATTTTTGGTCTAAAAATAAAATTCAATGGGTGTGTTTGGCGGAAAAAAGCGCTTATAAGCAAAATGGCGATCGCTACGGCAATTTTCAGCGAGGACACGTTTGCTAACATTTGCTAACTTCAATGTTTCATTAATTTTTTAAGCAGTGACAGTGCTTACCGCTTTGCGTTCGGCATTTTGCTTATAAGCGCTTACAATTTATATTTTCCGCCATACGCACCCATTAATTCACGCAAAGATTGGAGTGATTCATAATAATTATTTCTAGACCATAATGCTGATATCAAAATAATTTATAGAAAAAATAAAAAGAGACAATATAAAAGGACTAAATACACAATACAAGAAATATAAATAAGCGAATAAAAACCAAAAGAACACAACACAAACAAGTACCAAACACAGAACGAAGCGCATAATACACAAAATACATAAAAATATACATATAAAGCGTACATTTGACCCGGTGGAGCACATACAAGAGATGGCTTGATCCTGGATGCATGTTCAAATTACAAAATAAACATTGTATAAGCACTAGGGATATTAATTATCACGGTACGTATCACTAGATATGTTAAGAACGTCGGAAATACACATTTTTGAGCGTAGGCTCTCTCGTAGGGCCATCAAAATACACGACAAACATAAAGAAAAGACTTTTTAAGACGAGCAACATCGAAAAATCGACATCTTCCTCGCTTGACATATCTAGCGACATTTTTATCAGCTATAGTCTGGTCCGTGAGCACGTAGAATTTTGTCCAATGACCCCAAGTTACCCATCCTTATCGCTCGCGCGTAATTATGTTGCTATCGCGCTCGCACACTCACTGCGGGCGCCCGTCGCACAGTCGCGACAGCAATATAATTACGCGCGAGCGATAAGGATGGGCAGCTAGGGGTCATTGGACAAAATTCTAGGTGCTCACGGACCGGGCTTTATTTACTTCTAAGGTTGTAAATATTCATAAAATATTATTACAGAAGTCTATCACAGCACCCTCTTTAAACGATAGTCAATTAAATTGAAGTAGACATTGAAAAAAATTAACCAACAGCTTCAGGACAAAAAAGTATTAGAGATGAGAAGAAAAAGAAAATTAATACACAAATGTGTAATACTGAATCATCATCATCATCATCATCATCATCATTTCAGCCACAGGACGTCCACTGCTGAACATGGGTCTCCCCCAATGATTTCCATATTGCCCGGTTGGTAGCGTAATACCAAAGTAAAGCGTAATACCAAAGTAAATACAAATGAGTAGGTCATCTTCATAGAAACGCCCGAGCGCAGTTTGTATAGCGCCTCACCGCTAATCCCCGCTAAATTTTGTCAGTGTGTGCGTGCGCGCCGCATACAAACCGCGCTCGGTGCGTTTCTATGAAGATGACCTACTCATTTGTATTTACTCTGGTAATACTGAATGGCACACTTCAAAGTAATTGGCAATCTAAGAAAACTTTATTTCTAATAAATAAAAAGTAAATAATTCATAAAAATAAAAAGTAAACTAAAATAAATCTAAGAAAATTTACAGCCAAATGAAAAGAAATAAAAAATACAAGCAAAAAAAGTTTGAAAAGATTTATACAAGAAAAAAAACTAAAAACTTAAAAAATAATAAGAACAGAAATACTTATTTAAAAATAGGAATAGTAGGTAAGCCAATATCTACATAATTCTACATTTTCAATTCAGATTATTTTAATACAAGGTTCACTACTTAAAAAAAAATGTTAGTCCTGCAGAAAAAATCGAAAGACAGTAAAATGTGAATATGTACTACTTTGAAACGTCTTCATCCATTTATTTAACGACGTTAACGGGAACAGTTTGAAAAATGTATTTTTGTGTTCGATAGCCCATTTACCGAGGAACGCTTCAGTAGGGTATATGACATCACCCTATAACCAATAGGGGCGGAGCAGTAAAGAAAAACGTTTCAAAAACGGGAAACATTCAAACTATTTTCACGCGTACGAAGTCGCGGGCACAGTTTTTGATAAATTCACATTTCACTGTCTTTTCTAAAAGTTAATACCGAACTACGTCATCCACACCAACTACAGACTAACCGAGCTCGCTGGCCGTGTAGAAATGCGACGTCGTCTCAACGCTCTGCCAGTTGTTGTTCTGGCGCTCCAGCGACCACGATGAGTTGCGGTTCACATCCCGAGGGGGGCCTTGATAGCTGCCCGTCATTCTTTGCTGATAACTATTCACTAGAGCGTGCACGGATTGCTTTTCTGGGTTTCTGTCGTGAGTCCTCTCGGCTATCATCGGCCCTCGCTCGGGTATCATCGGCCCACGCTCGGGTAGCATCGGTCCTCGCTCGGGTAACATCGGACCTCGCTCGGGTACTGTCGGTCCCCGCTCGGGTATGTTCGGCGCGCGTTCGGGCAGATTCGGCGCGCGCTCGGGAACGTTCGCGCGATCAGGTGGGCCCGATAGAGGTAGCGGTGGAGCGCCTTCTATTTTGAGATTTGCTATAATTTTTAATTTATGTATTTGGAGGGAAAGACACAAATATATGTAAAAATGGATCGAGCATTGATAAGCAGACAAACGACATGGACAATGCTAAAACACCACATTTCATGCACATACATTTAAACCAGTATCTTAAATTTAATGTCTTTCACTTTAGTGAATGAAGGTGCAACAACATTCATTCATTCATTCTTCTATCTTCTATCAATCAGCTGAATTGACATCGTAAATAACTATCAAACCAATATTCTAAATTGTTAAAGGCTAAAACGTATTATTGCGAAATATGGAATAGATATTGAATACCTAATTTTTTTTTATTCATTTAAGATTATAACTACGCTCTCATTCGTTCCCATTCACTCTTTTAGAGTGCGTGCGACTAGAATTCGATTTCATTGCTAAAACTTGCATTTAAAAAGCTTACAACTACAATATTGAGTAAGTGGATGATAAATCCATTCGTTCATGAACCTAGTAACCTTTTTTCCAGTAAAAATCATCATTCATCGTGCCATTGCATCCATTCAGCGTTTCATTCGTGCCAGTGCAGTTGAAATAAGAAAAATCATAATAGTGTTGTCCTTTTCAAACCAATAAAATATGAAAGAGACCGTACTAATTAAAATTGTCAACTCTCAAGAGTTTTTGAAGTTGTCCCTTTCATAGTGCTGCCTTTTTCATATACTATAAGTAAGAGGGAGATAGTGTATATGTGTTCTAAAACATACCTTCTTTCTGTGATTTTATGAACTCTGCGTTGATGTCGCGCCCGTTTGAAAACCGTGATCTACCCCACGAGCTGGTTTGTTCAGAATTTCTGTAAATAATACATTTTGAACTGTAGTTTGTTGTCATAAAGTAGTAAATATAATGTGAGTTAAGAATAGCGATGAGCAGGACAAGCGAAGAAAAGTGAAATGGGTATTTAGGACTCAGTTTATTTTGAGAAGCCATCTAAAGCCTGGTCCGTGAGCACGTAGAATCCCGTCCAATGACCCCAAGCTGCCCATCCTTGTCGCTCGCACGTTTATTTACACAACTATGTTGCTGTCCCGCTCGCACACTCACTGCGGGCGCGCGTCGCACAGTCGCGACAGCAATATAATTACGCGCGAGCGATAAGGATGGGTAGCTTGGGGTCATTGGACGGGATTCTACGTGCTCACGGACCAGGCTTTAGCGACTGCGTTAAAAATAATAATAATTGTATGACAGATCGTACAGCGTCTTCAAAATCTTCATAGATTTTTTGACGCACTCGCTAGCGACAAATTTCAATGCTAACTTTTTTTAACGGGACTTTTCCCGCCTCTCGTTCCCACCGCTGCAACTCCTGTGTAGCCAGGATCTACAGCTTGACCGCCATAACCCAACCAGTGAAAGTCAAGTTTGTCCCGGGGGAAAGTTCAACTGTCATTGGACCCGCAACGAAATAATTCAGAAGAACATAGGAGGAGTTTAAAGTTAAGGTTCGACTGCTCTGTCTGCGTCATAATATGTCAATGTCCCGTGAGATATCTTAAGACATCCACAGCAAGAGTGGAGTTTGCTGGAATCACAAGACTAACGCCTGTATTCACAAAATATACTTGCTTAAGTGAAGCAGCAAATCGAACGCACAGCGTTGACGAGCTCTGTGATTGGTTCGTGTGTTACCCTGTGCGTCCACGCGCACTGCGAGACCTCATAGTAATGTTTGTGAATACGGGCGTAATTTCCATTTTAAATTGAGTATTCTTACCTCAAAACTATATCGGCTCCGTCATCTTGCGGGGGCTGCCGAGGCGGCAATGATGGCAGCACCGTCGATTCTGCAAGTAATATTTAATGTTTTATTCACGGTTTTAGCGATGTAATGTATTATGTAGGTAACATAGAAAATAAAATACAAAGAAACACGGAGCATAGTTCTTTCCATAGTATAAGCTAAGATATTTTAATATTGCGGTTTAACTGCGCACAACGCCATCTATTAGCCAATGAGCGAATTAAGTTACGCTGTCGCCTGCTTTTACTTACCTGAGCAGTCTTTCTCTCAACCGACAGAGCGTCATTTCTTTTTTAATGCGGGTCTCTCACTATGAACTAGTAGAACGTCATTTGTTATTGCGGGACTTTCACTAGAAGTCGGTTTCTTCTTGTAAAGACACACCAAGCATAGCTTTTTTCTCGTGTCTGTGGTTCTAACTCATCAATATTCTTCTCACTCCGTTATGTTGGTGCACGTGTGAGTAAGATCACAAGCAACTCTGTGCTTGCATCATTCTAATTGTTGCTAGTAAAGAAACACTAAGTACAGTCACCAAACAAGTCTCTGTTTCTTCAAAGTTCCAACTCACCGATATTCCTCTCGTTTCGTAGGGTTTTGACTTGCTATGCTAGTCTGCCGGGCTATATTAGCGACTTCATTTTACGGATTATTCTTTCTCATTCCTTTTCAGAAACATCAATTTCCTCTCTAAAGTGGTTCTAACTCACCAATATTTCTCTCGCTCCGTTCTGGCGTGGCGGAGGAGCGTTGTTGCGAGCGGTGTTGTTGAAGAATCTCGGCCTGCGAGCGAGACTGCCTCGCTGGTTCGGGAGACGACGCCGCTGATGATGACGAAGAGCCGGCATTCCTGGGGATAGAGGATGGTTAGTATTGAAACGGGACTATTCTCACTACTAGTTTCCACCGTTGCAATCTGTGTTTCCAGGATCTTACAGGACAGATAATGCACCATCCTAGACTGCATCTCGCTTAAAATCGGATACGATTGCGATCAAATACCTGTCTTGTTCTGCATACAAAAATCTACGTCTGTTTTAAATAAGAAAACAAGTTTTAATTTATATTTTGATCTCACTGTTTAACCACAGAATAATAATAAGTACTACGTACAGAAGTTTTAGTTCACGAAGGTATTTAAAAAAATGTATGCTCAATGTCATTTACAATATGGTGTAATTTAGCCTGTCTCAAGAGTCATGCACCATTTTGTTGACAAACGTCAGTGATCGGCACTGCGCCGAAGCTATAGGGCTGACTTCGGTAAAATGATGTGACGTGAGGTGCCAAACTGCGGAAAATGGCGGAGGAAATACATGATTTAGCATGAATTATCATGAATAATATTAACTACTTATTTACCTCTCAGTGTCTTGAGGCAACTTAAAAAAGTACATTCTGTGTTTTTATTATTATTTAGGCAGTTAAATACTGCACAGTATTTAGTACACCATTTTCTTTATTTTCTTCCATCATACACAAGAATACGCATGCGTGAGTCAATGTTCGCTCGTATGTGAGGCCTTGTCGAATAGTATCCTGTAGGTGGGCCATCGTGCGTGTTTTGTTTTCGATGTAAACTCGCGGAGATGAACAGGCCTGGTTTAACTAAGCTCAAAGCCATCTGTTGGTCAATATATGGACTAAGTTTAATGAACGAACTAAGTTATGCCATCGCCTATTTTTATTGCAGTGCACAACGCCATCAGTCACATGGTGTCTATTCTACTTATGCTGCCAAAAATACTCTAATATCGCGGTTCAACTACGACGATCAATGCCATCTATTGGTCAATGAACGAACTAAATTACGCCGTCGCATCATCTGCTTTAACTTACAACGCCATCTATTGATCAATACATTAACTAAAATACAATTTAGCTAGCTGCTTTTACTCACTTTTGCAGCCTTTTCCTGAGTTCCACATTATTCTCATCCTGAGGACTTGTATTAGGCGAGTACGGAGTCAGCTGTAACTCCGGCGGTAGTTGAGCACTTCGACTATGAACAACGCCATCTATTGGTCAATGACTGAACTATTACTTACTTTTGCAACCTCTTTCTCAATTCCACATTATTCTCATCCTGAGGACTTGTATTCGGCGAGTACGGAGTCAGCTGCAACTCCGGCGGTAGTTGAGCATGGAAGGCCATCTTGGCCACCCAAGGTCTCACCTCACATGATATCACAGGTGGCGAGAGAGTGGTAGTATATGCCACATGGTGTGTTGAAAAAGCTTTAGCAATACCAAGGACATGGTATAACTACTTCTGCAGTGTCTCTCTATTCTACTTATGCTGCCAAAAATACTCTAATATCGCGGTTCAACTACGACGATCAATGCCATCTATTGGTCAATTAACGAACTAAGTTACGCCGTTTCATCATCTGCTTTATATTACAGCGCTATCTATTGGTCAATAAAGGAACTAAAATGTAATTTTACTCACTTTTGCAGCCTCTTTCTTAACTCCACATTATTCTCATCCTGAGGACTTGTATTAGGCGAGTACGGAGTCAGCTGCAACTCCGGCGGTAGTTGAGCATGGAAGGCCAGCTTGGCCACCCAGTCAAGCATCAAGTGACGGGTGGCGATAGAGTGGTAGTATATGCCATATGGTGTGTTTAGCATTACAAGTGACATGGTATACCTACTTCTGCAGTGTCTTCCTACTTATGGTGCCGAAAAAATACTCTAATATCGCGATTCAACTACGACGATCAACGCCACTATTGGTCAAATAATGTACCAAATTACACGTTTGGCTGCTTTTACTTACTTACGCTAGCAGAGCGTCAGTTGTCATTCAATGCGCGGCTTAAAAAGGTTTACTCACTTTTGCAGTCTCTTCCTGAGTTCCACATTATTTTCATCTTGCGGACTTATAATAAGTGAAATTTCGACTATGAACAACGCCATCTATTGGTCAATGACTGAACTATTACTTACTTTTGCAGCCTCTTCCTCAATTCCACATTATTCTCATCCTGAGGACTTGTATTAGGCGAGTACGGAGTCAGCTGCAACTCCGGCGGTAGTTGAGCATGGAAGGCGAGCTTGGCCACCCAGTCTCTCATCAGGTCGCGGGTGGCAGCCGCAAAGAGATACTCGGCGCCGTCCGCGCAGGCCAGACGGAATACGTGCGCGCGTTTTGTGTAATCGCCAGCCGGTGAACAGGTGGCCTGAGGAGAAAGAGGACATTTTTATTAAAGCTCCTTTACTATTAATAAACTTTGTTTTCCTGCATTATATTTAGTTATTATTATAGTTTCTTCCGCCACTTCTTCTCAGCACCAGCCCATATGTTGTCCCGTTGTGTTAGTGAGGCAATCATTATTTACGCTCTGTGGGTGTCTCCCCGCCAGAAGGGCGGGTCCTACCCGTTAAAAACGGTATCATCAAGGCAAATTGGGCTCTTGAAACGGACGGAGCCGTACTGTAGATAAATAGTAGGACATTGTAGCGTACTGTAGCATACTGTAGCGCGTTGTAGCGCATTGTAGCTAGTGTCCGACCGAATATGGATTTTCAGCCGAAAACGGAAACGAAAACGAAGCTTCGGCTGCAGTCTCATTTTCGGCCGAAAACGAAAACGAAAACGAAAATGACCTTCAACTCTCAAATTTCAATCTGTGATCAAATAATATCTTGTAAACAATATGAAATTACCTATGTAATAACCTTGAAAACCATTAATGTTTTGACCAAAAACATAATGACGTTTGACAGTTGATTTTGATAAAGGTTGATTAAATAAAACCGGCATTAAAACACAAAAAAAATATTATGAATTCTTAGTAGAATATTATTTCCGGTGTGTATTGAAATACTGGGAAGTGAAGTAGAGATAAAGGGTGTCCAGTGAGAATTTTTCAACTTCAAAAATGAATACAAATAAATCTTATGACTTTTTATTATTTATTACTAATTAACAATGCGGATAGCAATGTCGTTTAAATGATGCCCGTTTTACTATAGGCACTCTCACAGCCGGACCCTTACATTCGCAACTATGCGAAAGCAAATCGTGCTAATAATTTTCCTGCAACTTCACGGCGGATTTTTTCTTACAGAACCTGAATTATTTAAGGATAGTTTGCTGTCAACTTTTGACTTGAGATATTCCCACAAGAGAAAGTCGCACGGTGTGAGATCTGGTGACCAAGGCGGCTAGGATATGTCCCTGTACTTGCTGATCATTTATTTGAAAAAAAAGAAATAGTCCTCAGTGTCTCCATCGAGGTCCTCTCCGTGTGTGGTGAGACACTTTCTTGCTGAAATAGAGTTCCGTAGTTGTCCGGGATGCAGTTGCAGTTGTGGTATCCGACATTCATCGATCATTCGACAATACATTTCAAATACTTATTGCTCAACTACGAACGCTCTGTAGGCTCCCGATCAGTGACTCATGGCGTATTTCAAATCCGCATTAGACTCTATTTTGAAACAAGTAAACTTAATGAAAACTCTTTGGTTTTATTTGTATTCAATTTTGAAGTTGGAAAATTCTCGCTGGACACCGTTTAAAACGTAACCTCACTTCACAACTTCAAAAGAGTGTGACAATACCGCGTCCGTTCAAGTCTGATTGGAACCATGAGTGCACCAGATTCACTCGCGAAGATATCGGAACGATAAACGTCACCATCTTGTTCACGTATACCTATCTGATATTCGGTTTGGCCGAAGCTTCGGCTGGTTTTTGGCCGAAAACGAAAATATGGCCGAATGTCCATTTTTTGGCCGAAAATGGCCGAAAACGAAAACGAAAACGAATATTCGGTCGGTCACTAATTGTAGCGTACTGTAGCACATTGTAACGTACTGTAGTATACTGAGGCGCACTGTAGCGCGGTGTAGCGCATTGTAGCTTACTGTGGCGTACTGTAGCGCGCTGTAACGTACTGTGTCATACTGTAGCGCGCTGTAGCGTACCGTAGCGTGTAACACTCACGTTAAGTATAGCCACGGGAGGGGCGGCGGCCTTAGAACTCGCGAAGTCCAGTTCATCCCTGAAGAAGCACAGTAATTGTCCACACAGCACCGAGTAGTAACCACGCCAGGATCTGACGGTGGCTCGCTTGCCGCCGCAACCGGCCTCTTGCTTGCGCTCCAAGAAACCTGCGGGTGAATTGAGGAAATGCAATATCGAAATAAGCTCAAAATATGTATACAGCAATTTGGTAACAAATTCTTTAAAACCGTTCGAGGAATTGAAATCACAAGGTTAATTTGTTGGTAGTACATACTGACGACAAACAAACCAATACCCTAAAAATCAAGGTTTTTTTATGCATAACAAGGCAGGTATTTGACCGCAATCGCACAAGTGAGATGCAGTCCAGGATGATACATATCTGCCCAGTAAATGTCTATTCACTCTAGCCCTTAGCTGTTCGCATTATAAAAACGTTATCGAAGTGTTTTTCACCAGTAGATGGGAAAATAAGTTTTGAAGTACTAGACGGAAAAACGAGTTTTCTAATTCTAGGTAAACAAAATCGTTATTATCCTGCACTATATGGAAAAATATAGCTTTTCCTAGGATGCGCGCCGTGATTAGCTTTTATCGCGCCATTTTATTGATTTTACGCAATAAGCCCATACATTTGTTGCCTAAATTCACCGATATGATTTAAACTTTAGCATGTATCAATTGTTAGTAGCAATCATTATGTAGTTACGGAAGAGTGGCTCCTTCTGACACAGGTGCAAATGCACTTAAAAGAATGAGTCAACCTTTGTTTTTAGTTATAAGAAACATTGGTACTGAAATAAAGTTATTTATTTATTTATTTTATTTATTTATGATTTACGCCCGTATTCACAAACATTACTATGAGGTCTCACAGTGCGCGTGGACGCACAGGGTGACACACGAACCAATCAAAGAGCTGTATTCAACGCTGAGCGTTCGATTTGCTGCTTCACTTAAACAAGCATCGTTTGTGAATACGGGTGTTAATCACGGCGTGTATCCTAGCCCGGCAGCTTTAGATGGAGGGTTTGAATTCGTTTCTGGGGTTATATTGAAGGGGGGTGTAATATTTGATTTAATCTTACCTTCGATCTCAACCGGCGGCAGCTCCTCAGGCCGGCGGTGGCGGCGGAAGCTTTGTGTGCGACGCCGCGTTGTAAACGACGGCGTTCGCTTGGGAGTCTTCACCACCTGCGGTAAATAAATAATATTGCATTAATTTTTATTTGGGGATTGATCATAAGCTGTTAGTAGTTAGTTCGATGATGAAAAAATGTTTTAGGACTGATTATGCATTTGACTTCAATATCATTTATAGAAAAAAGGATAAACGAGAATTGAAAGACAATGAGGGAGTAAAACGTAACGTAAACAAAGGATAATGTACGTGATAGATTGATATTTGCGTGACAGGATCCAGTTTAACTACAAGGCCTTATTTAATAAAGTGTTCCCACTGGCAGCACCGGCATATTTTTTGCAAACTCCCGTAACAGCAACACAGTGCTTTCTGCAGGACCCAGTACTGAAGTGGTCTCACAGAATTGAACTGCCATGGCAAATTCAAATTCAAAATCAAAATATTTATTCATAGCAAAGGATCCTTAGGGTATGTGTTAGGGTTCCTTTATGTGGTTATGTTATGATTCTAATGAGAAATAAATGTTAATGGTGCAACTCAGCTTTAGAGTTTGGTTTTCAGAGCTTTGGGTGTGTATGTGAGAGATAGTAGATAACTTGTTGGCGCGTTGGATTTTCTGTAAGCCTTCAAGCAGCCTTCTAGAATAAATAAATAAATAAAGCTCGCACACTCACTGCGGGCGCCCGTCGCACAGTCGCGACAGCAATATAATTACTCGCGAGCGATAAGGATGGGTAGCTTGGGGTCATTGGACAAAATTCTACGTGCTCACGGACCAGGCTTTAGTAAGATTTCTAAGCGTGTTAGGGTTTCTATGTGTGTGAGAGAGATAGTAAGATACTTACACTCATGCTCTCGGCTCGCTTGACGGCTGCGTCGTGCTTGGGCAGGCGTTCTAACGTGGCCGGCGACGCTTCTTCCAAGGTCTCCGTAGACTGGCCCAGCACGCGCTCCACCTGGGAAGAAAATGTTATTGTTGTTTGGAAAGATAATTTTGTAATTTAGGTATGTACTATGAGCCACAGTTCCAGTTACCCATTTCCGTTTTTTCTCTCTCTCATAAAATGGCCATTCTGACGACATGAGCGGAAATGGGACATGACAGGCTAGAGAATCTGCTCCCTAACTCTCTGGCTGACATCCTACCTCTCTGGCCTGCTCCCTACCTCTCTTGCTAACTTCCTATTATTCTGTCTGGCTTCCTACTATTCTAGCTGATTTCCTACCTCTCGAGGTAGTTGCGCGGGTGGCGTGGCCTCCTGCCTTCGCCCTTCAGCGATTCTCTGTAACTCGCGGCGTCTCTACTGCTGTAGCCTTTCAGCCTCCTGTCTCTACTAGACCAGCCTCCTGTCGCCACTGTACCAGCTGCCTACCTCTCTAGCTAGCTTCGTACCTCTTTGTTCAACATCATATAGTTCCAAAATACTGAACTGTCCTATCCATGACATTGACAGCGGGGCGCCACCGTCAATACCGGATCGCTGGTTCCGATTTTTGCCATGTTGGAAACCATATAGTTGAACGATGGTAGCGCCCCCCTGTCATTGAGTTTGGTGGGACAGTTCAGCTTGGGTCATCTATACCACTCTGGCCAGCTTTGCTCAGTTTGGGAGTAGAAGCGCAGTGTAAAATGTCCAAGGATATTTATACATCTCTGGCCTGCTTTCTACCTCTCTGAACAGCTTCACACCTCTCTGGTTGACTTCCTACCCCTCTTTCTATCTCCCTATCATTCTGGCTGTCTTACTACCGTTCTGACTGTCTTCCTACCTCTCTAGCTAGCTTCCTATCATTCTGGCTGTCTTACTACCAGCCTGACGTCGTCCTACCTCTCTAGCTAGCTTCCTATCATTCTGGCTGTCTTACTACCAGCCTGACGTCTTCCTACCTCTCTAGCTAGCTTCCTATCATTCTGGCTGTCTTACTACCAGCCTGACGTCTTCCTACCTCTCTAGCTAGCTTCCTATCATTCTGGCTGTCTTACTACCAGCCTGACGTCTTCCTACCTCTCTAGCTAGCTTTCTATCATTCTGGCTGTCTTACTACCAGCCTGACGTCTTCCTACCTCTCTAGCTAGCTTCCAATCATTCTGTCTGGCTTCCTACTATACTAGCTGACTTCTTACCTCTCTAGGCGGCTGTGCAGGCGGCGTGGCCTCCTGTCTTCTCTCCTCAGCGATCCTCTGTAGCTCGCGGCGTCTGTACTGCTGCATCCTTTCAGCCTCCTGCCTTTCTGCCGAGCGTCGTCTGGCCGCTTCTTCCTCGTCGCGCATCGCTGCGAAGGCTTGCTCCACCTGGACGAGGGATAAGAAACGGTTAATTATAATTTTATATGCATTAAACTTTTATTTATTTATTTGGAAACTCAACAGCTTGGTCGACAATTTACATGTTACAGAGTAGTACATTATATAACTCTAGCCAATTACAGAGTCTCACAGCTAATTTAAGTGTGTAGGAACAACAGAATAAATAATGTAATTTGGACCCCTTTCATCCTCTTGTGGGATGAATTTTGGAAAATGGCATCGTCATAATAATTTCCTGCATGCCTTTCAGCGCAATCCGTTCAGTAGTTGCATGTTCATAGACACCGATGTATTAAAAATGCATGGCACTAAAAGTTCAAAGCTTATAGCTTACTATACTATGGTCGGTCAATACTCAATACTCAAATCTTTATTGCATTTCACAGTGTACATTCACACACACACACACAGGTCACTCGTGATTAGCACTTGAGAATTTACGGAACAGAAAGTACCTGATTAACTAAAGAAAATTGCGTAGTTAGGATCACCATCTACTTAAAATCGTCACTCCATCATGAGACTATATACATAGCAGTGGTGGCCACTAACTACTGGAAATAGCCACTAGTGGCTATGGTTGATGTTATAGAAACTTACACGGACATTGTAAGGCCCGGTTTCCACCAAGGCGAAGCGGAGCAGAGAAATATTTTTAACAACCAATCAGACTTCACTATTTTCACATCTTCACTCCGCTACAATTCGGTGGAAATGGATCAAGCGGAAAAGTGTCGGGCGCAATTGTTTTTCTATAGAATTTAACAGCGGCGGCGGCTCGATTCGGTGTTTCATAGATAGCAATAGATTGACAACTGACAGCTCGTACAACTTACACATCTCTCGTCTCCGCATCGCTCCGCCTTGGGTCTAAATGACCTGTTACGTCAAATGTATAGACTCACCAGCGTGATGCGTTTGAGGGCGTTAAACTTGTCCCGCTGCGACTCGATGGTTTCTTCTAAGTCGCGGTGGCGGCTCAAGAGTTTAAGTTTACACAATATGGACCCAGTTAGGACCCTTGATTTATAGCGAAAAGACCACCTTAATTGTGCCGTATCTTTTGTATATTTCTTTTTTTTCTTTACTTGTCTTGTGTGGTGTGTTCTGCGAGTATCTAGTTGCGTCACGACATGAACTTACCAGCGTGATGCGTTTGAGCGCGTTAAACTTGTCCCGCTGCGACTCGATAGTCCTCCAAATCGCGGTGGCGGCTCAAGTGTTATGTGGCAAACCGAACCTCTTTGCCTTTTATACTTTTTTTATTTAATTTTTTTAAGAATAAACCTGTTTTTTGATAGCTGTCTTGTAAGCAACGTCTCGAAATTAAACGCGAATAATTTACTTGGATATTTTCTTATATTTTTCACTCCTTTACCTCTGATCCCTCACTGTCCTCAACATTTTTTGGTCCTTCTAGTTCACACAATATAGACCCAGTTCTTCTTCTTGTCGTGTCGACAACAAACCTACACAGCGTCAGCCCAAAACTCCGCCACAAGAGTGGCGTTGTCAGCAGCCTTCATTAAATCTTCCTGCGTGCTGTTGTTTGGGCACGCAAGGCACGACGTCATGTGCTTCGTCGACTGGGGAACAAAACCCAGTGGATCTAGTTAAGACACAGCAAGAAGGAAGCAGGAAGGACTTACCAGCGTGATACGTTTGAGCGCGTTAAACTTGTCCCGCTGCGACTCGATGGTTTCTTCCAGGTCGCGGTGGCGGCTGATAAGCTCCTCCACCTGCGCCACGCTCTCGCCGTACTTGCCGTCGCGGACTAGTGGCACCCTGGGGGAAGACAAAAGTCATTTAGTTACTGTGAAATTTTTTTTTGGAAGACATTATGGCGCCTTAAATCCGCCATTTTGATTTTTTTCAATTTTATTATAGCCAGTGTCACTCACGATTAAGACGAATCTAACGACACCTCTCACGCTAAAATCGGTTAAGCCGTTTAGGCTGTAGGCCGTGCCAAAGAAATATACATATATACATACATACATACACCCGAAAAACATAATTCTCCTTCTGGCGCAGTCAGGTAAAAAGGGCTTTTACATGTCCCAGGGTTACTTTAACCCTACTACTTATTCGGGACAAGATGGACCAGTACTGAAATACCTTTCCTTTCGCTGTGTTTTATCTTTGTTCATTTGTATTTTGTATTTTCATCTAAAATTTTTCATTAAAGACATTCTATTCTAATCATGGACGGATTCAAATAAAGGAATTTTAATAAAGATAAGATTGTGATATTATTTAAAAGCATCCTACTTAAAAATGTCCCCTCTCTCTTCCTCTAGGCTAAATTAGCTACATATAATTTATTTCAGCATTTAATTCCCAAACTCGTAAAGTAATAGAGTTATCACGATATACAGGTGGACAAGGTGTGGCAAAAAAGTCCCTGTTTATTAGTAGTGAGTTGTGACTGCCACGTTGCCGAATTTCATCAAGAGTTTTTGGGACACTGAGTAAAATCCTGTGCTGGTCTGCTAAGCCGGCTAAGTGCTGCAAAACTCCCAGTCCATGTCACTCTCTCTCTCTTTCTTTCTCTCTGTATGTACCTGCTCTCTATCCAGCCACTCAGAGCGTCGGCATCCCGCCTGAACAGCAAAGCGTCCAGATGCTGTGCGTAGACGGTGCTGCGTCTCTCCCAGGCGGCTTCTAACTGCGCGCGTCTCTTTCTCTCTATGTCTAAAGCCCGGTCTGTGAGCACGTAGAATTTTGTCCAATGACCCCAAGCTACCCATCCTTATCGCTCGCGCGTAATTATATTGCTGTCGCGACTGTGCGACGGGCGCCCGCAGTGAGTGTGCGAGCGCGACAGCAATACAATTACGCGCGAGCGATAAGGATGGGTAGCTTGGGGTCATTGGACAAAATTCTACGTGCTCAGAGACCAGACTATACCTGCTCTCTCTCTATGTCTACCAGCTCTCTCTCTCTCTGTACGTACCTGCTCTCTATCCAGCCACTCAGAGCGTCAGCGTCTCTTCTGAACAGCAATGCGTCCAGATGCTGTGCGTAGACAGTGCTCGCTCCGACGCGGCCTCTAACTGCGCGCGTCTCTTTCTCTCTCTCCATATGTACCGTTGTCTCTCTCTCTCTCTGTACGTACCTGCTCTCTATCCAGCCACTCAGAGCGTCAGCGTCTCTTCTGAACAGCAAAGCGTCCAGATGCTGTGCGTAGACGGTGCTGCGTCTCTCCCAGGCGGCCTCTAACGGCGCGCGTCTCTTTCTCTCTCTTTCTCTATACCTACTCTCTCTCTCTCTGTACATACCTGCTCTCTATCCAGCCACTCAGAGCGTCGGCATCCCGTCTGAACAGCAATGCGTCCAAATGCTGTGCGTAGACGGTGCTGCGTCGTTCCCAGGCGGCTTCTAACTGCGCGCGGCGGCTGCGTAGGACGCTCATTCGTTCCTCGATCTCCGCCGACATGAAGTGGCCGTCGTGGATTAGTTTCTCGCCTGGAAAAAGAAAAAATGCAATAAGGGCTGTCGTTTTTGTGCTTAAGAGTAATTGGCACCACTGGCGATTAACATGACCCAACTCTACAGTGGCGCCACCTAATAAGTAAGTTCTCCTACCGCTTTAGCGCTCACCAGTAGGCGCTACTGTCTTCGCCACTAACAAGTGACAGTGACCTTACTCTACAGTGGCGCCAACTGGTGATCGCTTAAACGATAGCCCTCTTTAGTTGAGTACAATCACTGTATGCTCACATCATTGGATTTGTAGGCGTGTTTTTGTTGATGCAAAATTACATCTAATACAACTATGGATTAATTTGACTCACTGTCGTGGTAAAGTAGTGTAAAATTTTGCTGCCAATTTACACATATTACACAAGACGCTTGCTCAACTTTCATCGTCATTAAAATACCTCTATGCATCACCCTGCGTTTGACGCGGTGTCAAAAGATTACATTTTTGATCGATTACACTCGCACGCATTTAGTAGGATACAGTCGATAGCACAATAGACTTAATGTTTGACGTAAAACAGCTCCTATTGCAACCACTTAAGACTCACCATCGTGGTAGTGCCTCTGGAAGTCATCCTCTTTGGCGTCGATCTCCGCTCGCATGTCCTTGTGCCTCGCCAGCAGTCTCTCCGCTCCGGCCACGTCGCGCGCCAGTTCCGCGGCCGTCACGCGCGCGATCATCTCGTTGGTCCACGCACTGGAAAGTTGGGTTGGTTAGACACACATTTAGAAAAGGATATAACATGGCAATATAGAGAAACACGGGTTTCGCTTTTTTTTAAAGTAGCCGACAGCACGTCTGCCAACATTTTTGTAGAAAATATGCCCATATCAAGATACCACACTTAGGCTGGGTTGCACCATCTTACTTTAACTTTGACAAACGTCAAACATCTGTCAAACTCCAAACAAAAAGCACCGGTTATTGTTACGGTTAAAATAAGGTAGTGCAACTCGGCCTTACAGTCTGGCGTTTCAGCTGTGTTGTTACAGCCGTAAGTGACTACATACGTAGATAGCTGCTTGTGAAAGCAGCACAATTACAATAGCACGCGGAAATATATGTCAATCAAAAAAGTCGTTCAGATAGAGTCCATTTCTATCTCTTTCACTGAAGAGATGATTAACAGACGAATCACACGAGGGGTTACACTTGTTCTAAGTTCAGATGGGCGCGCACCGATGCGGTAAGAGCGCTTTCTTTTTTCTTACGCGCATCCTCAACACCTGCACTCCTTTCTTCTTTCAATACTCACAGCAGTTCCTGGTAGGTCCCGAAGTAAGCCTGCAGTTGTTCCGCCAGCTCGACCTGTGTGCCCGCGTGGTCTGCTCTCGCTGCAAGCGCCTCTAGCGCTTCCGAAACGTCTTCTAGCTTGGCTGTCACGTGCTCCTTGGCGTCGGGGAATGCTGTGCCCAGTCTGCGGGTAGACAGAAATAGTGTCAAAAACATAAATGTAAGTGAGTTCAAGTTCAAAATTAAGAATATGCATGGTTGTAACACAAATTGATTTTTAAGAGTGTGTTAAGTTCTGGAATCGTATTATCGAATCTATATACTTATAATAAATCTGTAAAGAGGTCAATTCTGTACATTAAATATATTTTCAAAATAACTATCAGGGGGTGATTAGTGATCGATACTGATGCCAAAAATGCAATCAGTAAAATTTTTGTCTGTCTGTCTGTCTTTCTGTCTGTCTGTCTGTATGTTCCTTATAGAAACAAAAACTACTCGACGGATTTTAACGAAACTTAGCACAATTATTCTTCATACTCCTGGGCAGGTTATAGTATACTTAGGAATTCCCACGGGAACGGGAATTAGCGGGAAAATCCTTTTGTGTGAAAAATCTCAACCGCTTAAGTTAGACGCTAGAAATTTGGCATGCAGGTATTTTAGTAAACTTAAAGCTTAGTTACAACAGGATATTGCAAAATTCCCACGGGAACGGGAGTTAGCGGGAAAAAACATTTGTATGAAAAAATCTAAACCACTTAAGTTAGACGCTTGAAATTTGGCATACAGGTATCTCAGTCAACTTAAAGCTTAGTTACAACAGGATATTGCAAAGTTCCCACGGGAACGGGAGTAAGCGGGAAATAACTTTTGTATGAAAAAATCTAAACCGCTTAAGTTAGACGCTTAAAATTTTGCATGCAGGTATGTTAGTCAACTTAAAGCTTAGTTACAACAGTATATAGCAAAATTCCCACTGGAACAGGAGTTAGCGGGAAAAAACATTTGTATGAAAAAATCTAAACCGCGTAAGATAGAAGAAGGGGGTAAAACGGGATCCACGCGTACGAAGTCGCGGGCGGCCGCTAGTCATTCATAAATATTTACTGGTTTCTCTTCGGACCCTCGCCCACGGCGAAATTTTTCACAGCGTTTACGAAACGCGCGACAGCATCGCTACTAACGCGCGTAAGTCGCATTTGCAACGCACTACATAAGTGATGCCAACGCGCTACTAACAGCGCGACTGCAAATTCAAATTCAAATTTTTATTTGCAGAATGTGGTACATTAGATGTTACATAATGAAATGGAGCAGGACACATTCGCCAGATACGAACCAGCATGCAAATGTTTACACAAGTCAATTTATTATTAATTAAAATTTAAATAACATCTACCTAATTTGCTTAGTCGGAATAACAGCATCGCTACAAAAAGTCGCCGTGGGCGAGGACCTATCATTTGCGCAATGCATCCGGTTCAGCTGGGTATAAAATCACCACTCTACGACCAGTACAAAACTATAAAATTTGCCTCCTAACTAAGCCCTAATGCTATAGTCGATTTGCATTTAAGTCAGCTGAATCCGTCGTCTAATGTGTCTGGTGACGTATCCTTAAGGCTCCATGTACTAGACGCCTGTGTAACCGCTGCTTTAGTCCGTCATCTTACCTAGCAGCCTCTTCCTTAAGCCCAGCGTGTCTCGCCCTTATAGCGTCCAAATCAGCGTGCAGCGCAGTAAGATGTCGTTTTTGCGCGTCCAGCTCTCTCCTTTTCTCACTCTTTCCTGTACTGCCTTTCCAGCATCTCTTTCTCACTTAATATCCACTTACTTAGCAGCTTCTTCCTTAAGACCAGCGTGTCTCGCCCGTATAGCGTCCAAATGAGCGTGCAGTGCAGTAAGACGTCGCTTCTGCGCGTGCAGTTTTCTCTGTCTCTTTCTCCTTAGGCCAGCGAGCTCGTTTGAAAGGCGCACTCATTTGACTGGAGTACTCCTTTGATCGGGGAGTTTAGCATGCGACCAGCACGACGTGCTATGACAACGTGTAGTGGACGTATGTATTACCTGCCGGCTTCCTTCTTCAATCCAGCGTGTCTCGCCCGTATAGCGTCCAAATCAGCGTGCAGTGCAGTAAGATATCTCTTCTACGCGTGCAGTTTCTTGATCCTCTTTCTTCTATCACGATTTGATCAACTTTTTTGATCAGCTAGGTCGTTTAACCAACGTGTTCACTTACCTTACAGCTTCTTCCTTTAGTCCAGCATGTCTCGCCCTTATAGCGTCCAAATCAGCGTGCAGCGCAGTAAGACGTCGCTTCTGCGAGTGCAGTTCTCTCCTTCTCTCTCCTGATCTCTCTTTCTCGCTTAGTATCTACTCACCTTGCAGCTTCTTCCTTCAGTCCAGCGTGTCTCGCCTTTATAGCGTCCAAATCCGCGTGCAGTGCAGTAAGACGTCGCTTCTGCGCGTGCAGTTCAGTCCTTGACCGCGCGCCTGCGTCCGGTAACAGTGCTTCCTTCTCCGCCACCCAGGCTGCTGTCTCGTCTGACACATGTCCTTGAATTCAGGAGACGTGCTCGTGCAGCCAGCACGACGTGCAGTGCACGCGTCTCGCGCTATTTTGACTGTCTTGCTTGAACTACCGTCAATTTCACTTACCTAGCAGCATAGTTTTTAAGACTAGCGTGTCTCGCCCGTAATTTGGACGCTAGTCCAAATCAGCTAGCAACGCGGTAAGGCGTCGCTTCTGAGCGTCCTACTCTTATTTCTCTTTCTCTCTCTCTATCCTATTCTCTCTCTCTCTCACACATACTTAATATCCACTTACCTAGCAGCCTCTTCCTTCAGTCCAGCGTGTCTAGCCCTTATAGCGTCCAAATCAGCGTGCAACGCGGTAAGGCGTCGCTTCTGCGCGTGCAGTTCAGTCCGTGACCGCGCGCCTGCGTCCGGCAACAATGCTTCCTTCTCCGCCACCCAGGCTGCTGTCTCGTCAGACACATGTCCTTGAATTCAGGAGACGTGCTCGTGCAGCCAGCGCGACGTGCAGTGCACGCGTCTCGCGCTATTTTGACTATTTTGCTTGAACTACGTTCACTTACCTAGCAGCATAGTTTTTAAGACTAAAGCCTGGTCCGTGAGCACGTAGAATCCCGTCCAATGACCCCAAGCTACCCATCCTTATCGCTCGCGCGTAATTATATTGCTGTCGCGACTGTGCGACGCGATGGGCAGCTTGGGGTCATTGGACGGGATTGTACGTGCTCACGGACCAGGCTTTAGCGTGTCTCGCCCGTAATTTGGACGCTAGTCCAAATCAGCTAGCAACGCGGTAAGGCGTCACTTCTGAGCGTCCTACTCTTATTTCTCTTTCTCTCACACATACTTAATATTTATTTACCTAGCAGCCTCTTCCTTTAATCCAGTGTGTCTCGCCCGTATAGCGTCCAAATCAGCGTGCAGTGCAGTAAGGCGTCGCTTCTGCGCGTGCAGTTCGGTCCTCGACCGCGCGCCTGCGTCCGGCAACAGTGCTTCCTTCTCCGCCACCCAGGCTGCCGTCTCGTCAGACACATGTCCTTGAATTCAAGAGACGTGCTCGTGTAGCCAGCGCGACGTGCAGTGCACGCGTGTCACTATTTTTTACCTGGCAGCTGCCTCATGAAGCTTGATACGCTTGATAAAATTGAGCTAGTTTGACCACGCGCTGTTTTGACTGTTTTGCTTGAACTACCGTCATTTCGCTCACCTAGCAGCTTCATCCTTGAGTGTCTTGCCTTGCGCGTATGGCTTCCAAGTTTTCTCTCAGCTCTCTCTCTCCCTCTCTCTCTCTCTTTTGCTCACTTTCTCGCTCAGTGTCCACTTACCTTGCAGCCTCTTCCTTTAGACCAGCGTGTCTCGCCCGTGTAGCGTCCAAATCCACGTGCAGCGCAGTAAGGCGTTGCTTCTGTACATACAGCTCTCTCTCTTTCTCACTCTTTCCTGTTCTGTCTTTCCAGCATCTCTCTCTCACTCGATATTCACTTACCTATCTATCTCCCTTTATCCTATTTTCTCTCTCTAGCTCACTCACTTAATAACTTACCTAGCAGCTTCCTCCTTTAATCCAGCGAGTCTCGCCCGTATAGCGTCTAAATCCGCATGCAATGCAATAAGTCACTCTCTCTTCTCTCTCCTGATACCAGCGTGCTCGTTTGAAGGGTGTGCTCGCATTACTCGCTCCTTGACGCGTGTGACATGCTAGAGCAATATCCAGTACACGAGTGTTTTACCTAGCAGCTTCCTCCTTCAATCCAGCGTGTCTAGCCCTTATAGCGTCCAAATCAGCGTGCAGAGCAGTAAGGCGTCGCTTCTGAGCATGCAGCTATTTCTCTCTCCCTCTCTCTCTTTCACCTGCTCGTCTCTCTCTCTTTCACCTGCTCGTCTCTCTCTCTCTCTCACACACACACACATACTTAATATCCACTTACCTAGCAGCTTCTTCCTTGAGCCCAGCATGTCGTGCTCTTATAACGTCCAAATCCGCATGCAGCGCAGTAAGACGTCGTTTTTGCGCGTCCAGCTCTCTCCCTTTCTCACTCTTTCCTGTACTGCCTTTCCAGCATCTTTCTCTCACTTAATATCCACTCACCTTGCAGCTTCTTCCTTTAGTCCAGCGTGTCTCGCCCGTATGGCGTCCAAATCAGCGTGCAGCGCAGTAAGGCGTCGCTTCTGCGCGTGCAGTTCAGTCCTTGACCGCGCGCCTGCGTCCGGTAACAGTGCTTCCTTCTCCGCCACCCAGGCTGCTGTCTCGTCTGACACATGTCCTTGAATTCAGGAGACGTGCTCGTGCAGCCAGCACGACGTGCAGTGCACGCGTCTCGCGCTATTTTGACTGTCTTGCTTGAACTACCGTCAATTTCACTTACCTAGCAGCATAGTTTTTAAGACTAAAGCCTGGTCCGTGAGCACGTAGAATCCCATCCAATGACCCCAAGCTACCCATCCTTCTCGCTCGCGCGTAATTATATTGCTGTCGCGACTGTGCGACGCGATGGGCAGCTTGGGGTCATTGGACGGGATTCTACGTGCTCACGGACCAGGCTTTAGCGTGTCTCGCCCGTAATTTGGACGCTAGTCCAAATCAGCTAGCAACGTGGTAAGGCGTCGCTTCTGCGCGTCCTACTCTTATTTCTCTTGTTCTCTCTCTCACACACACACTAAATATCCACTTACCTAGCAGCCTCTTCCTTAAGACCAGCATGTCATGCTCTTATTACGTCGAAATCAGCATGCAGCGCAGTAAGACGTCGTTTTTGCGCGTCCAGCTCTCTCCCATTCTCACTCTTTCCTGTACTGCCTTTCCAGCATCTCTCTCTCACTTAATATCCACTCACCTTGCAGCTTCTTCCTTCAATCCAGCGTGTCTCGCCCGTATAGCGTCCAAATCAGCGTGCAGCGCAGTAAGACGTCTCTTTTACGCGTGCAGCTATTTTTCTCTCTCCCTCACTCTCTATCCCCTATTCTCTCTCTCTAGCTCACTCACTTAATAACTTACCTAGCAGCCTCCTCCTTCAATCCAGCGTGCCTCGCCCGTATAGCGTCCAAATCAGCGTGCAGTGCAGTAAGGCGTCGCTTCTGTGCATGCAGCTATCTCTCTTTCTCTCCCTCAAGTCTCCTTCTCTCTTTCTTACTCAGTATCCACTCTTCTCTTTCTTTAGCTCATTCGCTTAGTAACTAACCTTGCAGCTTCTTCCTTGAGCCCTGCGTGTCTAGTCCGTATAGCGTCCAAATCAGCGTGCAGTGCGGTAAGGCGTCGCTTCTGCACAAACATATTTCTCTTTCTCTCTCTCTCTATCCTACTCTTACTAAATATCCACTTACCTAGCAGCCTCTTCCTTTAGTCCAGCGTGTCTAGCCCGTATAGCATTCAAATCAGCGTGCAGTGCGGTAAGGCGTCGCTTCTGCACAAACATATTTCTCTTTCTCTCTCTCTCTATCCTACTCTTACTAAATATCCACTTACCTAGCAGCCTCTTCCTTTAAACCAGCGTGTCTCGCCCTTATAGCGTCCAAGTCAGCGTGCAGTGCAGTAAGACGTCGCTTCTGCGCGTGCAACTCGGTCCGTGACCGCGCGCCTGCGTCTGGCAACAATGCTTCCTTCTCCGCCACCCAGGCTACTGTCTCGCCACTTACATGTCCTTGAATTCAGGAGACGTGCTCGTGCAGCCAGCACGACGTGCAGTGCATGCGTCTCGCGCTATTTTGACTGTCTTGCTTGAACTACCGTCAATTTCACTTACCTAGCAGCATAGTTTTTAAGACTAGCGTGTCTCGCCCGTAATTTGAACGCTAGTCCAAATCAGTTAGCAACGCGGTAAGGCGTCACTTCTGAGTGTTCTAGTCTTATTTCTCTATCTCTCTCACACACACTAAATATCCACTTACCTAGCAGCCTCCGCCTTCAATCCAGCATGTCGTGCTCGTATAGCATCCAAATCCGCGTGCAGCGCAGTAAGACGTCGCTTCTGCGCGTGCAACTATCTCCCTTTCTCACTCTTTCCTGTACTGCCTTTCCAGCATCTCTCTCTCACTTAATATCCACTTACCTAGCAGCTTCTTCCTTCAGCCCAGCGTGTCTCGCTCTTATAGCGTCCAAGTCCACATGCAGCGCAGTAAGACGTCTCTTTTACGCGTGCAGCTATTTTTCTCTCTCCCTCACTCTCTATCCCCTATTCTCTCTCTCTAGCTCACTCACTTAATAACTTACCTAGCAGCTTCCTCCTTTAATCCAGCGTGTCTCGCTCTTATAGCGTCCAAATCCGCATTCAATGCAGTAAGTCACTCTCTCTTCTCTCTCCTGATACCAGCGTGCTCGTTTGAAAGGCGTGCTCGCTTTACTAGGGTGCTCATTGACGCGCGTGACGTGCTAAGGCACTATACAGTACACGTGTGTTTTACCTGGCTTATCTTCTTATCTTATCTTAATATCCATTTACCTAGCAGCTTCTTCCTTTAGTCCAGCGTGTCTCGCCCGTATAGCGTCCAAATCAGCGTGCAGCGCTGTAAGACGTCGCTTCTGTGCGTGCAACTATCTCCCTTTCTCACTCTTTCCTATTCTGTCTTTCTAGCATCTTTCTCTCACTTAATATTCACTCACCTAGCAGCCTCTTCCTTAAGACCAGCATGTCTTGCTCTTATAGCGTCCAAGTCCACATGCAGCGCAGTAAGACGTCTCTTTTACGCGTGCAGCTATTTTTCTCTCTCCCTCACTCTCTATCCCCTATTCTCTCTCTCTAGCTCACTCACTTAATAACTTACCTAGCAGCTTCCTCCTTTAATCCAGCGTGTCTCGCTCTTATAGCGTCCAAATCCGCATTCAATGCAGTAAGTCACTCTCTCTTCTCTCTCCTGATACCAGCGTGCTCGTTTGAAGGGTGTGCTCGCATTACTCGCTCCTTGACGCGTGTGACGTGCTAAAGCAATATACAGTACACGAGTGTTTTAGCTTGCAGCTTCTTCCTTTAAACCAGCATGTCGTGCTCTTATAGCATCCAAATCAGCGTGCAGTGCAGTAAGGCGTCGCTTCTGCGCGTGCAGTTCTGTCCTAGACCGCGCGCCTGCGTCCGGTAACAATGCTTCCTTCTCCGCCACCCAGGCTGCCGTCTCGTCACACAAACATGTCCTTGAATTCAGGAGACGTGCTCGTGCAGCCAGCGCGACGTGCAGTGCATGCGTCTCGCGCTATTTTGACTGTCTTGCTTGAACTACCGTCAATTTCACTTACCTAGCAGCATAGTTTTTAAGACTAAAGTCTGGTCCGTGAGCACGTAGAATCCCATCCAATAACCCCAAGCTACCCATCCTTCTCGCTCGCGCGTAATTATATTGCTGTCGCGACTGTGCGACGCGATGGGCAGCTTGGGGTCATTGGACGGGATTCTACGTGCTCACGGACCAGGCTTTAGCGTGTCTCGCTCGTAATTTGGACGCTAGTCCAAATCAGCTAGCAACGCGGTAAGGCGTCACTTCTGAGCGTCCTACTCTTATTTCTCTTTCTCTCTCTATCCTATTCTCTCTCTCTCACACACACTTAATATTCATTTACCTAGCAGCCTCTTCCTTTAAACCAGCGTGTCTCGCCCGTATAGCGTCCAAGTCAGCGTGCAGTGCAGTAAGGCGTCGCTTCTGTACATACAGCTCTCTCTTTCTCTCTCCCTCAAGTCTCCTTCTCTCTTTCTTACTCAGTATCCACTTACCTTGCAGCCTCTTCCTTTAGTCCAGCGTGTCTCGCCCGTATAGCGTCCAAATCAGCGTGCAACGCAGTGAGACTTCGCTTCTGCGAGTGCAGCTCTCTCTGTCTCTTTTTCCTAAGGCCAGCGAGTTTGTTTGAAAGGCGTGGACGTGTGTTTTACCTTGCGGCTTCCTGCTTCAATCCAGCATGTCTCGCCCGTATAGCGTCCAAATCCGCATGCAACGCAGTAGAGAGTCGTTTCTGCCCGTGCAGTCACTCTCTCTCTCACGTGCTCGTCTCTCTCTCTCTATCTCTCTCTCACATACTTAATATTTATTTACCTAGCAGCCTCTTCCTTTAAACCAGCGTGTCTCGCCCGTATAGCGTCCAAATCCGCATGCAATGCAATAAGTCACTCTCTCTTCTCTCTCCTGATACCAGCGTGCTCGTTTGAAAGGCGTGCTCGCATTACTCGCTCCTTGACGCGTGTGACGTGCTAAAGCAATATACAGTACACGAGTGTTTTACCTGGCGGCTTCTTCCTTTAGTCCAGCGTGTCTCGCCTGTATAGCGTCCAAATCAGCATGCAGCGCTGTAAGGCGTCACTTCTGAGCGTGCAACTATCTCCCTTTCTCACTCTTTCCTATTCTGTCTTTCCAGCATCTTTCTCTCACTTAATATCCACTTACCTAGCAGCCTCTTCCTTCAGTCCAGCATGTCTCGCCCGTATAGCGTCCAAATCAGCGTGCAGTGCAGTAAGACGTCGCTTCTGCGCGTGCAGTTCAGTCCGTGACCGCGCGCCTGCGTCTGGCAACAATGCTTCCTTCTCCGCCACCCAGGCTGCCGTCTCGTCTGCGGAGCGGTCGAACTCGTGGACTTGGCGAGCGCCTGCTAGGGCCTGGGAAGGTAAACAAGATAGATGAAATACAGAGGCCGGATGAATTGAGGGACTATGGAAGTACATGTATGTATAACAACCGCATCTGTGGTCTAGTGGTAAGACCACCTGCTTCAGACGCAGAGGTCCGGGTTCGATTCCCAGTGGGGGCAGATTTTTCTGTTCGGTTTGGTTGGTGGTAGGGCTTGTTCTAAGTCCGCCTGGCTAGCTACCACCATCTTACCTAAGTTAGAGGTAAGATAGCCAGTTCTTGGTTGAGGATTCCGGGTGAAGCTCGCTTCCACCTTCGGCCTGATCGTCACTTACCATCAGGTGAGATACGGCCAAGAGCTTCCTCGTTGTGGATAAAAAAAATGGTCAATGGTACAAATTTGGCTCGAAGGACCAAAATTTTCAAGTGTCAATTTTTATTCTTAACAACAATAATGTCAAAGAAAGAAAGAATGTATCATGTATTACGAGTGTAATGGCGTAAGGGCTTCTTTCACAATCTTCGAGTAAAGTTCTAAGAAGTAACTTCTTGATTTAGACGTTCAAACTCAAGTGATCAAAGTTTTGTTAGTGTCATAGTTTCCTTGCTACTCGTGACTTTAAGTAATGAGTAGCCTACTTGACACTACACAGGGATGGTGAACGGGGCTATCTTTGAGCAGTCTTTTATTAGAGAGCGACTACCTACACTATAATGATTTGTCGAATATGGCTAAAGAGGAAGTAAGGAAGGCCATCTCAAGCAAAAAACGTGTTTATTTACTCACCTCCTGCCTAGCGAGTGCCAGTTCCTTCAGGTCCTCCCATAGTCCTCTGGTGTCCTCCACGCGTTGCTTGACCTTGTCAGCCTCCGGCGCGTTCTCTTCTATGAGGGCACATACACTGTGACGTACTGTAGGTTACTTATATGTCGACTAACTTACCTCCTGCCTAGCAAGTGCTAATTCCTTCAGGTCCTCCCATAGTCCTCTGGTGTCCTCCACGCATTGCTTGACCTTTTCTGCTTCTGCTGTTTTTTTCAAGAGGCGACTAAAGTCCGGTCGCCGAGCAGATAGAATTTCGTCCCATGACCCCATCCTTATCGCTCGCGTGTAATTATATTACTGTCGCGCTCGCACACTCACTGCGGCTGCCCGCCACACAGACGCGACAACAATATAATTACGTGCGAGTGATAAGGATGGGTAGGTATGGGGTCATTGGACGTAATTACATCTGTACGGCGACCGGATTTTACACTATGACGTTCTATAGGCTATCTCAAAATACTTAAATATTGACCAACTTACCTCCTGCCTAGCGAGTGCCAGTTCCTTCAAGTCCTCCCATAGTCCTCTTGTATCCTCCACGCGTTGCTTGACCTTGTCTGCTTCAGGCGCGTTTTCTTCCAAAAGGGCGTTGCCACTCTCACACACCGCCTCTATGCGGCCTTCGTTGGCTGTGGAATTAATATTTTATGATAAATAAATTGTGATGTGTGGTATGTTATTCAGTACGAAGTACTGCAGACTGCAGTATCTGTCCACAATGGTCCAGTACTATTGTAGTATTTATTGCTCACCACAGGGTTGCTTGCTACACCAAAGTCTCCTTTGCTACAGTACCGTCCGCTATGGTTCTCTACCGTCCGCTATAATTAATTTTAGTCTCTTTGAGGACTAGAACGCACCCCTGTGACACAGACACAGTACAATCCTCTACAGCTGCGGAAGTCAGTACAGGCTCCTATGGTGCAGTACAGCCCCCTATGGTCCTGTACAGTCTCCTATAGTCCAGTACAGTCCTCTATGCTACAGTATAGTCCCTTAGCAGCGTACTGACCGTGCATCTGTGCCAGGAAGTCAGTACAGAATCCTGTAGTTCAGTACAGTCCCCTATCTTCCAGTACAACCCATTACAGCAGCATACTGACCGTTCAGTTGCGCCAGGAATCTTATCAGTCTCCTACAATTCAATGCGATCTTCTACGGTACATAATGGTCTACTATGGTCCACTTAAGTATCCTGTCAGTCCACTATGGTTCATTTTAGTCTACTATGTACCAGTACAGTCTCCTATAATACAGTACAGTCCACTATAATACAGTACAGCAGTATACTGACCGTGCAGTTGCGCGAGGAAGTTGTCGAAGGCCTGCTGCAGAGTCTCCACATGTTCTACATCCAGCCCGTACTCCTCGCTGGCGGCCGCAGACATCTGCTCGCTGATCCATTCCTGGACTTCCTCGCACTCTTGGACGAACCTGAGAAGGATAGGACATTGGGATTTATTATCCGAATCGCTTTCCAAGTTGAGATTTTTGACCACTTATCTCGATTGCTGATTGAATTTATGCGATTTCTCCACGAGTTGTTTGTTATTGTTATTTGTTGTTTTTATACAATAAAATGCATAATGTTTTAATTATTTGTGATTTATTGTGTACCAACGTTTATTCCATATCCAGATAATGAAAATTCGTAGATATAATTTTGATCAGAAAGGAAATAAAAAGTAGATTAGATTTTTTAAGAAAATATTCTCGATTCTAAAAAATATCAATTAGGTTTAAAAGGAGCGCCTCACTATATAGAAGTATCACAATCACTTTTATACGCTGAATGAACTATAACGATAAAATTAATGATAAAAGTTGATAAGTGTCCCCCTTTCCCTCGAGTTTTTTTTTAGTAAATATGTAGCGATACACAGACATTCATGCGTGTTCACGAACTTAGGCCACAGGCCTGGAGATGTGGTAATATAGCTAGAGAATTCCTTCAGGGACTAATAAGCTAAGAGTAAGGTGGAGAAAAAAAGACACAATGCATCATCAGGCCGTGGTTTCAATAGTTATCAATCAAATCAAGGTAATAATGGATAGCAGGTCACACTCACTTGAAGTATTTCAAGCTCTGCTGCAAGCGCTGCTGCCGCTTGGCTGACAGCAGCTTCATTTCTTCATAGCTGGCCTTCAGCTCGGACAGGCGCTCTTCTACCAACGCCCGGTCGGATGGCTCGCGGGTCTGGAGAAGAAATACTTGTTTAGTGCTGATAGCAAAGGTTAAAAATGTTGATTGATGTTGAACCTTATTATTGCAAGGCAATTAAGTTCAAAATAATGTTTCACTTAGTGGATGGGTGACCAGGTATCAAGGCATCAGTACCAGTGGAGTCAGGAAGTCTCTAACTTACCTTAGGGAACCCTTGATACTGGTTAGAAGAGGATGGGTGACCGCGCTATACACGATGCATACCCTTCCCTTCTTCCCACTTTGAAGGAAACCTCTGACTTACCTTAGGGAACCCTTAATACTGGTTAGAAGAGGATGGGTGACCACGCTTAGCGCTGGAATCCCTTCCTTTCTTCCCTCTTTGAAGGCGCAACAAGGAAGAACACCTTCTAAAGACTTGGGATACCCCAGGGGTATATAAAGGGCGGGCGAAAAACTTCGTCACCGCGATTCAGGTTTTTGTTTTCTAGACCACTTACCGCTAAGGCAGCTGCGCCGCGTTCCAGCTTCGATACATTTGAGTCAAATGCCTGTAGTTCTCTTTGCAGTGCGTCCAGTCGCCTGGCCAGTGCCAAAACAGATTCCTCGTCGCGACCCACGTCTGGGGAGACCAAAGCTCCTCGCCGTTCAGCCAGCCAGGCAGCTGCTTCTGATATTTCTGATGTCAGCTGTGGAACAAAGGTACTTATTTAGAAGTTTTCTTTATATCTTAGATATTTCCAGAAGATGAAAGGCACTGTATGATGAGTATCTTAGTGCGGTTGTACACGCCTTTCCATGGGCTTATCTAGCTTTTGGGCCATGGGGGATAGTCTAGCCAAGGGGGCTAGTCTACCCTGCTATTTGAGGGTAGTACTACCCAACATTAATGAAACAAACGCGGCCGCAACAGCGTATTGAACTTGAAAATTTCGATTGGTTCATCCAGTGTCTAAGTAGCTCAGATGGAAGAGCAGTCGCCCGGCAAGCAAAAGGTCGTGGGTTCGATTCCCGCCTTAGGCAGTTCGCAGGATATTTATAATTTAGTCTGATTGTTTCTTCCGCCACTTCTTCGTCCCGAACTGGTGGTAAAGCAAGCTATATTGGGACGTCCTGGAAAAGGCCCACATACTAAATAAAGAATTTGAAAGAGGGGGAGCAGCTTATCCCAGGGGAGAGGCCAGAGTAGTCCAAGAGACAGGGCAGTCTCGCCCAGAGGGGCAAACTTGACCGTCACTGGTTGGGTTTTTATTGGCGGTCAAGCTGTAGATCCTGGCTACACAGGAGTTGCAGCGGTGGGAACGGGAGGTGGGAATCGTCCCGTAGCCCAGGGAGGCAATTTGACCCAAGGGGGGGAGGGTAGTACTACCCAACTTTTTACAACAATTACTTGCAACAGCTCGCATCTTTCGTTAATCCTTTGTGTCCTGGTAGCAGCAGCGTGGAGTAGCGTCTGCAGCGCGGCCAGNTAAGGGGGGGGGGGGTAGTCTAGTCTAGAGGGGAAGGGGAGCAGTCTGGCCTATGAAGGATACAGTCATACAAAAGGAGACATTCTAGCCAAGGTTGGCAGGCTATCACAGCACATACTTGCAGCAGCTCGCATCTTTCGCTAATCCACTGCGTCACGAAGTGGTTTTCCATGGACGTAGCCAGCTTTTGGACTCGGGAAGAGGAGTTTGAATGAAGGATAAGGAGCGGCCAGTTTGTACCATGTCAAGGAGGGCCAATTTTGGGCCAGAAGGAGCAGTTTGGCCATGGAGAGGGTAGTCGAACCCAGAAGAGGTACATTATAGCCCAGTCTGACTCAAGGGGAAGTGGGATAGATCTACTTACTTGCAACAGCTCGCATCTCTCATTAATCCTCTGTGTCCTGGTAGCAGCAGCGTGGAGTAGCGTCTGCAGCGCGGCCAGCAGCGCTTTAGACGAGTTGTCAAGCGCTTGAGACGCAAAGTGGCCTGGACATACCCGGCTCTTGGACCCGGGAAGAGGGGGCAGTTTGACAAGGAGTGGGCAGGGGAAACAAGGAGGGGCCAGTTTGGGACAGGGGGAGCAGTTTAACCCAGGGGAAGCACTCTAGCTCGGAAGGGGTGCAGTTTATCCCAGGGGAGGCACTCTAGCTCGGAAGGGGTGCAGTTTATCCCAGGGGAGGCACTCTAGCTCGGAAGGGGTGCAGTTTAGCCCAGGGGAGGCACTCTAGCTCGGAAGGGGTGCAGTTTAGCCCAGGGGAGGCACTCTAGCTCGGAAGGGGTGCAGTTTAGCCCAGGGGAGGCACTCTAGCTCAGAAGGGGTGCAGTTTAGCCCAGGGGAGGCACTTTAGCTTGGAAGGGGTGCAATTTAGCCCAGGAGGGGTGCAGTCTAGCCTAGGGGAGTAGTCTGACTCAAGGGTTTAATTTACTTCCTTGAACAAGGAGAGCGCCGTTTGGGCCAGCGGGAATATGAAAGTGCCAGTTTGGATCAGGGGGAACAAGGAGAGGACATTTGAAGCCAGGGGAGCAGTTTAGCCCAAAGGGAAGGACAGTATAAGGGGGGGGAGTCTAGTCTAGAGGGGGAGGGGAGCAGTCTGGCCTATAAGGGGTGCAGTTGAACCCAAAAGGGACATTCTATCTTTCCCGGTCAACTTACTTGCAGCAGTTCGCATCTTTCGTTAATCCTCTGTGTCCTGGTAGCAGCAGCGTGGAGTAGCGTCTGTAGTGCGGCCAGCAGCGCTTTAGAGGAGTTGTCAAGCGCTTGAGACACAGTGGCTTGGACATACCCAGCTCTTGAACCCGGGAAGAGGGGGCAGTTTGACAAGGAGTGGGCAGGGGAAACAAGGAGGTACCAGTTTGGGACAGGGGGAGTAGTTTAACCCAGGGGAAGCACTCTAGCTCGGAAGGGGTGCAGTTTAGCCCAGGAGGGGTGCAGTCTAGCCTAGTGGGGTAGTCTGGCTAAAGGGTTTAATTTACTTCCTTGAACAAGGAGAGCGCAGTTTATGCTAGCGGGAATATGAAAGTGCCAGTTTGGATCAGGGGGAACAAGGAGAGGACATTTGAGGCCAGGGGAGCAGTTTAGCCCAAAGGGAAGGACAGTAGTCTAGTCTAGGAGGGGAGCAGTCTGGCCTATGAGGGGTGCAGTTGAACCCAAAAGGGACATTCTATCTTTCCCGGTCAACTTACTTGCAGCAGTTCGCATCTTTCGTTAATCCTCTGTGTCCTGGTAGCAGCAGCGTGAAGTAGCGTCTGCAGCGCGGCCAGCAGCGCTTTGGAGGAGTTGTCAAGCGCTTGAGACGCGAAGTGTCCGCGCCGACATAGTTGTGCCGCGCGGTTGCACACGCCTTTCACTGTTGATTCTCTGTTGGATAATAAATATGATGACGATGTGTTAACATACATAGTAGCCAAAGAACTCAGGTAAATATTGACCTTTAATTATACTACGAGTAATGTGAGATTTTATCGCTATTTTATTTTTGAAATAAAAAAACTTTATTAACACAAACGGGACTATTCCCACCTCTCGTTCCCACCACTGCAACTCCTGTGTAGCCAGGATCTACAGCTTGACCGCCACAAAAAACCCAACCAATGAAGGTCAAGTTTGTCCCGGGGGAAAGTTAAACTGTCATTGGACCCGCAACGAAATTAATCAGAAGAACATAGGAGGAGTTCGAAATAAAGGTTCGACTTCCCTCCATTGCAAAGCGGATGACAGGTGATAAACAAAGGTTTAAAACCTTTAAGAAATTTATTAACACAAAGTTATAACATTTGTAACAGTAGGTACAGGACAAAGAAAATGAGTGCGTTTGGTAGAAAAAAAAAAATATGTGCACGCGTCACGCGCACAACCTACAGAAAGAATTTAGGGCAATTTCCTAGGTATAATTTTCAAATTTTTTCTCTATTTATTTTGAAAATGGGAGAAATTTTGTATAAAGTTCAGTTTGATTAAGATTTTCTGGTAAAGATTCGAGAGATCTCTGAGCTTGAGGGCCCTAGGGCAGGGTTTGCCATATTTTTTTTGCCAAGGAACCCTAATTGATTATACTTTTCATAGCGGAACCCCCGTACTACTCCGCCCGCACGCCCTGCCCCTCCCTTGTGCGTAAACAAGTCTGTGCGAGCGAACAACGTCGGTCATGAAACGTGGGATAATATTTTTTACGGAACCCTTGCGGCCTTTCCACGGAACCCCAGGGTTCCGCGGACCACCATTCGGGAACCGCTGCCCTAGGGCACTGCGACGCCTAGGCTAGCTAAGGGGCTAGCCCCTTGGTGTTCCCTCGGACTCCTCGGAGCCAGAGAGGCTCGCTCGTGAGCCAACCTCTAGCCTAAGGCGGAGCTGCGGACGAATGTCCAACTAGGACAGTAACTCGCGGCTCCGTTTGGGCTCTGGTGGAAACCGTCGGGTTTTAGTGGGTAGGCTCCGCCTTTAGTGCGTAGGCGGGGTGAGTCCCACATAACCCAGTGGCCGTCCCCATCGACCAATGGGTATGCGAAAAGCATTTCCCGACGTAAAAAAGGGGTTAGCCCCTTAGTAGTTACGCCACTGGAAGAAGCTAACGGGACTATTCCCACCTCTCGTTCCCACCACTGCAACTCCTGTGTAGCCAGGATCTACAGCTTGACCGCCACAAAAACCCAACCAATGAAGGTCAAGTTTGTCCCGGGGGAAAGTTAAACTGTCATTGGACCCGCAACGAAATTAATCAGAAGAACATAGGAGGAGTTCGAAATTAAGGTTCGACTTCCCTCCATCGCAAAGCGGATGACAGGTGACAAACAAAGGTTTAAAACCTTTAAGAAAAGATTATGCACCACGGACAATAAATTAAATTAAGGGGGCCTATCTTATGAGCAATTAGCAACTACCTGCCAATAATATTTTTCACAAAATCGCTTAAAAGCACGGAAATTTTTCCTTGTCGCGACAAGATCGGTGTAATAAATTGCGGAAAAAGATGTATGTTGTATTGAATTAAGCATTGTATCACGTTCAAGTTTCCAAAGATCACACTCCCACAAGAAGCTAGCAAAGCTTCCCACTGGAAGAAGCTAGCAAAATATAAATTTGTATACACACCTGGCGATAATTTCTGCCTCCAGCGCGAGGTGTTTCTTGAGAAGCGCCTGCGACTCGGCTAAGGCGTTGCCGTATTCCTCCGATAGCACAGCCGCCTCGCGCTCCTTCAGCCTGTTAGGGCAGAAAAACAATTGAGATACCCTGACTTAGTGTGTGCAATATTTAAATCAGAGTAAAGATAAAATAACCTGGATGTAAAGAAAATAGCTAATATTTTCTTTACATCCAGGTTATTTTATCTGTAACCAGAGTAAATGCAAATGAGTAGGTCATCATTTAGCGTGGATTAGCGGGGTGTTGCGCCGAATTTTGTCAGTGTGTGCGTGCGCGCCGCATACGTATTGACGCGCGCTCACATACAAACCGCGCTCGGTGCGTTTCTATGAAGATGGCCTATTCATTTGTATTAACTCAATAACTCCGCAAAATTGCTGAACATATATCATATATCAGCTAGCGATATCAGTATTCTGTTAACTCTACTTTTTCTCAACAGTGATATATTGATCCAGAATCGGCATAATGAGCTCTTTCAAGGGTATTTCGCCGAAACAGTAAATTTTCTGTGTCCAGGCAGGCGAACACATGTTTTTTTATATCTATCTGTATAAAACTATTTTTATGGGAAAGTTCATCAAAAGTTTTATTTGTTTTTGCTATTACAATAGCAGAAACTACAAATAATACCGTAGAAAAACTTAATGAAAAGTCGTTTTTCTAATTTCCTTGTTATGTCCATTACTGTTGTTTGCCAAAATGAAGGCTCATTATAACAAATTGAAGCGTAATTTAATTCTAATAGCACTCTCTTTACATTTGAGAAACGTTTGGCTATCGGAAAATAAAAACTTTAAATGTCAAATACTTATAGGAAGAAAATAAAGTGAAGTTAAGTTCTTGTCCAGGTCAAAAGTATAATTTCCCTGGGTCTTCGTTTCGACCATTGTTGTAATGAAACGAAAAAACTTAGAATGTAACGCACTGCACCACTACACTCGGCCATTTCATCCCAAGAGGCCATTGAGGCAGGACAGTACGTCGTTGATCAGTTTCGCGACAAATCGCATAAATATTTTTATTTGTCAATCTAACAAATAATTACATAGTTATGGTGCGTTGAAGTTGCGCACGACGTCACAACGTGCGGCATTTTTAAGCAAGCGTTGACGTCACGGGCCTCTTCTTATGAACTTTGGGGCGCTTTATCTCTTTAAATTTTCATTAGTTTGAAAAAGTGAAAAATACGTGTAGAGTATTTTTTGATAAGTTAACTGACGGACTAATTAAAACTCTTGCTTTTTGACCCAGGCAACATCCCCATTACGTGCGAGCGATAAGGATGGGCAGCTTGGGGTGATTGGACAAAATTCTACGTGCTCACGGACCGGGCTTTACGAGTATGTATATTACTCACCACTTGAGTTCTTCGTCGGCGTCCCTTTCCCAGCGGTGCAGCAACGCAGCGTCTTCTAAATTGTCACGCCTGATCTGCATGGGCTCTTGTAGTTGCCGGTATCTAGGGAAGAAACGGGATGCGATTAAAGAAGGAATTGCAAAGAATAGTCTTTATACAGTTTTAAAAAAAGGAACACGAGCGGAATAAAAGTTTTCGTATGATTTTAGTGTGTGTTTCACAAAATCAAAATTATTTTATTCAAATTTAACCACTGGCACTTATGAACGTCAAATACAGTGAAAAAGGGCACTTTACATGTCTACTTTTCTTTTGGGCCCTACTAGTACCACAATATGGAAGCTAGCTAAGGTGGAATCACTTCCTTTCTTTCTTCCGTGCTGTGCTCGGAGACCAAGATCTAATTTATCAACCATCTCGGTTTAGTCAAAGCGGAGAACTTTGATACCGCCATTCAGGATTGTAGGCGCGTAGGTCAGCGCCATCTATTGGGTGATGACTGTAGTGGCATGTCGATAGATGTCGCTACAATGGTATCTTACGGCCGGTTCACACATGTCTCCGTTTTACTGTTCCATTTTATCGTGTACGTTTTTTTTTCGTCGATGGCGTATGTAGTTGTATGAGCGACTTCACACATGACACAGTATTCTGTATACAGTAATACATACATCGACGAAAAAAAAACAGTACACGATAAAACGGAACAGTAAAACGGAGACATGTGTGAACCAGCCGTTACGTGAGCGAAGTTAACAGTAACGACTACCCAATAGTTATATCGGCTTTGCTTTGATATGCTGACATCATTTTTTATAGGGACTGTCAACTAACCTCTTAACAGCGCTGTCGGCCTTGTCCAGTATCTCGTCGGCCATGAAGTGTCCGCTGTCGGCCAGTTGTCGGGCCGTGTCGGCGAGCTGTGCAGCTGTCTCGCTCTTGCTGCCCACTTGCTGTTCTAAGCGCGTGTGGCGCTTGAGGAGAGCTGTCACTGACGCTAGGTCCTTGCCTGCGGATGATAAAAAAGTTCATTCTCAATCACAAGTATGGATGAAAAAATAGAATTTTATTTTTAATCCACTAAACGAATATTATGGGACTCGTTTCTGCTAATCATGGACAAAAATTGAAAATGCAAATGTAGATTAGTTCAGTGGATAAGACTTGTTCACTGGATAAAATCCGGCTCGAAGGACCATGTACGCACAATATTGAGTTGGAGAGCGAACTGTATGATAATTCAGGAGATTATAATACAGTAACAGAGATTAGAACAGAAAAATCTGCCCCCACTGGGAATCGAACCCGGGACCTGAAGCAGGTGGTCTTGCCACTAGACCACAGAGGTGGTTAAGGTCCAACTGACCGTGATCCTCGCTGAGCAGCTGTGCCTCGACGTCGTCGAGTCAGGCCGTGAAGTCGTCCAGGCTCCTGGTAGGCTTGTTTTAGGCGCTCACGGCGGAGCTCACGGCTGCCTGGACACGTCTAGGAGTGAGAGGTGCAACTGACCGTGATCCTCGCTGAGCAGCTGTGCCTCGACGTCGTCGAGCCAGGCCGTGAAGTCGTCCAGGCCACGCAGGTACACGCGTGCCTGGTAGGCTTGTTGGAGCCGCTCACGGCGGAGTTTCACGGCCGCCTGTACAAACATAAACACTTCATTTAGTCAACATGGTCATAAGTTGAGACTTTTAGTTTAAGATCACCACCTATGTACTATCGGCAACAGTGTTAACTGCCCATTGCCAGTCATGTCATCTCGTTCTATCGCTAAGAATCGCCATTTGATTAGAGCGAGAGCAAAAACGGAAATTGATAGTTAACAGTGTGGCCGTGTGTACACTTATGAAGCAATAAATGATTATGATTATCTAAAATGTAGTTTAGTTTCCGCGGGAGCACGCAATCGGTTCATGTTTTAGGCCCCTCGTCCACGGCGACTTTTTGTAGCGATTCTGTCGCGCGGTTCCATCGATACAGTCGTAATCGCAATAAGGTCGCTATCTGTGTGCCCTCGCCCACATAAACGCAACTGCAACGAAACTGCAACTTTCTGATGATTCTGATGAATGAAACTGAAAGTTTCAAACTGGTCGCGTCATGTGTGGTCTCTCAACGGACGCTATGGCAGAAACTTAGATGCAACTCAAAAGTAACTAGCAGTTGCAGTTTCGTTGCAGTTGCGTTTCACCGTCTGTTATGGTCCTAACCCTCCCTCCGTTGTCTCCCCGATGTCATAATGACACGGTCGCGCGTTTGCATCGATACAGTCTAGTAGCGCGTTGGCATTTTTTTTATCCACAACGAGGAAGCTCTTGGCCTGTATCTCGCCTGATGGTAAGTGACGATCAGGCCGAAGGTGGAAGCGAGCTTCACCCGGAATCCTCAACCACGGAGGAACTGTAGTGCGTTGCAAATGCGACTAACGCAAAGCAATGTTATTACGAAACGCGCGACAAAAAGTCGCCGCGGACGAGGGCCCTAAGTGCTGCTCGAAGAGCTTAAAAATTGCTTCCTATTAAAATGAAATGTGACAATCATACCTGCAGTTCTCTCCATTGGTTCTCCAGTTCTTCCACTTGCTCAGTGATTTCTTGAGCGGCGTAGTGGTTCGCTTCTGTAGAATATAACCAATAATTATAAAAATTGTTTCATTTACCACACCAATCACTTTTACTCCTCAGAACTAGAGTTTATGACAAATCATATTTTATGTTTTTGTGTGATATTAGAGTAGGCGCACACCGTTGATTTTTCGTCGGCCGATAGTTTAGTCGGGCAGTTGATCAGTATGGGCATGTATGGGAGTACGCACACTACGCCGATTCGATTTGGCCGATTCTTCATACAAATTAAAAACGGGCACAACTATCGGCCAACTAAAAATCAACGGTGTGCGCCTACTCTTAAAGTTGCAGAATAATCATAGCTAAAGCTGCCTTTCCACAACAGATTTGGATGGAAAGTTTGGTACTTTGATGAGATAACCAGGATTCCATAGGTTGCCCTGCTAATTTTAGAGTAAAAACTAATTTAGTCAGGGCTGGAGAAATCTCAACGAGCTCTCTGATCATCTGGTCTGCGAGCACGTACATTATGTTGCTGTCGCGCTCGCACACTGACTGCGGGCGCCCGTCGCACAGTCGCGACAGCAATATAATTACGCGCGAGCGATAAGGATGGGTAGCTTGGGGTCATTAGACAAAATTCTACGTGCTCACGGACCGGGCTTTACTAGGGTTGTCAGCACTCACCGATGAGTTCTTCGCCGTGGTTTGCGACGTCGTCGATGCGGCCCTTGTTGGCGGCCAGTTCTGATTCGAAGGCCGCTTGCTTCTGGATCTTGCTTTGGAGGTTTGACAGGTCTCTGTGGGCAACAAAATTTATATAAATGTTATAAATGTGAGACTTATAATTCATATTATGTATGTACCATACGGGTCACTTAAAAATTAGGTATCGATGGTGAAAACGGGCATTACTATGTTTGTCTTTGTGACGCGCCTTGCGACGCATCGACAGCCCTAGCACCGAGCGCGGAGATTTTGACAACCCTACGGCTGCGCGGCCGCACGCCGCACGGACCGAGCTAATATAAGAGACGGCGGCGACCGCGGGCGCCTAGCATTCGCTCGGGAGCCATCGTAACAGCCAGACGATCGCGCGCGCGTCTACGGCTAATTACGCAAGAGTCCCTAGCGAATAGCTACCCTCACTGTTCCCACTAACCTGGCTCGATAGGACTTTCGGCTCGCGCGGTTTCCGTGACACGAGCGAACCATCGTTGCCTGTATACACATTCCAATCCTTACCGAGTGCATGCTTTACTCAATCCCGACCTGCGGTAGCAATCCCGCTGCCACCCTTCCTGGATTCCTCCCCACTCGCCACGTAGGTCCCAAGCCTTTTTACCTTTGGTACTCGAACCCCCACTTCGTTGACCTCGGTTACCGATTTGGTGAGCGGACCATCCTACCCCCCTAGTTTATAAGTATCCAAACTAACACTTGCTAAACCTCGCACAGGGCGCCGCCCCTCTCGCGGATACGTAAACTAGTCTCGGGACGCGAACCGGGCGCGTCGCTATCCCTCTAATAAAAACTCGTTTACTACATGGAACGAATTCATAGAACTCTTCACGTTGACATTTGTGAGCTGTGACAGTGACCTGTTAGCTAAAATAGTGAATTATAGGCAACATTACCGCCAAAAATTCACAGACTACCTGATTGAAATACAAACACTCATGCGCAGATACGCAAAAATGTCAAAAGAAGAAGAACTAAATAGAATCTACGAAAACATGAACACAAAATACAAGTTTTATATCAAGAAATCAGAAGTCGACTCGATAAGCAAATTGATACAACTGGCAAACGACTACGAGAACGTCACAGCAGAACGTCAAACTAGCTTCACAGAAAGAAAACCACGAAATGATCACCACGAAACAAGCATAAATCAAGAACACAAGGAGACGGCATCATACATACACAATTACAACACAAATACTTGCTGCTGGAGCTGTGGAAAACAAGGACACTCAATGAAAGATTGCAGAAGCAAAAAGGTACTATTTTGTAACGGCTGTGGCAAGATCGGCAAAATGAGTAAACAGTGTTGTAAGAAAACAAGTGAGTACACACAGGCCATGACAATGAACACAAGTACGCAAATATTTATTAACTGAGCGATTTACATAAAAATAGGTAGAGACACATTACTAGACTCAGGGGAAAACATAGGGCCCTATTACAAAATAGTTCAATTACAGGTGACCCCAATGCGATTAGATTAATTAATATTATCTAACAATCATTTTAAATAAAAAAAAACTCCGGACTGTTTGCATATGCTACTCTATTTTGTGTCTAAATGGATAAATGAACGAGTAATTGATTGAACGAATGAATGGACATAAGAATGAATTGCTCTATTGAACGGAAGAACGAGTGAAGAAATTAATAATTTAATGAAAGATTTTAAAAATTTATTGATTGGAAGATTGAACAAATGAACGAAAATATTAACGCGTGGACGAACGAATGAATGAACAAAGTTCACCTGTAATTCTGCTCGGCGGCCTGCTGCATCTTCAGCGCGATCCACTCGCGCTCGTGCTGCAGGTCCCTTGAGAACTGGTGGAGCTTAATGAACGAATGAATGAATGAACAGCCAAATCACCAATAGTTCTGCTCGGCTACTTGCTGCACCTCATGTTTCAGTCTCTAGTATTTGGTGAAGATGAACGAATGAATGAACGAATGAATGAATGAACGAAGTTCACCTGTAGTTCTGCTCAGCCGCCTGCTGCATCTTCAAGGCGATCCACTCACGCTCGTGCTGCAGATCCCTTGAGAACTGGTGGAGCTTAATGAACGAACGAATGAATGAATGAAGTTCACCTGTAGTTCTGCTCGGCCGCCTGCTGCACCTCATTTATTTATTTATTTATTTATTCATGAATAGAACGGTAGTACCAATTACACTATTCAAACAAGACGTAACAAAGCTCAGAATAACATTTAAGTAATTAAAAACAATTTAACTTTACTTAATTTAGGAAAAGTACATAAATCAGATGCGATTATTTTCACAGTAACCCAAACATTCTGCTAGTAACGTACTCCACCCCTCTGCAAATACGTCACATTTTGGTCATGTTTCAGTCTCTAGTGATTGGTGAAGATGAACGAATGAATGAATGAACGAATGAATGTTATTCAAATTTATGTATGCGAGTCATTTCTACTAGTATCTTAATATGTAAGTCTACATATTAGCACGTCACTACTTTGTTTAATATACCACGCAATCTTGTATACCCATTCTTATAAGATACACCATACAAGAATGCATGGTAAATTCAGTGAACTGCTCCTGAATCGAATGTACCTACTACTACTATTTATATTTATTTATATTAACCGGCAGACAGTGGTGACTGAGTTTGTTGCGGCGCTTCTTCTCAGCACTTGCCAAATGTTGGTCTCGAAGCGCTGGTAGGGTAAAAAGATTATGAGACATGTAGAGGCTCCTTAAGAGCAAAATGACGATTTGTAAGAACTATTTATTAGTCCAAACAAATAAAGAAATTTTGACTTTGACTTTGACTTGAATGAAGTTCACCTGTAATTCTGCTCGACGGCCTACTCGTGTTTCGGTCTCTAGTATTTGGTGAAGATGAACGAATGAATGAATGAACGAATGAATGAAGTTCACCTGTAGTTCTGCTCAGCCGCCTGCTGCATCTTCAGCGCGATCCACTCGCGCTCGTGCTGCAGATCCCTTGAGAACTGGTGAAGCTTAATGAATGAATGAACTACAATAAAAATCACCTATAGTTTTGCTCGGCCACCTTCTGTATCTTGGTTGCAGGTCTTTAGAAACAAATGCAGATGAATGGATGTACGACCAACTCATCTGTTGTTCTGCTCGGCGGCCTGCTGCACCTCGTTTCGGTCTCTAGTGATTGCAAATATGAACGAACGAATGAATGAATGAAGTTCACCTGTAATTCTGCTCGACGGCCTACTCGTGTTTCGGTCTCTAGTATTTGGTGAAGATGAACGAATGAATGAATGAACGAATGAATGAAGTTCACCTGTAGTTCTGCTCAGCCGCCTGCTGCATCTTCAGCGCGATCCACTCGCGCTCGTGCTGCAGATCCCTTGAGAACTGGTGAAGCTTAATGAATGAATGAACTACAATAAAAATCACCTATAGTTTTGCTCGGCCACCTTCTGTATCTTGGTTGCAGGTCTTTAGAAACAAATGCAGATGAATGGATGTACGACCAACTCATCTGTTGTTCTGCTCGGCGGCCTGCTGCACCTCGTTTCGGTCTCTAGTGATTGCAAATATGAACGAACGAATGAATGAATGAAGTTCACCTGTAATTCTGCTCGACGGCCTACTCGTGTTTCGGTCTCTAGTATTTGGTGAAGATGAACGAACGAATGAATGAATGAACGAATGAATGAAGTTTACCTGTAGTTCTGCTCAGCCGCCTGCTGCATCTTCAGCGCGATCCACTCACGCTCGTGCTGCAGATCCCTTGAGAACTGGTGGAGCTTAATGAACGAATGAATGAATGAACAGCCAAATCACCAATAGTTCTGCTCGGCTACTTGCTGCACCTCATGTTTCAGTCTCTAGTGATAGGTGAAGATGAACGAACGAATGAATGAATGAACGACAAACTCAACTGTAGTTATGCTCGGTGGCCTGCTGCATCTTCAGCGCGATCCACTCGCGCTCGTGCTGCAGATCCCTTGAGAACTGGTGAAGCTTAATGAATGAATGAACTACAATATAAATCACCTATAGTTTTGCTCGGCCACCTTCTGTATCTTGGTAGCAGGTCTTTAGAAACAAATGCAGATGAATGGATGTACGACCAACTCACATGTTGTTCTGCTCGGCGGCCTACTCGTGTTTCGGTCTCTAGTATTTGGTGAAGATGAACGAATGAATGAATGAATAAACGACAAACTCACCTGTAGTTCTGTTCAGCCGCCTGCTGCATCTTCAGCGCGATCCACTCGCGTTCGTGCTGCAGGTCCCTTGAGAACTGGTGCAGTTGCCTTGATTGTTCCAGCTTCACGCCGCGGGCTAGGCAGGACTCCTGTTGAGGGACAAAGGCATTTACTATTGTTACTCAAAATAGGGAAGCTCTAGGTCTGCATTTCAGATGATGGAGTATGAGGCTCAGTTTGAAGGTGGATGCGAGCTTTACCCATAACATTAAGGCTTGATTTCCTTTTAGGCTGACATCGGTGACCGACGTCAGCGATCATTTTGTAATCAAAAAACAAGGTTTGGTCGATGGCCACGCGAAAAAAAAAGACGCCACCTTAAATACAAAATCTGGCATTGCCATTTCGCAGGTGCCCAAACCTCACGTTTCAAAGACTTTTTTAGCACACCAGTCGTAGGGTCAAAAAAGGTATAAAATAAATTAGATTAAACCATCGGCCACACTGTTAACTATCCATTCCCGTTTTTGCTCTCGCTCTCATCAAATGGTGATTCTTTGCGATATAACGAGATGGCATGACAGGCAATGGATAGTTAACACTGTTGCCGATAGTACAGTCGCAAAATAAAAAGGTTCGTCACCTTAGTGTCGGTTTTCGCTTGCACTAGGTACTGTAAGAGTCAAACCTGCCAACATAACAGTGCAAGAAACAGTGCTGCTAACATTTAAATAAATATGACGTTTGCTAACGAATAAGGTTTTGCTTGTTTATTTTTCTATCCCATCTGTGCAATGCAATGATGACATTGACCAATTGACAACAGTTTTTTTTTATTTAACAGAAATAATAATGGCAGGTTGAACCAACAAGAAGATTTTAGTTTATCAATCATTATAATCTTCATGACAAGATAAATCGTCAAACAACTTTGATCTGAATAATTTTGGACTTCAGTGACGAACAGTTAAAGATTATTTTCTCTAACTCGAGATTATTCTGTAACATAGTTTCAAAAGGTAATATGTGCTCGCGATTCGTTGAAGGAATCAATTTGAAAACTGACGAACCTTTTTATTCCGTGACTGTACATAAGAATTTTTAATTTAACCACGATAAATACGAAGTCACGAACAAGACCAACACGTAAAACTGACCTTGAGTTTGTCCCTCCTCGCCAGTATCTCCGCCAGCCTCTTCTCAATATACTCCCTATCATAGTGGTCGTCTTGCAACATCCCTCGAGCGAATTTCTCCAGTTCGTCCACGCGGCCTAGCTGGGAATCCAGCAGTTTGGCGAACTCCGCGTGCTTGCGGATCAGGGTCTCTACGGCTGTCGGAATAAGGACGGGTTTAGAAAAAACTAGTGATAGAACAAACTTTGCTTAGATGGGACTAGAGAAAGATGAAGAGAAGAGAATATTGATTAATTTATCGACGAGTACTTCTATAGTCTGGTCTGCGAGCAAGTAGAATTTTGTCCAATGACCCCAAGCTACCCATCCTTATCGCTCGCGCGTAATTATGTTGCTGTCGCGCTCGCACACTCACTGCGGGCGCCCGTCGCACAGTCGCGACAGCAATGTTTACGCGCGAGCGATAAGGATGGGTAGCTTGGGGTCATTGGACAAGATTCTACGTGCTCACAGACCGGGCTTTAGCAAACTCATCAAAAAAGAACTTATAAAATCGTATTCAATCAAAAGGCATCCATTACTGGTCAAATGCCTAAGTTGGGTTAAAAAAAGATCTTGAGTGGCGACTACAGGCCGGAAAATGTAGCGTGGATAGGTTTCCCACTAGGTGGACCGACGATCTGATGAAGGTCGCGGGAAGTACCTGGATGCAAGCAGCGCAGGACTTATCGTGATGGAAACCATTGGGGAAGACCTTTAGCCAACAATGGACACCATTTAGCTGAAACTCTGAGGTACGTGAAATAAAAAATCTTTACGGACATATTTAATTAATTACTTTGACATAACTAAGTATTGTTACCTAATTATTTTGTTATAAAACTAATTTACTATATTTAATACTGTTAAGATAATATAATACTGTTTACGCAATATTTTAACATTTTTAACCATGATGTGTGTACACGTTTTTTTGGGTGATCATTTACATCTAAGCATATGTTACTATTATTTGTGATTTTTACTTGTTGTGTATGCCTAATAATAAATAAATGCATTTATAATATATCGGAGTTCCTTGACGATAAATCGAATTAATTTATGTAACCACCATTTTCTAATGTTGTCTGCAAATTGCTACTGTAACATGTCAACATTTTACGTGATTACCTATGATTCACAAATAAAGACTTATTATATTACTATTGTAATAACTGGCACACAATGCTACTTACCGTCGATGTTCTCTCCGAGGTCGATGTTGTTCAGGAAGGCTTCCTTAGCCGCGAGCCAGTCTTCCGTCTGCCGCGCCTGCTCCTTCAGCAGTTGCAGCTGGTGCGCCTGCGCATACAAACAATGTATGGTGAAAGAGGCCGACAATATTGTCGGAGTTTCTTACGCTGCAGTTTATTTAGTTATTTTTAATTATTTTTTTAACATTCTTTATTCATATTTTTCCAACAACAATGTACTTTTATAAAAAGGGAAACCTATATTACACAATCAGTCTAAATCTTATAATTAACATTTTCAATGCATCGCTGTTGGTTTCTATAAATAAATAAATTTATTGAGGCATACCAACAACATTAGTTGTAAGTAATTAGAAAGAAAGAAAGAAAATACATTTACTTGGCACATTTACATGAAAATCTTACTTATACATGGTCGACACTAGAAAATTCTTCTTCTTCTTTTCGTATCGACAACAAACCTACACAGTGTCAGCCCAAAACTCCGCCACAAGACTATAAATGATGATATCAATTTTCTGACTTTACCATACCATTTATATGCATATGTTAACATGGGCTAGCGTCGGCTCATATACCCATTTACCTAACACCCTGTAGAAGTTTAGTATGTATGCATGAGTTAGCAATGAAATGATTTTTATGACCATGTAAAATGTGTTGCACCGGACGTGGTCACATGCTGACTGGAGCGTCGTGTAAGTGATCCGTATGGTGGGTAGAATAATCTAATCTACCCTCATGTTATTATTTTCTCACCAGGTACACACTACACTTATTGTGTCCCTATTCCGTGAGAACGTCGACGCGTCCGAATTCCATTTCAAACTTTCCAATCAAACATCCAATATATTTTCTGAATCCAGTAATTAATAGTTTCCAATCTCGCTTGACTTCGCAGTGGAATCGACAACGGAGTGGAATGAAAAATTGCAAGACCAACTCATATTGCTCTGTAATACTTATGTTTTTCACACATATTTATGTACATAAATATCTTTATCTTTTATCTTCTCTAAACGGAAAGAATGCACTGACGCGACGGTCACATAGAATAGAGACACAATTAGTGTAGTGCGTGACGGTACTTGGAGAAGAAATAATAACGTGGTGGTAAAATTAGATAATTCTACCCATCTTACGGATCGCACTCGATGCTCCAGTCAGCCTGTGACCATGGCCGGTACAACCCGATCAAAACGAAATACAGGTAATACTCGTATTTCATTATTACAAACCCGCGTTTCGTGTTAAAACCTGTTTAAAAATATTTCATGTAAAATGTGACCAAGCATTACAAAGTCAATTATTTGCTACAAATATACTTTTAAAACGCGCTTACCTGCGTGATGTATTGCTTGCGCTGCAGCCAGGCGCCGTCCAGCGTGCGGGACAGTTGTTCCACGCGCTGCTTATTCTCCGGGACATGTTCCACCTCCTTCTGGAGGGACAGGATGGCTTTCTGACGCCCGTCGATCTCGGCCTAGAAGATGGGCTTTAAAAAGCGCCGTTACCTGTGTGATGTATTGCTTGCGCTGCAGCCAGGCGCCGTCCAGCGTGCGGGACAGATGTTCCACGCGCTGCTTCTTCTCCGGGACATGTTCCACTTCCTTCTGGAGGGACAGGATGGCTTTCTGACGCCCGTCGACCTCGGCCTAGAAGATAGGCTTTAAAAAGCGCCGTTACATGCGTTATGTACTGCTTGCGCTGCAGCCAGGCGCCGTCCAGCGTGCGGGACAGATGTTCCACGCGCTGCTTCTTCTCCGGAACATGTTCCACCTCCTTCTGGAGGGACAGGATGGCCTTCTGACGCCCGTCGATCTCGGCCTAGAGGATAGGCTTTAAAAAGCGCCGTTACCTGCGTTATGTACTGCTTGCGCTGCAGCCAGGCGCCGTCCAGCGTGCGGGACAGATGTTCCACGCGCTGCTTCTTCTCCGGAACATGTTCCACCTCCTTCTGGAGGGACAGGATGGCTTTCTGACGCCCGTCGATCTCAGCCTGGAAGAAAACATAACGATGTTACTAATGGAAGAACGTTTACAATTACATTTTACATGCGTACATTACTTGATTTTTCGAAAACGCGCGGGTGACGAGAAACTGTGGATAATTTCATAAATGGCAATGCCAGATTTTGTATGGAAGGTGGCGTCTTTTTTTTTCGCGCGGCCATCGACCAAACATTATTTTTTGATTACAAAATAGTGTAATAAACCAAACTTACTATGACGTGTATACATACCTCTAAACTTAGTCTGAACTGAGTTACGAGCATTAAAAGTTCGATGATTTTACATACTAGATTTGCTTTCTGCGCGTAAGTTTTGTAAGAAATTGCAACAAAATAGGTGGTAAACAAACAAAGGTTTAAAACCTTTAAGAAAAGATTACGCACCACGGACAAAAAATTAAATTCAGGGGGCCTATCTTATGAGCAATTAGCAACTACCTGCCAATAATATTTTCACAAAATCGCTTAAAAGCACGGAAATTTTTCCTTGTCGCGACAAGATCGGTGTAATAAATTGCGGAAACAGATGTATGTTGTATTGAATTAAGCATTATATCACGTTCATTGTTTTTTGTGATAGGAAGCAAACGAGCAGACGGATCACCTGATGGTAAGTGATTACCGTCGCCCATAGACACCCGCAGACCCAGGGGCGTTACAGGTGCGTTGCCGGCCTTTAAGGTGAAGATTCACTCTCTTCTTGAAAGCTTGCTGACCTGATGATGGTAATGACGTACCTTCCTCTCGTGGTGCAGCTCCAAGGCGGCCTCCGCGTCAGGCACGCTCTCGGGCGGCGCGGCGCTGTCCATGCGCTTGATGCTCTCCGACACCCACAGCTCCAGCTCCTGGGAAATAAAATAATAACGTAAGGTATAGTAGAAAGTTCTCGAGTGGCGACCACGGGCTGGAAGACGTAGCGTGGGCAGGCCTCCTACTAGGTGGACCGACGATCTGGTAAAGGTCGCGGGAAGAGCCTGGATGCGGGCAGCGCAAGACCGTTCATTGTGGAAAACCTTGCGGGAGGCCTTTGTCCAGCAGTGGACGTTATTTGGCTGAAACGATAGTAGACTGCCTGAAGACTAGAGTGTACAACCAATGTGTGTTATATAACTTATGGCTCGGAAACGTGGCCTCTCACTATGGGCCTTATACAGAAGCTCAAAGTTGCACAGCGTGCTATGGAGAGGGCTACGCTTGGTGTTTCTTTGCGAGATCGAATCAGAAATGAAATCCGTAAACGAACCAAAGTCGCTAACATAGCCCGACGGTTTAGCAAGCTGAAGTGGCAATGGGCAGGGCACATAGTGCGCAGAACTGACGGCCGATGGGGCAGCAAGGTTCTGGAATGGAGGCCGCGTACCGGAAAACGCAGCGTGGGACGTCCACCTACAAGGTGAATCGTAAAGGTAGCAGGGAAGCGCTGGACGCAGGCCGCTACCAATCGATCAACATGGAAAGCATTGGGGGAGGCCTATGTTCAGCAGTGGACGTCCTATGGCTGGGATGATGATGATGAAGGTATAGTAGAGTAGATAAATAACTACCACCATTGAGGATAATTATGTTTATAAGATAACCTTATTTTTCCGAGGCACACCATCTATACAGGGTGGAAACGATAAGTAACCTCACTCGATTATTTCTAAACTATACAAGATATCGTAAAACTGGTTACTGATTTTAATTGCTTCACAAGCTCTATCCAATGGTATCAAAATAGGTCACAGAATAAACTGGATCTAACCAACAATTCAATGTTTCCTTAATGTTTGAGTGTTATCGGTCCACGCTAATGATCCATGAGTGCACACGCACACTACAGTAATGCCTTACGTATTGCTCGGACCACACTCCCCGCACCCCGCGCGACCGGGACCACACATTGCTGGGGCGCGTCCGAGTGGATGACAGGATGACGTGGATGACAGGGTGACGTGGATGACAGGATGACGTAGATGATGGGATGATGTGGATGACGGGGTGACGTGGATGACATGGATTACAGGATGATATGGATGACATGGAAGACAGGATGACGTGGATGGCAGGATGATATGGAAGACAGGATGACGTTGATAACAGGATGACATGGATGACAGGATGACATGGATGACAGGATGATATGGATGACAGGATGACATGGATGATATGGATGACGTGGATGACAGGTCGACGAAGATGACAGGATAACGTGGATGACAGGATGTCCGGATGACACCAGTGAACCTAACCTAAAGATAATTAGAACTAAACTAACCTTCAAAGTCTCATCGAACTTGTGTTCTGCGATGGCCTCCTCCAACAGAGCGGTGCGCTTGTCCGCCAACTTCTGCAGGTTGTCCCATCCTTCGCGGAGGCTCTCCAGGCTGTCTTCTATCTCTTTCGCGCGGTCCGGGTGCCTGCGGGAGGGACAGAGATGGTTATTTATGTCAAGGACAAGTGCGCTATGCGTTACAAGTTTCTGTAAGATATCAAATCAGACAAGAAGAAAGTTTTAGGAGAAACATAGACGGTTATACAGGGTGGAAACAATAAGTGATCTCACCCGATTATTTCTAAACTATACATGATATCGAAAAACTGCTTACTGATCCTGAAAGTGCTTCACGAGCTCTTTCAAACGGTGCTAATAATAGGTTTCAGAATAAACTGGAACTATCCGAAAATTCAATGTTCAAATGACGTTCACTGTAGGACAAAGGTCTCCCACAAGGAATTCCACAACAACCGGTCCTGTGCTGCCCGCATCCAGGTACTTCCAGCGACTTTCACCAGATCGTCGGTCCACCTACTGGACGATTTCCTTCACTACCTTTCGACCCGTGCCTGCCTTTCGAGAACTTTTCTGCCCCAATGGCTATCAGCTGTACGAGCTAACTACCTACCTGTCTACTGCCATTTGATTTTAGCATTTCTGCAAACTATGTATTAGTAACACGATGGCCCACCTACAGGATACTATTCGACAAGGCCTCACATACGAGCGAACATTGACTCACGCACGCGTATTCTTGTGGCTGTACGTAGTACTTATTATTATTCTGTGGTATTGCCAAGATGGTGGTAACTTGCCAGAAGGAATTTGAAAGAGCCCTACCGACATCTATGGATGATGTTATGACACTCATTCCTTCAGCCTCCACAGCCTTGATCTTGTCTCCCACGGCTCTGGTCTCGGCAGCTCTGGCAATATGGCGCCTTTGTACCTTTAGAATGTCGTGCTCCTATAGTGACTACTAAATGAACTAATGATATGACACTCACTCTGCAGCCAGCTTGGTGTCTCCAGCCTCCAGCATCTTGATCTTAGCCACATTCCGCCGCTGAATCTTTAGATATCTACAGCTGCTCCTGTCTTGTGAACTAAAGCCCGGTCTGTGAGCACGTAGAATTTTGTCCAATGACCCCAAGCTACCCATCCTTATCGCTCGCGCGTAATTATATAGCTGTCGCGACTGTGCGACGGGCGCCCGCAGTGAGTGTGCGAGCGTGACAGCAACATAATTACCCGCGAACGATAAGGATGGGTAGCTTGGGGTCATTGGACAAAATTCTACGTGCTCGCAGACCAGACTATAGATGACCTGATGAACTTTAATTTTGGCTATATCTGTCCAAATATGACACTTACTCTGCAGCCAGCTTAGTTCCTTCAGCTTCCAAAGCCTTGATCTTGTCTCCCACGGCTCTGGTCTCGGCCGCCCTGGCAATATGGCGGCGCTGCAACTCTCTTGCAGCCGACAACTCACGCCCGCGTTCAGTGCTGCTGAACAGCGCTGCCTTCTTGGCGATACGCTCTTCTGTGTCTTCTACGTCCCTGTAAATATATAAAAAATCAATAAAAATCCAGAAAAAACCAGTAAAAATTGGATATGTCATCGTAAAATTGTAAAGTAAGTTTAAAGCTAAGCGTCCACTTGTCGGTATCGTACGCAACGGACGTGTAGACGCATCGTACGAAACACATCGTATCGGATGTGCAATGCGGACAGGTGGACGCACTTATATGAGTTTCTATAAATAATACTACGATCCGTTGCGTGCGATACGTCCGATGAGTACGATACCGACATGTGGACGCTTAGCTTTAACATCAATAAAAATCCAGAAAAAAGCAGTAAAAATTTGATGTCATCGTAAAATTGTAACCTTATTTAATCCACCGTTATAGATGACCCTCGCTGAACTGTCCCACCAAACTCAATGACAGGGGGGCGCTACCATCGTTCAACTATATGGTTTCCAACATGGCAAAAATCGGAACCAGCGATCCTGTATAGACGGTGGCGCCCCACTGTCAATGTCATGGACAGGACAGTTCAGTATTTTGGAACTTTAGTTTACAACCTCATTTGGCTAGGACATATCTCGTGACATCACACAAGTGACTTGACAAAGAACACGTCGCGCCAAGACGTCACGCTACTGACTTAGCTAGGAACACGTCTTGTTGCAAGTTGCAACGTCAACCTCGTGACTTAGCAAGGACACGTCTCGCAGATACCTCACTCTCGTGCTCGCTGTTAGACCCGGGTCGCTACGCTCGTGACTGTTAGACTCCGGGATGCTACGCTCGTGACTGTTAGACCCGGGATGCCACGCTCGTGACTGTTAGACCCGGGATGCTACGCTCGTGACTGTTAGACCCGGGATGCTACGCTCGTGACTGTTAGACCCGGGATGCCACGCTCGTGACTGTTAGACCCGGGATGCTACGCTTGTGACTGTTAGACCCGGGATGCTACGCTTGTGACTGTTAGACCCGGGACGCTACGCTCGTGACGTTAGACCCGGGACGCTACGCTCGTGACGTTAGACCCGGGTCGCTACGCTCGTGACTGTTGACCTGGGATGCCAAATTCAAATTTTCAAATTCATTTATTCACAGAAATACACGTCCATTAGATGTTTGTAAATAATCAATTTCGTTACAGTGTACCTTGCCATGACTGGCATGTGAAAGTTAATTAGGAGAACATGTCAAAATATTAATAATCTTATGAAAAGTCATTTGATAAAATCATAACAATGTCAACAATCCAATTATACTAATCATTACAATTAAATGTCAATTACATAAAATAACACACAACCAATATTAATACATAAAATTTCACAATTATTTAATTCTAAAAAAACTCATTTACAGAGTAGAAACATTTATCGAGCAGCCACTTGTGCAATACATTTCTAAATTCAGGCATAGAAGCTCCCTGTATATAAGCTGGCAGTTTATTGAAAACTCTTATAGCCATACAAAATACATTTCTTTTATATAACGTTAAATTAATTTTGGGCAAATACAATCTGTTCTTGTGGCGAGTAGTCTTTTCTAATACCTGTTCATGCGTCTTAAAATTATCAGGATGTTTTTTTACAAATAGGCATAATTCCTTGATATATAAACATGGCAATGGCAATATTTTTAATTTTTTGAAGAGTGGCTTACAACTATCTCTATAGCCTGCCCCACACATCGCACGCATGCATTTTTTTTGTATTTTAAATACTTTTTCGGAATCAACAGAGTTCCCCCAGAGAATAATTCCATAATTTAGTATAGAGGAGACATAACCGTAATATGCCGACATCATTGCTTCATTGTTTGAAACGTATTTTAATCTTTTTAATACAAATACAAATCAATTTCACAATTATTTAATTCTAAAAAAACTCATTTACAGAGTAGAAACATTTATCGAGCAGCCACTTGTGCAATACATTTCTAAATTCAGGCATAGAAGCTCCCTGTATATAAGCTGGCAGTTTATTGAAAACTCTTATAGCCATACAAAATACATTTCTTTTATATAACGTTAAATTAATTTTGGGCAAATACAATCTGTTCTTGTGGCGAGTAGTCTTTTCTAATACCTGTTCATGCGTCTTAAAATTATCAGGATGTTTTTTTACAAATAGGCATAATTCCTTGATATATAAACATGGCAATGGCAATATTTTTAATTTTTTGAAGAGTGGCTTACAACTATCTCTATAGCCTGCCCCACACATCGCACGCATGCATTTTTTTTGTATTTTAAATACTTTTTCGGAATCAACAGAGTTCCCCCAGAGAATAATTCCATAATTTAGTATAGAGGAGACATAACCGTAATATGCCGACATCATTGCTTCATTGTTTGAAACGTATTTTAATCTTTTTAATACAAATACAAATCTGTCTAGCCACCCTCGTGACTGTTAGACCCGGGATACTATAATCGTGACTGTTAGACTCCGAATGCTATGCTCGTGACGTTACATCCGAGTCGCTACTCTCGTGACTGTTAGACCCGGAACGCTACGCTCGTGACTTGGCTAAGAACACGTCTAGTCGAGATGTCACGCTACTGACTTGGTTAGGAACACGTTCACAACGTGTCGCGTTCGTTACTTGGCTAGGAATACTTCGTGACGTCACATTTGTGACTTAGCTAGGAAAACGTCGTGAAGTCACGAACTTGTCCAGAAACATGTCGCGATGGAACGCCACACTTGCGACTTGGCTCGGAACACGATGCGACTGTTAGACCCGGGATGCTACGGACGTACCTGTTGAAGGAGTGTATCTCGAGCGCCGCGTTGAGGTTGTCCCGGTACTGCTGCAGCGCGCCGCTCAGCGCTCGCCACTTGGCTAGGAACACGTCGCGCCGGGATGCCACGCTCGTGGCTTGCTGCGTCGGGCCCTGGGACAATTTGGTTATTATTAATATTGTGGAATAAAAACAAAACAGTTTGGCCTCATTTCATAGTGTATTACAAGCCAAATGTCAATATCGAAGTAGTTCGTGAGTGTAAGTATAAACCCTGGAACTTCAACTTAATGACAACACGATTGGTATCGTTCGTTAGTTTCAGCCAAATGACGTCCACAGCTGGACAAAGGCCTCCCCCAAGGTTTTCCACAATGAACGGGAACGGTCCTGCGCTGCCCGCATCCAGGCTCTTCCCGCGACCTTTACCAGATCGTCGGTCCACCTTGTAGGAGGCCTGCCCACGCTACGTCTTCCAGCCCGTGGTCGCCACTCGAGAACTTTCCTTTGGTATCGTATAATGCTCCATTTTGTTAGAAATAAGAAAGAAAGAAACATTTATTTATTGCTAAGGACATCACATAAAGACCCCTAACTCTTAGGGCCTCTGCTAAAACTCGACGGGCACTCGCGTGTATTGCATAAATAAATTTTCGATACAGAACCGCGTGCTCGCACGCAAGTTTTAGTCCTTAGCTCTTTCTATTTTCTATTTTAAAGGGTTTTGCCAAATTGTTACAAAAATGGTGTCATATGTAAACCTTGTGTTATTTTTGGGATACCCTATATTATAATACGAATATCTAAGTTACCTGTTGTAGCAGCTTGTCGGCGAGTGCGCATATGCTCTTGACATGCTTATCGTCGACCTTCATATCGCTGTCCAGGTCATCCAGCTTGCGGAGTAACGCGCTGCAGTGCTCGTAGTCGCGGCCTAATTCGTGAGCTTGCACCTGGAAGATAGGGAATGTTTAACCGACTTCAAATATAGAAGGATGTTCTCATTGAGGGCTAATAATGAAAAATATTGTTTTTATACTCCAGTTGGCACCACTGGCTATTGAAAAGACCCTACTTTACAGTGGCGCCATCCTGGTGAGTGCAAATGCGATTCTTCCTACCGCTTCAGCGCTAAAAAGTTGGCACCACACCTTTGCCATTAGCAAGTGACCTGACGTTACTCTACTGACCCCAACTGGTGATCGCTAACTCGACAGCCTTCAGATCGATTTAGATTTGAACCAATATGACTATTATTTGGCCAGTCATTCGGTCATCTAGAGAATGAAATGAGGCAATGACGAACGATGGCCAGAATGATCACACTTTTAATTATACCATAGTTGAGTACTTACCATCATCTCCTTGTCTCTGATCCAGGCTTCAATCTTGTCCAGGTGCTGGTTGAACTCCAATATGTCTTGAGCTTCCTCCAAGCCACGACCTGAAAATGAGCAAATTGATAAGTTTTCTGCTTTTAAACACCTCAATTAGAATAATTATAACTTTAAAAAAAAATAAAACCGACTTCAAATGCGTGAACACAAAAAAAAACTAAAAATTAAAAATATTGCGTATAAAAAAGTTCATCCCCAATTTTCCACCCTTGGGGGTGAAATATTTTCTTCAAATTCGCATGAAACCACCCTTTTGATAATACCTATTCAACAAAAAAATAATCGTTCAAATTGATTTATAATCGGCGGAGATATTGCGTATAAAAAATTTCATCCCCAATTTTCTACCCTTGGGGGTTGTTTTTTCTATTATTAAATTTAAATGGGACCACCCTTGAGGTATTACCTATACGCCGAAAAAAGATTTGTTCAAATCGGTTCATAATTGGCGGAGTTATCGCGTAACAAACAGAAAAAAAAACATACGGGTCGAATTGAGAACCTCCTCCTTTTTTGAAGTCGGTTGAAAATACAGTAAAGTGTGAGTCGTCCCTTCACCTACTTTGTTGACTACCCAATAGGGGATCAGAGAACACTGGTCCTCCTCAATAGGTTCTCCCGTGAGAGTCAAGTTGATGGTGTCAAAAACCCTATTCGTGTCCTTGTTTGGGATTAAGCGTCTTGATCTAGTCTCATAGCAGCTACTCAAATCAAACATACCTTTCTGCTCCGCGGCCTCCTCCAGCTGCCGCCACTGGTGCTCCAGCGCTTGCAGCTGCTTATGAAGTGTCTTAGCCTAGACTAAAAGTAGCTACTGAAATGAAACTACGCTGTAGCTTTCTCCAGCTTAATTCTAGAGTGTCTTGGTCTAGTCTAACAGCATCTTCCCTAAAGAAACCTACCATTCTGCTCTGTGGCTTTCATTAGTCTCTACTGCTCCTTAAGCGCTTGCAGCTGCTTTGTGAAGACCTCTGGTTCAACAGCAGATTCCCTCAAAGAAACTCACCCTTCTGCTCAGTAGCCTCTTCCAGCTGCCGCCACTGCTCCTCCAGCGCTTGCAGCTGCTTCTCTGTGAAGACCTGGTGCTTCTAGTGTCTTGACCTGGTTTAACAACAGATTCCCTCAAAGTAACTTACCTTTCTGCTCCGTAGCTTCCTCCAGCTGCCTCCACTGCTCCTCCAGCGCTTGCAGCTGCTTCTCCACCTCCGCGTCAGGCCGCAGTTGCTTCTAGAGTGTCTTGGTCTAGCCTAACAGCACCTTCCCTCAAAGAAACTCACCCTTCTGCTCAGTGGCTTCTTCCAGCTTACTCCACTGTTATTTAAGCGCTTGCATCTGCTTCTGCAGTGTCTTGGCCTAGTCTAAAAGCAGATTCTCTCAAAGAAACCTACCCTTCTGTTCAGTAGCCTCCTCCAGCTGCCGCCACTGGTGCTCCAGCGCTTGCAGCTGCTAGAGTGTCTTTAGTCTCTCTTATTTTCATTGGCTTCTTCCACTGTTCCTTCAGCGCTTGCCAATGCTTCTGGAGTGGATTAACCTACCCTTTTGTTCAGTGGCTTCTTCCAGCTGCCTCCACTGCTCCTCCAGCGCTTGCAGCTGCTTCTCGACCTCCGCGTCAGGCCGCAGTTGCTTCTAGAGTGTCTTGGTCCAGTCTAACAGCATCTTCCCTCAAAGAAACCTACCCTTCTGCTCAGTGGCTTCTTCCAGCTGCCTCCACTGCTCCTCCAGCGCTTGCCCTTCAAAGAAACCTACCCTTCTGCTCTGTAGCCTCCTCCAACTGCCGCCACTGCTCCTCTAGCGCTTGCAGCTGCTACTAGAGTGTCTTTAGTCACTCTTCTTTTCATTCCTACTTTCATGGCTACTTCCACTGTTCCTTCAGCGCTTGCCAATGCTTCTGGAGTGGATAAAACAAAGATAAACCTACCCTTCTGCTCTATAGCCTCTTCCAGCTGCCGCCACTACTCTTCCAGCGCTTGCAGCTGCTATTGGAGTGTCTTGGTCCAGTTTAACAGCAGCCATTCGAATGAAACCACATATAAAACCTACCCTTCTGCTCTGTAGCCTCCTCCAGCTGCCTCCACTGCTCCTCCAGCGCTTGCAACAGCTTATGAAGTGTCTTAGCCTAGCCTAATACCTGCTACCTTAAGGAAACTCACCCTTCTGCTCAGTGGCTTCTTCCAGCTGCCTCCACTGCTCCTCCAGCGCTTGCAGCTGCTTTTTGAGTGTCTTAACCTAGTCTAAAAGCAGATTCCTTCAAAGAAACCTACCCTTCTGCTCTGTAGCCTCCTCCAGCTGCCTCCACTGCTCCTCCAGCGCTTGCAGCTGCTTCTTTGTGAAGACCTGGTGCTTCTAGAGTATCTCATTTTAATCTAACAGCAGCTAGCAGCACCTTTTGCAGTCAATAATACCTTTTTGCTCAGTAGCCTCCTCCAGCTGCCTCCACTGCTCCTCCAGCGCTTGCAGCTGCTTCCCGACCTCTGCATCAGGCCGCAGCTGCGCCGCCAGCGCGCCGACCTCGGCCAGGCGCGCCTTGTTCGCGGCCAGCTCCGCGGTGAAGGCTTGATGCTACTCCGAAACACCGTTCACGTAGTTCCGGGTCTGTCTCTCACTGTTACTCGCGCTGGCGTCTCGCTTTGTGTGAGAGGGATAGCAATGTTCGAAGCTTCGGATCACAGTTTTCGGAGTAATACTGCTGGTGATTCTGGAGTGTCTAGGTGGAGTGTCTTGGTCTAGTCTAACAACAGCTACCTTAAAGAAACCTTACTGGGGCTACTCCGAAACACCGTTCACGTAGTTCCGGGTCTGTCTGTCATTGTTACTCGCGCTGGCGTCTCGCTTTGCGTGAGAGGGATAGCATGTTTGAAGCTTCGGATCACAGTTTTCGGAGTAATACTGCTGGTGCTTCTAGTGTCTAGGTATAATCTAACAGCTATTCAAATGAAACTACGCTGTAGCTTTCTCCAGCTGTCTCTACTGTTATTTCAGCGCTTGCAGCTGCTGCTCTGTGAAGACCTGGTGCTTCTGGAGTGTCTTGGTCTGGTCTAACTCACCCTTTTGTTCCGTCGCCTCTTCCAGCTGTCTTTACTGCCCCTTAAGCGCTTGCAGCTGCTACTGGAATGTCTTAGCCTAGCCTAACAGCAGCTGCCTTAATGAAACCTACCCTTCTGCTCTGTTGCTTCCTCCAGCTGTCTCTACTGCTTTGCCTTTGTAAACGCCTAGTGCCTTCTGGAGTGTTTAGACCAGTCTACAAGCAGCGTCACTTAATCCAGCTGTCTTCACTGGTCTTTTAACACTTGTAGCTGCTTCTTCTACAGAATCAGCTGCTCCCTGATTCTGTAGCACGCTGAACAGTCTAGCACAAACTACTTGAATGAAACCACAAATCAAACCTACCCTTCTGCTCCGTAGCCTCCTCCAGCTGCCTCCACTGCTCCTCCAGCGCTTGCAGCTGCTGCTCGACCTCCGAATCAGGCCGCAGCTGCGCCGCCAGCGCGCCGACCTCGGCCAGGCGCGCTTTGTTCGCGGCTAATTCCGCGGTGAAGGCTTGATGCTTCTGGAGTTTCTTGATCTTGTCTTCGAGGCTTGTGACTTCGCCTGGGAAGTTGAAATAGAAAAATCTTTATTTGACACAAAATAGATGGCAACACCAACCCAGGTGCTGGTCAGTGGTGACTTTTGCTCACTTGAATTGATTGACGAAAAAATCGTGACATACTCTGATGCTGAATAGCAGTGAGGTAGGCTTACTTGTCAGCGACCTAAATCTCTCACAGCCGCGGGCGCTCAGTGATATATTTTAAGGCAATCGAGTACTTATCTATCTACCAGTGGTTTCTAACGATTCACGGAATCGAAATATGGACCGTAAACGATTTTAAAACTCCGCATGCCATGAGAGAGTTGAAGTGATAAGTAAATTAAGACCTAAGATTACCGAACAAGTACAGAAGAATACATTTGTATTCAAAATCACACAAGTTCTACAAGTTTGGTGAATCATGGTACTGATTCCATGTCCCCAAGGAAACAAACCCGTAGCGTTATGTTTTCATCAACTACGTGTCTCTAAGGCTAAGAACTCACGGCGCGATTTTCACCCGCGCCCACAGCAATTGCGGGCCCGCAACTTCTGTTTGCACGTTTGCGGGCGATGATCGACGGCTGCGTACTGCGTAACCGTGGAAATAACCGGTTCTGTGAGTTTTGAAATAAAACCGCAATTCCACAACCGCCGCGGGCGCGGGTGAAAATTGCGCCATGAGTTCTTACGGGATACACAAGGATATACTTCCTAAGGACTAAATAGAACCAGGGGCAGATTATGAGCTAAAAGCGGGCAGCAGAAAAAAAACAACTGAATAACGGTTCACTAACAATGTGAATCGTTGTTTTTTTTTGCTATTTTTATTAGGTCGCTGGCGGGCCATACGTATATGTGCAAGGCCGCAAGGGGCCATGTACAGTCACGGAATGAAAAGGTTCGTCAGTTTTCAAATTGATTCCTTCAACGAATCGCGAGCACATATTACCTTTTGAAACTATGTTACAGAATAATCTCGAGTTAGAGAAAATAATCTTTAACTGTTCGTCAGTAAAGTTCAAAATTATTCAGATCAAAGTTGTTTGACGATTTATCTTGTCAAGATTATTATGATTGGTAAACTAAAACCTGCCAAAATAAAAGAAGAAGAAGAAGAAACTAAAACCTTCTTGTTGGTTCAACCTGCCATTATTATTTCTATTAATTAAAAAAAACTATTGTCAATTGGTCAATGTCATCATTGCATTGCACTGATGGGATAGAAAATTAAACAAGAAAAACCTTATTCGTTAGCAAACGTCATATTTATTTAAATGTTAGCAGCACTGTTTCTTGCACTGTTATGTTGGCAGGTTTGACTCTTACAAGTTGGCAGGTTTGGCTCTGTCGGCCGTTTGGTGTAGTGGTTCAGAACGGACTACTATGCCGAGAGGTCCCGGGTTCGATTCCCGGCCGGGCAGAAATTGAAATGATGAATTTTAATTTCTGTGACGGGTCTGGGTGTGACTATGTATAATATTTATGTATTTAAAAAAAAAAGTATATAAGTAGTATATCCGTTAAGCTAGCACCCATAACACAAGCATTAAGTTGCTTACTTTGGGGCTAGCTGGCGCTGTGTGAAATTGTGCAAAGATTTATTTATTTATTTATTTATTTACAGTACCTAGTGCAAGCGAAAACCGACACTAAGGTGACGAACCTTTTCATTCCGCGACTGTACTTGTAACTGAGGTTACCTTGCAGCTGGTCGGCGGTGAGCTTGGCGCGCTTGTCGGCGAGCCACGCGCGCGTGTCGGCGGCGTCGCGCGCGAACTGTGCGCGCGCGCGCTGTCGTGCTAGACGACCGCGACGAGCCGCGCACGCCTCGTGCAACTGTGGAGGAAACGTTGTTAGAATAATATCATGACTAGCGGCCGCCCGCGAATTCGTGCGGGGGAATCTTGTTTTACCCCTTTAGGGGTGGAGTTTCGTAAAAACCTTTCTATTTATTACATGTGGAAACATAAACGAGTAAAACCTGTTAAAAATTACACCTTTTTTCAAATTTCAGAAAATCTTTGAATGCAGTTCTTTCTTTTCAAAAATAAAGTAGTGTTTCTATAGAGTAAAATTTTCATTTTAGAATAGAATAATTTACAGCAAAAATTTTACAGAACTTAGGGTACTTTCTCTTTATTACAAAATTCCACCCTTTATACCTACATTTGTATGAAATAATGAAAAAGTTAACAATCGATCTACCAAAAGCCCTTCCTTACCTTGGTCCTCCTCTCGTTAATGTTCTGTAGCTCGTCAGCAATACGCTGGCTTTCCACGTGGTTCTGTTGTAGCAGTTTGTCTCCGTGACTATTCAGGGTTGCCAGTTTCTCATCCTGACGAAAGAGTGAACACTTTAAATGCTTTCCAGTCCTTTGCAGTCGTCATGTCAAAGTTGATTTTAAGGTCTCAAAATGTCCAAATCTCAAAATATAATATTTACTCTTAGATGATTTTTTTTCTCTATATTTAGGACAACAAAGAATTACTTCGTGGGCTTAAAGAACCTTAGTTAAGATATAGATCTTACAGCTAAGAGATTGAGTACTAATGTAACGCCATATTCAACGGTTAAAGGTATATCGTGGCACATGTAAATTAGTTACAAATTAATTAGGAGTATTTTAGCAGACAGCTGGCTGTATAAATCGCAACGAATTTAACTAGAAGAATACAGGAGAATTTCGGAGTATTATACGAATACATACTAACTTTCCTCCGTCCCAAATCTGAGAACAAAGTTACTTTGGCTGTAAAGTAAAACAAAAAGATAAAATACCTGAGTGGCGATCAGTTTCTCAAACGCCTCGTGTTTCTTCAGCTGGTTGTCGACTTCTTCCACGCTGCAGTCGGGAGATATCTCCACAGCTGTTGATGGAAAAAGAAACGTGTTAACAAAATGTATAGTATATTGATAGTATCCGGCTCGAAGGACCAATGAAAAGGGTCCTTCTGGGAACTTAAATCAGAGTGGACTGAAAGACACTAGGCCTGTCCTACAAGACACTAGGCCTCTCCTACAAGACACTAGGCATCGAGCGTGTGCTTCTGGTCGCACAGGAAGCAGTACAGGATACCGGGCCTCCTCTGCAGGACACTAGGCCTATTTGCAGGACACTAGACCTCTCTTATAGGACACTACACCTCTACTACAGTCCAGCGCCACCTGTCGCCTCTCCTGCAGGTCACTAGGCCTCTCCTACAAGACACTAGGCCTCTTCTATAAGATACTAGCATACTGTAGGAGACAGTATCCTCGCTCTCCTGTAAATGTCTTACCTAGCGCATGCTCCTGGGCCGCGCACAACTCATGCAATGAGGATCATTTCGATTTTTAGCTGTGAATGCAGATTTATAGGGCTAAGAAATCCTTAATACACAGTCCAAAAATTTTTGTTCTACGACAAAAATTGACGAAGTTATGGCCAAATTACTAAAAAAGTTCACTGACCGCCCGGCGCGGGACCGTTGACGTCATTGTATCCGATCCGAACGCTGCCGGCGTACTGCGTGGATAGAAAATATTTTTTTCTAGCCAAACTATCAGTTTGAGAGAAAAACTTGTAATGACATATATTCATCAGAATAAAGTAAGCTATCGATAGGTAATTTTAAAAATAGAAATTGTGAAAAATAACGCAAAAAATCCATACGCTCATACGATTCAATGGAACGCAGAGACGCGATTGGGGTCTCCGCGGTGGTATATTTGGCGATTTATTCAAATAAAGTGTTTATAAGTGTTGTTAGAGTCATATCTTCTTCCAAGTAAAATATAAAAATGTATAAGTATTAATTTAAAAATATTTTCCATCCCATTAGTACGCCGGCTGCGCTCGATTCGGATATAATGACGTCACGCGGCCCTGCGTACGTTGACTTTTAGCGGCAAAAACGGCCTATGTTTATTACTTAATATCTTCGTAAGTAATGGTCCGATTTGGATAATTCAAAAAGATATATCTTTCTTATGTCTTAAAGATTAACGTAGATACTAGTTTTATTGAATTTTCTACAACAGTACTGATCCTCATTGCGCCGCATCCCGCAAGAAGCAGTGCAGGTCGATGAGTTGGTCGAGCGCCACCTGTCGACTCTGCTGCTGGACACTAGGCCTCTCCTATAGAATACTAGGGCCTCTACTACAGGACACTAGCCCTCTCTTACAGGACACTAGCCCTCTCTTAGAGGACACTAGCCCTCTCTTAGAGGACACTAGATTCCTGCAGTATCCTCGGCCTCTCCTGAAGGACACCACGCCTCTCCTAAAGGACACTAGGTCTCTCATATAAGTTACTAGGCCTTTCCTACAGGACCCTCGGCCTCTGCTACAAGACACTAGGTCTATCCTGCAAGTTACTAGGCCTCTCCTACAGCACACTGGGCCTCTCCTACAGAATACTAGGCCTCTCCTATAGGATACTAGGCCTCTCCTATAGTATACTAGGCCTCTCTTACGGGTGTCATACCTAGCGCATGTTCCTGGGCCGCGCACAACTCGTGCAGTTGGGCCGCGTCCCGCAGGAAGCAGTGCAGGTCGATGAGCTGGTCCAGCGCCACCTGTCGCCTCTCCTGCAGGACACTAGGCCTCTCCTACAAGACACTAGGCATCGAGCGCGTGCTCCTAGTCGCGAAGGAAGCAGTGTAGGACACTGGGCCTCTCCTATAAGATACTAGGCTTCTCCTACAGGACACTAGGCTTCACCTTTAAGATACTAGGCCTCTCCTACAAGACACTAGGTATCGAGCGCGTGCTCATGGTCGCGGAGGAAGCAGTGTAGGACACTGGGCATCTCCTATAAGATACTAGGATACTGTAGGAGACAGTATCCTCGCTCTCTTGTAAATGGCGGGTGTCTCACCTAGCGCATGCTCCTGAGCCGCGCACAATTCATGCAATTGAGCCGCATCCCGCAAGAAGCAGTGCAGGTCGATGAGCTGGTCGAGCGCCACCTGTCGCGCCGCCCACGCGCCCGCGGCCGCTGCTCGCGCTTCCACCAGTTGAGTGCATTTTGCTTCCACCTCCTGTGGGGAAAGCAGGGTGAAATAACGTTAGATGTGGGTATAAGGATTTATTTCTGAGCGGGACAGCAAAAAGGAGTGGAGCATGAGAATAAGATCATATAGGAGTCAAATATAGTCGAATAACTCTTTAGTGACAAGTAGCCGAAAAAGTACCAGGCTCGCAGGACCACTAAAGAGTCATCTTTCTGATATACTTAGTTGGGTATTTCTCTTGGACTAGTCTCTTGTTGATGATGTAGCCTAAGAAGTACCAGGACCTCACAGCTAATAGGGAAGTCTCACCTATGTACCAGGCCCTGAGAAGTACCAGGACCGTATAGCTACTTAGGAGGTCTTACTAATCTGCAGCAGTATCTTAACATCTTATGGTTGGTCTTGTCTAAGAAGTACCAGGACCACACAGCTAGTAAGGAGGCCACTCTAACCTGCGTAGCAGGATGTCTCTTGCGCAAGAGTCGCTACTGTTTTTTTTTGTTGATCCAGCCTGAAAAGTACCAGGACCTCATAGCTACATAAGAGATCCGTAATCAACTGACCTGTGAAGCTGGGTGTCCCTCTTGCAACAGCCTCTGTCCATGATCAAGCGCAGCACGGAAGGAGTCATCGCGTGCATCTAATTCGGCCCTGAGCGCGTCGTGCTTTGCGCGCGCCGCTTGAGCAGAAGCCGCATCGCGCACGCCGACAGTCTTTGTCAGCTGGTCTTGTCAATTGGTGCCAGTTCATCCTTGCTTCAAAGGAGCGAGTAGCCGAAGAATTACCAGGCTCGAAAAACCACTAAAGAGTCATCTCACTGTCCTACATAGTTGAGTATTTCTCCTGTTGATCTTGTCTAAGAAGTACCAGGACCACACAGCTAGTAAGGAGGTAGCAGGATGTCTCTTGCGCCGGAATCGATAAAGGTATGTTGATCTAACCTGAGAAGTACCAGGGCCGCATAGTCACTAAGGAGATCCCACCTATGAAGCTGGGTGTCCCTCCTACAGCAGATTTTTTTGCCCATTTATTGTTGATCTAGTTTGAGAAGTACTAGGACCTCATAGCCACTAAGGAACTGACCTGTGAAGCCGGATGTCCCTCTTGTAACAGCCTCTGTCCATGATCAAGCGCAGCACGGAAGGAGTCATCGCGTGCATCTAATTCAGCCCTGAGCGCGTCGTGCTCTGCGCGTACGCACTAAGGAGACACTAGACTGGCAGTTTCTTTGTTGATAGACTGAGAAGTACCAGGACCACACAGCTAGTAAGGAGATAGCAGGAGTCAGGTCTCTTGCGCAGGAGTCGGTAGATGTTTCTATGTAGATCTAGCCTGAAAAGTACCAGGACCTCATAGCTACTTAAGATATTCATCTGGTTACTAACTTAAGGAGCTCTCACTGACCTGTGAAGCCGGGTGTCCTTCTTGCAACAGCCTCTGTCCATGATCAAGCGCAGCACGGAAGGAGTCATCGCGTGCGTCCAGCTCAGCCCTGAGCGCGTCGTGCTCTGCGCGCGAACGCACTAAGGAGACACTAGACTCTGGCAGTTTCTTTGTTGATAGACTGAGAAGTACCAGGATCACACAGCTAGTAAGGAGATAGCAGGAGTCAGGTCTCTTGCGCAGGAGTCGGTAGATGTTTCTATGTAGATCCAGCCTGAAAAGTACCAGGCCCGCATAGCTTCCAAGGAGCTCCTACTCACTTGTGAAGCTGGGTGTCCCTCTTGCAACAGCCTCTGTCCATGATCAAGCGCAGCCCGGAAGGAGTCGTCGCGTGCATCTAATTCAGCTCTGAGCGCGTCGTGCTCTGCGCGCGCCGCTTGAGCCGAGGCCGCGTCACGCACGCCGCCGGCGCCGGCGCCGCTCGCCGCTAGCGATGACACCACGCTGCTACACCAGGAGGTCAGGTCGCGGACCTATGGACACAAAGACAGTTAGTTAGTTACACCAGGCCTGTTCATCTCCGCGAGTTTACATCGAAAACAAAACACGTACGATGGCCCACCTACAGGATACTATTCGACAAGGCCTCACATACGAGCGAACATTGACGCGTATTCTTGTGTATGATGGAAGAAAATAAAGAAAATGGTGTACTGAATACTGTGCAGTATTTAACTGCCTAAATAATAATAAAAACACAGAATGTACTTTTTTAAGTTGCCTCAAGACACTGAGAGGTAAATAAGTAGTTAATATTATTCATGATAATTCATGCTAAATCATGTATTTCCTCCGCCATTTTCCGCAGTTTGGCACCTCACGTCACATCATTTTACCGAAGTCAGCCCTATAGCTTCGGCGCAGTGCCGATCACTGATGTTTGTCAACAAAATGGTGCTTGACTCTTGAGACAGGCTAAATTACACCATATTGTTAATGACATTAAGCATACATTTTTTTAAATACCTTCGCGAAGTAAAACTTCTGTACGTAGTACTTATTATTATTCTGTGGTTACACACACATACACAACACATCTACACTTTTACACACACCCTACATCCATCCCTAATGTCTCTTCATCTTTTGTGTACTTTTCATATTTTGATTTATTGCTTCCTTAAATAACACTGTCGGCTTAGCCGTGCTAATTCTACCTGTAAATTGTTATTCTTTCCTCCACAGGACAGGCAATGTCTAGTGTGGAGGTCTGTCTTTTAGTTATTGTATTGTTTGATTCTGGCAATAAATATTTTCAGGAGGACAGTAATTTAAAATTGTAGGGGAGACAGCGTGTTGTTCATTTAGCAAAAAAAAAATACATGTATGTACTCGTAGATATCGAAAAATGGTAGTAGAACTGATGATCGCTGAGGCAGAATAGTTAGAATAGTTCTCAAGACACGAAAGACTGGAAGACGTAATGCAGACTGACTTGCCACTCGTTGGACCGACGATCTTTCTGAATACGAAGAGCGCAGGAGCGGTCATTGTGGAAACACCTGCGCGAGGTCTTTTATTCCAAAAGTTCTTTATTGCTATTCCACACGTTAAATAGGAGTCCAACAGTACACCTTTATCCTCCTAAAATTAACAACTAACCTGTGCCCTAAACTGGTGCAGATCAGCCTGCATCTCCAGCTGTCGTCGCCTCTCATCAGCGGCCGCTCTTAACGCCGCCCAAGCGTCTTCCAATGCTTGCTGCTGCAACGCGATTTGTTGTACGTTGCTGCCTGGGTATAGCTTTTGCAGGCGAGATCCTTCTTCTTGGAGCACCTGGGGATATCATGAATGAGGATTAGTATTATTCATAAGGCAAAAGTGCTAAATTTTTGCTGTTAAATTAGAGAACGTGAGCTTGTACAAAGACAAAAATTAGTTGGGAAAGAACCGGCTAATGAGATATATGTATTTTCTTCTATTTGACAAGTACTAGGAGCCTAGCCGTGTGGTGACGGCAGAGTAGAATACATTTGTCACCAACCCCTACTCTTCCCGCGGGTGTCGTAAGAGGCGCTTAGGGACTACACATCAAACAGAGAATGGGCAGCAGCGCTCTCTGAAAAACATCAATCTTTTAAACTGCGATCTCCAACCCGCCTGCCAAGCGTGGAGATTATGGCAAAACCCTCCACTATAGTGGAGGAGGCTCATAGTCCAGCAGTGGACTGTAAAGGGCTGTTGATGAGGAGCCTAGACCAGAGTAAATACAAATGAGTAGGTTATCTTCATAGAAAGTTGCTAATCCACGCTAAATTGTCAGTGTGTGCGTGTGCGCCGCATACGTATTGGCGCGCTCACATACAAACCGCGCCCGGTGCGTTTCTATGAAGATAACCTACTCATTTGTATTTACTCTGCCTAGACTCTCTATCATCAGTAGCAATAAGAAACTGATGACAATCCCACATGGATCTGTGGCGCAGTTCATTTTAGTGCTGTCTTTAGTCCTAAGAGACGCTGATCCTGCTGTAAGACAGGTAGTCCATCGTATTAGAGTTTCGAGACCACCATAAACCAAGCACTTTAAATGAAGTCTTTAAACTTACTCTAAATTACAGGAATAAGCTTTAACATAAACACAACTACCAGATCTTATCTGCATCTGAGCGTCAATAGTCAGCAGATCATTCTCAGTGCTATCTCTAGTTTTGAACGTCATAGCGCCTGCTTCCAAGTCCTGAGACAGCTGGATCCTTTTGCCTTAAACATCAGCTAGACAGGACCGTCAAAACTTGGAGAAGCTGAATAGAATCTTACCTACATCTGCGCATCAATAGTCATCAGGTCATTCTCACTGCTGTCCCTAGTTTCCAGCTCACTGGTAAGTCCTGGGACAGCTGGGCCCTCTTATCATGAATCCTGGCCAGATAGGAGCCTCAAGAACTTAAGTAAATGAACAGAATCTCATTTGCATCTGAGCATCAATAGCCAGCAGGTCATTTTCAGTGCTGTCCTTAGTTTGTAGCGCCTGCTGGTCAGCCCTGGGACAGCTGGACCATAGTAGTAGTGCTTCTAAAGTGACCCCTAAACGACTAAACCAGCCCCTAAATCACAGGAACCTTACCTGTATCTGAGCGTCAAAAGCTAGCAGGTCATTTTCAGTGCTGTCCTTAGTTTGTAGCGCCTGCTGGTCAGCCCTGGGACAGCTGGATTATAGCATTAGAGCTTCTAAAGTGACCCCTAAACGACTAAACCAGCCCCTAAATCACAGGAATCTTACCTGCATCTGAGCATCAATAGCCAGCAGATCATTCTCAGTGCTGTCCCTAGTTCTCAGCGCCGCAGCGCCCGCTGGCAAGTCCTGGGACAGCTGGGCCCTCTTATCATGAATCCTGGCCAGATGGGAGCCTCAAGAACTTAAGTAAATGAACAGAATCGTACCTGCATCTGAGCGTCGATAGTCAACAAGTCATTCTCAGTGCTGTCCTTAGTTTGCAGCGCCTGCTGGTCAGCCCTGCGACAGCTGGGACCTAGTATTAGTGTTTCTAAAGTGACCGCTAAACGACTAAACCAGCCCCTAAATCACAGGAATCTTACCTGCATCTGGGCGTCGATAGCCAGCAAGTCATTTTCAGTGCTGTCCTTAGTTTGTAGCGCCTGCTGGTAAGCCCTGGGACAGCTGGATTATAGCATTAGAGCTTCTAAAGTGACCCCTAAACACTAAACCAGCCCCTAAATCACAGGAATCTTACCTGCATCTGAGCATCAATAGCCAGCAGGTCATTTTCAGTGCTATCCCTAGTTCTCAGCGCCGCAGCGCCCGCTGGTAAGTCCTGGGACAGCTGGATCCTTTTGCCTTAAACATCAGCTAGACAGGACCGTCAAAACTTGGAGAAGCTGAATAGAATCTTACCTACATCTGCGCATCAATAGTCATCAGGTCATTCTCACTGCTGTCCCTAGTTCCCAGCTCACTGGTAAGTCCTGGGACAGCTGGCGCCTCTTATCATAAATCCTGGCCAGATGCGAGCCTCAAGAACTTAAGTAAATGAACAGAATCTCATTTGCATCTGAGCATCAATAGCCAGCAGGTCATTTTCAGTGCTGTCCCTAGTTCTCAGCTCACTGGTAAGTCCTGGGACAGCTGGACCATAGTATTAGTACTTCTAAAGTGACCCCTAAAGACTAAACCAGCCCCTAAATCACAGGAATCTTACCTGCATCTGAGCATCAATAGCCAGCAGGTCATTCTCAGTGCTGTCCCTAGTCCTCAGCGCCGCAGCGCCCGCTGGCAAGTCCTGGGACAGCTGGGCCCTCTTATCATGGTCTTTGACTAGATAATACTTTGTAAAGCTGAATAGATCTTACCTGCATCGGTTCACAGCGCCGCAGCGCACGCTGGCAAGTCCTGGGACAGCTGGGTTATAGCATTAGAGCTTCTAAAGTGACCCCTAAACGACTAAACCAGCCCCTAAATCACAGGAATCTTACCTGCATCTGAGCATCAATAGCCAGCAGGTCATTCTCAGTGCTGTCCCTAGTCCTTAGCGCCGCAGCGCCCGCTGGCAAGTCCTGGGACAGCTGGGCCCTCTTGTCGTGGACCCTGGCCAGTAAGTCAGCCACGTCGCGATGGAAGCGATGTATTTCGCCAGCGGCGTGGAGTTTCGCTCCGCGGGATTGGATTTGGTCGACTAGGCGTTGCCAGGACTCGCTATGGAAAGTACAACAAGTGTGAATAATTTTCTAATGGTCAAGTACGCGTCTGTCGTAATAAGAAAGGTTTGACAGATTTTTAATGTAAAAAAAGTATTAAAGCCGTTGCCTATATTAAAATAAAAATAAAAGAAATGTCTTCTTTTTCATGTATCAGGGGAGAATTTATTTTTTATTTATTCATTGCGACAATACAAATACTTGCATACTCAAAAAAAGTAAACCCTTATTATATCAAACTAAAATATGACTTAAAATGTAGCACCCAAAAAATAAGGAGACATGTAAAGAAGGACTGTCTTTTTATTATTTAATTTAACGTTCATACGTGCCAAATCTTGGTATAAACGGATTAAAACACATTTAATTTCATTCTGTACCTCTAGCATGAACAACTTTCGTCTTCGAATCGTTTCCGTATTCGACAAAATTCGATACTCAACCTTCGAATTAAACGATAACGTGACAATTTTGATTCTCAAAATAAGTTTCGTTCAACCATTTCTCATACTAAGTTCACTTTACGACACGTTCACAAGGGCGCTGTTGTAGTATTCGTACTAAATCTTTTGATGACGATTCGAGCACGCAAACGATTTGAACTCGATAGTTTTTCGTGCTAGTCGTACTGTTCATGGAAGAAGATGTTCTTCTATCTCTTTTCAGCACCAGCCGATATGTATACATATTCGGGACGTGTATAAGTGCTCTGAAAAAGGCCTACATTCTAATAATTTGAATTTTCACTTACCCCAGCGCCTCCTGTCTGCGCTCGATGTCAGCGATGTATGGACTGTCGGTGGCTAACAGCTTCTTGGCCAGCTCCTCGCACTGGCTGAACCGTTCCGCACCGCTTTCCACGCGCAGGCGTAATTCCTCGAACTTGGACCTTAGGATCTGGGGAGGAAGGTTGAGTTTAGTGTACAGTTACAGCCTGAAAAGGTAGAACCACAGAATAATAATTACTATGTACAAAAGTTTTACTTCGCGAAGGTGAGGGTGTCCCATAATTTTCAAAGTTTTAAATTTGTAACGCATAGGTCTTAGTTTTGTTTGTTTGCCTCTAAAACACTCGGAAATAAATTTTTACTTTATTTGGAGTACGATAACCCGTGCCGACTTGCATCGAAACATGTTGCGCGGCAGTAGCGGTGCGTATTCGCGGTATTGTCATTTGTTCTCAATTAATCATCACGACCAACTTACCAGCTCTGATGAAAGCCTTAAGGAACTCTTGCTTGACATCCACTTTCCAAAAGGTATATGAGAGTGTTGACAAATTGATTTCCAAAGCAGCCTTAAGCAAGTTTAGTCAACATCTTTGTTACTTCATGTCAGAAGAAATTGCCGTTTTATCACTCTTTGATGATGAAGGTAATGAACAAACACCGTCAATACTGTAGTAAAAGTACATAGAGAGAGTATGTATGATTCTGGGAAGATATACATTCCATCTGAAGAAGGTATGATTATTTCTATGGTAAATAGGACTAGTACTAATTTTTTTATCATGTTTTTAATGAATTGATAATAATACTGCCTTATTTATTGTTGCTGGAAACCCATTGAGTGATTTAGTGTCTGTCAAGACTATACATTTATTTTTTCCATTGAAAATTGATAAGAATTTTCCCCTGAGACCCATTTCTAAATGAGACGCCGAAGCTATAGGGCTGACTTCGGTAAAATGATGTGACGTGAGGTGCCAAACTGCGGAAAATGGCGGAGGAAATACATGATTTAGCATGAATTATCATGAATAATATTAACTACATATTTACCTCTCAGTGTCTTGAGGCAACTTAAAAAAGTACATTCTGTGTTTTTATTATTATTTAGGCAATTAAATACTGCACAGTATTTAGTACACCATTTTCTTCCATCATACACAAGAATACGCGTGTGTGAGTCAATGTTCGCTCGTATGTGAGGCCTTGTCGAATAGTATCCTGTAGGTGGGCCATCGTGCGTGTTTTGTTTTCGATGTAAACTCGCGGAGATGAACAGGCCTGGTAGAACTAAGAGATGCCTGTTAACCTATTTATAAGAACTCTTGTAACCTTTGTTCATATGCAATGAAGACTTTATTACAGTTTTTTATACTCGACGAGGAAGCTCTTAGCCTGCATTTCACCTGATGTAAAGTGATGATCAGAACAAAGCGAGCTTGACCCGCAATCCTCAACCACAGAGAAATTTCAAAGTCAAAGTCAAAATTTCTTTATTTGTTTGGACTAATAAATATGTAGTTCTTACAAATCGTCATTTTGCTCTTAAGGAGCTTCTACATGTCTCATAATCTTTTTACCCTACCAGCGCTTCGAGACCAACATTTGGCAAGTGCTGAGAAGAAGCGCCGCAACAAACTCAGTCACCACTGTCTGCCGGTTAATATAAATAAATAGAAATAGTAGTAGTAGGTACATTCGATTCAGGAGCAGTTCACTGAATTTACCATGCATTCTTGTNGACTAATAAATAGTTCTTACAAATCGTCATTTTGCTCTTAAGGAGCCTCTACATGTCTCATAATCTTTTTACCCTACCAGCGCTTCGAGACCAACATTTGGCAAGTGCTGAGAAGAAGCGCCGCAACAAACTCAGTCACCACTGTCTGCCGGTTAATATAAATAAATAGAAATAGTAGTAGTAGGTACATTCGATTCAGGAGCAGTTCACTGAATTTACCATGCATTCTTGTATGGTGTATCTTATAAGAATGGGTATACAAGATTGCGTGGTATATTAAACAAGGTAGTGACGTGCTAATATCTAGACTTACATATTAAGACGAGTCATTTCTACTAGTAAGTAGAAATGACTCGCATACATAAATTTGAATAACTTGGATTGACCAGTCCCCGAAAGCAGCGCCTGTTCACAGACATGACGAGTGAACCAGCCATCGCTTCACTCGACCATATTAGAGGGAATGTAACGACCCGCCTCACTACACTACTACAATTGGCTATCTTACCTCTAACTGGATGTGGGCAGCACAGGACCGGTCGTTGTGGAAATACGAGGCCTTTGTCCAGTAGTGGACGTTATTTGGCATTTGGCTGAAACGAACATTGCTTCAAACTCACCAGCAAGTGCTCGTAGTCCTGCCCGTAGTCTTCGCTGGAGGCAGCCGTGTACTGCTCCTGTATCCAGCTCTCCAGCTCAGCGCTTTCTGCTAGGTACTCGTGTCTGGAAGGGATATAATGTTTTTATAATTCTGAAGAAGTTAGGGAGTGTTGTAAACCAATATTTAGCGCACTCTGTTTACTTATAAAAATCTGTTTGTAAAGCGCCATCTATGGTTCTTGTTCCATTCTTACTGAACTACCGTGAGTCGGGACAAACTAATTCTTACAATAAACCATAGATGGCGCTACATCTGTGCGTGCTGCTTTTTATCGATCGGTCCGAACGGCCATTACAATTCAAGACACTGTATCTACTGCGTGTGAAAATACAACAACAGACTTTTCTTACCAACAGGGAGTGAAAGGAAAAAAAAGAGTGTATGTCGTTGATCTGTAGTCGAAATGTTTTACCTCAATTAAACAAAATAAACTATTTTTCTCTCTTTCTTTCAATTGATCTCAGAACTATTCCCACTCTCTTTCCCACCACGGCAAACAAGATCTACAGTTTGGCTGCCAATCAAATTCTAGTAGTGAAGGGTGACAAATCCCACCTCTCGTACCCACAACTGCAACTCTTGAATGTATGTTTGACTGCCAATGAAATCCAACCAGTGAAAGTTGTGTAATCTTAGTTGTTAGTTGGTAGAGTTGACTATTTTGGGACTCGCACATTAGATCAGAGTTACTGACTATCTTGAAACTGACTTATAGATGCTGCAACTGATACAGGAATATCGAGAATCTTGTGTCACAAGATTGCAACTGCTGCGAAAACTGAGTTGTGATTGCAGCTTGTGTCATAAGATTGCAACCGCTGTAACTGACCTGCATACGCTCTCAACCAGCGCTCGCTGCCGGTGCGCCGCAAGCCGCTGCAAGCGCTGGAGACTAGCGGCGAGCTGCTCGTGCCTCTGGACTAGCGCTTCGCCCTCTCCGTCAGCCATCGACGCGGCCGCGCGACCCATCTCGGCGACGATGGCTGCGTATGTGTCTAGTTCTAGTTCTACGGCCTGTGGGGAAAGATTTGATTTGATAAGAAAGAAAGAAGAAGACATTTTTTTTTTTACAAAATTACATCTACAGGGTGGAATTTTGTAATACCACCTGGAGGGAAAGTACTCTTAATACTGTAGATAGAAAATTTTACTGAAAGAAAACATTCCTTTATTTTTTAAAAGAAAATGAACTTNATGCAAGATTTTCATTGTTTGATCACTGCAAAGGAAGAGAAAAAGCTATTTTTGCTTCGCACAGTGTAGCAAAAATCAGGCCAATATTCAGGAGCATGGAAATCTGTATCCAGAATGTAAATAATTAACTTTTAAAAAAAATAAAACCGACTTCAAATGCGTGAACACAAAAAAAAACTAAAAATTGCGTATAAAAAAGCCATCGACGCGGCCGCGCGACCCATCTCGGCGACGATGGCTGCGTATGTGTCTAGTTCTAGTTCTACGGCCTGTGGGGAAAGATTTGATTTGATAAGAAAGAAAGAAGAAGACATTTTTTTTTTTACAAAATTACATCTACAGGGTGGAATTTTGTAATACCACCTGGAGGGAAAGTACTCTTAATACTGTAGATAGAAAATTTTACTGAAAGAAAACATTCCTTTATTTTTTAAAAGAAAATGAACTGCATTTAAAGATTTTCGAAATTTTTTCGAAAATTCACTACCATACCATACAATTTTCTGTACATCGTAATTAAAATTATTTCATGGTTTTCCTTTCATTTGATTTATCAAGTTTGTTAGAGAGATTTCATCCTTATACTTAACCCTAATGATCGATGCAATAAAAATACAGGATGTAATTTTATACAGATTTTAGTTGGTTAGATTCCCGGGAGTGGCAAGCAAATTTTTGGAAATCTTTGAATGCAGTTCTTTCAAAAATAAAGGAAAGTTTTCTTTGAGAAAAAAAATCGATCTACAATATTAAGAGTACATTCCCTCCAGGTGGCATTACAAAATTCCACCCTGTATACTAATATTATAAAGCTGAAGAGTTTGTTTGTTTGTTTACTTGAACGCGCTAATCTCAGGAACTACCAGACCGATTTGAAAAATTCTTTCAGTGTTAGATAGCCCATTTATCAAGGAAGGCTTAAGGCTATATACCATCACGCTACGAGTAATAGGTGCAGAGCAAAAATGAAAAATGTTGCAAAAACGGGTTTTCACACGTACGAAATCGCGGGCACAGCTAGTATTTTATATAGAACCGCTATGAATGGATCTGCGCGGCGCACTCAGCAGACGAGGCGAAGAAAATGGGCAAGACTTGGAGCGAGATCAAACGCGAAGCTCAAGACCGAACGCGATGGAGGACTGTTGTGAATGCCCTCTGCCCCATCTAGGGACGTTAAGTCAAGTAAATCATGAATGTATCTTTCAGAAACCGATAGGCCCTATGAAAAGCAGTATCTTAGGCCCAAATGGAATTGGATTTTCTAGTGTGTGAGAAACAAGCGAGAAGGCCGTTAAAGAACATTGTTGGTTCATCTAATGCCTGCATGCATACAGCAGTTTCGTGGCTCTGTAATACTCACATGGACCCATATGGAGACTTCTGGTGTTTGTGAATCATACAAGAGACTGTTTAAGTAACTAGAAAGCTTCCCCTATGCCTTGACAGCAGCTGCGAGACTATATTTACTTGTGCGACTCTTATTTCCGATAGCATTTGATCTCTCTGAACTGCGAGGCACTCTGTTACGCATTTAGAACCTGCTGGCGTTGTCTTTCATAACTCTAGACTTGGCTGTCAAATCATGACTGTCTCACTTTATGTCGTGTCAGTAGCTGCGTAGCTCTCTGCAAAGTGTCTTTATTCCGATATTAGGATCCTACTGTTGTTATATCGACTACAGACCATCTCACTGGCTTCTGTCTCACCTTGTGTCTCCCTAAAGGGCGTAAAATCTCGCAGGAATCGTCTTTCATTACACTAGAGGCCGTCAAATCGTGGATATCTCACCTTATGTCTCATCAGCAGATAAGTCTCTTGTGTCTCGTAAGCAGTCCTAGTGAAATTCAGTTTGCCACCAAGCTGTCAATAATTCTAGAAGCTGTTTTAGTAACTAAAGTGCTTCGACCCTGGTGGGATTCTATCTAGCTGGCGTTGTGAATGTTGTACTGCCATGTACTCACCTTGTGTCTCGTTAATAACTGCGTCGCTCTATGCCTGTCTCTGCCAACGTCAGCATCAGCTAACGCAGCAGCCTTATCCTCGCCTCGAGCTCGGCCGCGTCGTGCACGAACTGTTGCGCGCGCGCCGCGGCTTCCAGACGCGCTGGAGTCACTTGGTGACACGTAAGAAACATAAGAGAGACTGTGAAAGGAACTAGATAGCTTACCAGAACCTTTGTCAAGAGATGCGTTGCCCTATCTGACGTTCACGTGCTATGACTGTCTGATATAATACGAAACTGTAGCGCTCGAGACGCGCTGTAGTCACTTGGTGACGAGTGAGAGCCATGAGAGAGACCATGGAAGGAGCTAAAGCTTAACTGAGACCTTGTCAACAGCTGAGTTATCCTGTATTAGACACTTGGACCCATATGGAAACAGCTGGCGCCTGTGAAAGGCTGTCAAAGCAACTGAATAGTTTACCCCATGTCAGGTCAACAGCGACGTAGTCCTGTGTCATTCATCCAAGCCTCCTAGCGCGTGTGAAAATACTTGATACCATCTAAAGACCCCAGCTTGCGTTCTAATGCTGTGAAAGGACCATCAAAGCCTGTTTAAGCTACTTGACTCACCTTAACGCCTCGCTGAAGTAACAGCAGGTGCGTAGCACTATGCCACGCTCTAAAGGGCGTACAATCCTGTCTTTTATAACACTAAAGACTGTCAAATCATGGGTGTCTGACCTAGTGCATTGTTAGCAGTTGCGTAGCCCTCTAACAAGTGTCTTTATCCCGATGGGATTAGATCCTGCTGTTGTATTATTAGCTGGCTTCTTACTGGCTACTTTCTCACCTTGTGTCTCGTCAACAGCTGCAAGGTTGTATCCTACTTTTTGATCCTGAAATGGCGTTATAAATCTGATCCTGTTTAAGTTACTTGACTCTCTGCAAAGTGTCTTTATTCCGATATTCTGGTCTTGCTCGCTTGTAAAACGTGAAGCTGTCAAATCGTGGATCACTCACCTTGTGCCTCGTCAACAGTTGCGTGGCTCTATGCCTGTCTCTGCCAACGTCAGCATCAGCTAATGCAGCAGCCTTATCCGCCATCCAAGCCTCCAACTCGGCCGCGTCGTGCACGAACTGTTGCGCGCGCGCCGCGGCTTCCAGACGCGCTGGAGTCACTTGGTGACGAGTGAGAGCCATGAGAGAGACCATGGAAGGAACTTGATAGCTTACTTAGCTAATGTGCGTCTCTAGACGCGATGAAATAACTTGCTGGCGTGTGAGAATCACACTAGAGACCCTTAAAGTCACTAGATAGCTTACCAGAGCCTTTGTTAACAGCTGCGTTGCCCTGTTACACACTTGGACCCATATTGGGAACTGCTGATGTATATGGATCTTACAGCTGTTCAAGTAACTAGATAGCCTATCCTTTGCCTCGTCAGCAGCTGCGTAACAGTGTTACGCAGCTGCTGTTACGCGCTTTAGGGCGCGCATTAAAGCGCGTAAAATCCTGCTGGTGTTGTCTTTCATAACACTAGAGGCTCAAATCATGATTGTGCTGCTGTGTAGCCATCTGCAAAGTGTCTTTATTCCCATCCTGCTGTTGTAATGTCATGTACCAGATCATACTATTGGCTGCTGTCTCACTTTATGCGTCGTCAACAGCTGCAAGGCTGTATCCTACTTTTTGATCCTGCAATGGCGCTGTAAGTCCTCTTAACCTTGTGTCTCGTTAATAACTGCGTCGCCCTATGCCTGTCTCTCCCAACGTCAGCATCAGCTAATGCAGCAGCCTATAGATTATCTGAGATCTTGTCAACAGCTGAGTTGCCCTGTATTAGACACTTGGACCCATATGGAAACAGCTGGCGCCTGTGAAAGGCTGTCAAAGCAACTGAATAGTTCACCCTATGTCTGGTAGTCCTGTGTCATTCATCCAAGCCTCAGTGAAAATACTTGATACCATCTAAAGACCCCAGCTTGCGTTGTAATGTGAAAGGACCATTAAAGTATCTGTCTAAGCTACTTGACTCACCTTAACGCCTCGCTGAAGTAACAGCAGGTGCGTAGCACTATGCCACGCCCTAAAAGGCGTACAATCCTGTCTTTTATAACACTAAAGGCTGTCAAATCATGGGTGTCTGATCTAGTGTATTGTTAGCAGTTGCGTAGCCCTCTAACAAGTGTCTTTATCCCGATAGGATTAGATCCTGCTGTTGTATTATTAGCTGGCTTCTTACTGGCTACTGTCTCACCTTGTGTCTCCCTAAAGGGCGTAAAATGTTGCTGGAGTCGTCTTTCATTACACTAGAGGCTGTCAAATCATGGTTCACTCACCTTGTGCCTCGTCAGTAACTGCGTGGCTCTATGCCTGTCTCTGCCAACGTCAGCATCAGCTAATGCAGCAGCCTTATCCGCCATCCAAGCCTCCAACTCGGCCGCGTCGTGCACGAACTGTTGCGCGCGCGCCGCGGCTTCCAGACGCGCTGGAGTCACTTGGTGACGCGTAAGAAACATAAGAGAGACCATGGAAGGAACTTGATAGCTTACTTAGCTAATATGCGCCTCAAGACGCGATGAAATAACTTGCTGGCGTGTGAGAATCACACTAGAGACCCTTGAAGTCACTAGATAGCTTACCAGAGCCTTTGTTAACAGCTGCGTTGCCCTGTTACACACTTGGACCCATATTGGGAACTGCTGATGTATATGGATCTTACAAGAGGCTGTTCAAGTAACTAGATAGCTTACCCTATGCCTCGTCAGCAGCTGTGTAGATGTATTTCTGATAGAATTTCATTTCTCTGAAGTAATGCGCTTTAAGGCGTGCCCTAAAGCGCGTAAAATCTTGCTGGTGTTGTCTTTCATAACACTAGAGGCTCAAATCATGATTGTGCTGCTGTGTAGCCATCTGCAAAGTGTCTTTATTCCCATCCTGCTGTTGTAATGTCATGTACCAGATCATACTATTGGCTGCTGTCTCACTTTATGCGTCGTCAACAGCTGCAAGGCTGTATCCTACTTTTTGATCCTGCAATGGCACTGTAAGTCCATATACGGACTATCCGAGGCTGTTTAAGCTACTTGACTCACCTTGTGCCTCGTCAGGAGTTGCGTCGCCCTATGCCTGTCTCTCCCAACGTCAGCATCAGCTAATGCAGCAGCCTTATCCGCCATCCACGCCTCGAGCTCGGCCGCGTCGTGCACGAACTGTTGCGCGCGCGCCGCGGCTTCCAGACGCGCTGGAGTCACTTGGTGACGCGTAAGAGTCATGAGAGAGACCATGGAAGGAGCTATAGCTTACCTGAGACCTTGTCAACAGCTGAGTTATCCTGTATTAGACACTTGGACCCATATGGAAACAGCTGGCGCCTGTGAAAGGCTGTCAAAGCAACTGAATAGTTTACCCCATGTCAGGTCAACAGCGACGTAGTCCTGTGTCATTCATTCAAGCCTGTATTGCGTGTAAAAATACTTGAGACCATCTAAAGACCCCAGCTTGCGTTGTAATGCTGTGAAAGGACCATCAAAGCCTGTTTAAGCTACTTGACTCGCCTTCCTGAAGTAATAACAGGTGCGTAGCACTATGCTACGCCCTAAAGGGCGTTAAATCCTGTCTTATAACACTAGAGGCTGTCAAATCATGACTGTCTCACTTTATGTCGTGTCAGTAGCTGCGTAGCTCTCTGCAAAGTGTCTTTATTCCGATATTCTGGTATTGCTCGCTTGTAATGCGTGAAGGTGTCACATCGTGGATCACTCATCTTGTGTCTCGTCAACAGCTGCAAGGTTGTATCCTACTTTTAGATCCTGCAATGGTGCTATAAGTCTGAGCCTGTTTAAGCGACTTGACTCACCTTGTGTCTCGTCAGTAACTGCGTGGCTCTATGCCTGTCTCTGCCAACGTCAGCATCAGCTAATGCAGCAGCCTTATCCGCCATCCAGGCTTCCAACTCAGCCGCGTCGTGCACGAACTGTTGCGCGCGCGCCGCGGCTTCAAGACGCGCGCCGCGGGCTTCGGCCGCCGCTGATACTTCTTCGTAGGCGGTGGATAGCGACTCGCAGAGAGACGATATCTGGAATGACAGGTAAATGTAAAGTATTTGAAAATTATAAATAACTTGAAAAAATCGAACTGCCTAAGGCGGGAATTGAACCCACGACCTTCCGCTTGCCGGGCGACTGCTCTTCCAACTGAGCTACTTAGACACTGGATGAACCCGTCGAAATTTTAAAGTGCAATACGCTGTTACAGCCAGCGTTTGTTTCATCAATGTTCGTGGGTTCAATTCCCGCCTTAGGCAGTTCGATTTTTTCAAGTTATTTATAATTTTCAAATTAGTTTGAGATGCGACTCTTAACGCTAAAAATTTAATAATAATGTAAAGTATGTTTGGCTTTTTGACCATTTTTAGCTCGTTTTTCAAACCACATAGTACCTACATACCTACCTACTATTTGTCAAGCAAAGAAAACTTGTTATTTGCCATAATTTTGGACATGTATTAGCTATGATTTAATCTCAGAAAAAAGCTGGTGGTTTTCTTAGACTCAATTCGACCAATTTTTTCTGTCGATTCCGCCTGCAGCGTCCTGTAGCGTCGCATCGCGTCGTGTAGCGTCGTGTCACGTCCTGTCGCGTCGCGTGGCGTGGCATCCTGTAGCGTCGCGTGGCATCCTGTAGCGTCGCGTGTCATCCTGTAGCGTTGGATCGTGTAGCGTCGTGTCGCGTCCTGTAGCGTGCCGTGGCGTCCTGTAGCGTGGCGTCGCATCCTATAGCTTCGCGTCGCGTCCTGTAGCGTCGTGCGTCGCGTGGCTTCCTGTAGCATCTCGTCGCATCCTGTAGCGTCGCATCGCGTCTTGTTGCGTCGCGTCGCATCCTGTAGCGTTGCGTCGCGTGCTGTAGCGTCACGGGACTATTCCCACCTCTCGTTCCCACCACTGCAACTCCTGTGTAGCCAGGATCTACAGCTTGACCGCCACAAAAACCCAACCAATGAAGGTCAAGTTTGTCCCGGGGGAAAGTTAAACTGTCATTGGACCCGCAACGAAATTAATCAGAAGAACATAGGAGGAGTTCGAAATTAAGGTTCGACTTCCCTCCATTGCTGTAGCGTCAGTCCACTCACCTTGTCGACCTGCGGATGCCTGTCCTCCATCAGAGCGCGTCCCTGGCCGATGACGCGCTCCACCAGCGGTTTCCTCCCAGCCAGCTCGCCGACCAGCTTGCTGTGCTTCTTAAGAGCGGTCTGGGCCGCGTGGAGGTCACCAGGGAGCGCTTCGGACGATGCCGCTGCTTTACGCTCGTTCAGCCAGTCCAGCTCGCCGGCTACTTCCGCAGCGAATTTGTGGAGCCTGTAGAAAAATGTATTTATTGAAAAACAATACACTAAAAGCTGGATTTCAGAAATATATAACGTAACTTTTTTCGATCGTAACCGATTTCGCGATATTTTGCTTCGTTTATTCGGTTATTTCTAAAACAGTTGCTCGTTTAGAAACCTTGAAGAATATTTGGCCACAGTTCCAGCTAACCACTTCCGTTTTTTCTCTCATTCTCATCAAATGGCGATTCTTCGCGATATAATGAGACGACATGACTGGAAATGGGTAGCTGGGAGTGTGGCCCATACTACAATAAGTGCTGGACCAGTAATAAATGACCTTATATCTATCGCAGCAAGACTCACTGTAGGCTGGTACTTGTATGACGCACATCAACGCGGCTTGCGGTTGTATGGCGGCGCCAAAGTAAAACTGACCTTATATCTATCGTGGCAAGACTCATTGTAGACTGCATCAACACGGAAGACTCGCGCTAAGTGCCGGCGCCAAAGTAAAACAGACCTTAAATCTTTCGCAATAAGACTCACTGTAGACTAGTGCTGAGGGCGCGTCTTCTATCAGCAGCTGGCGCATGCAATGCTTGTAGGGCGCGCGCCAACGCAGCGGACTCCCGCTGTATGGCAACGTGAAATGGACCCTATATCTAAAGTCCGGTCGCCAAGCAGATAGAATTTCGTACAATGACCCCAAGCTAGGATGGGTAGCTTGGGGTCATTGCTAAATCGCTCGCGAGTAATTGTATTGCTGTTGCGACTGTGCGACGGGCGGCCGCAGTGGGTGTGCGAGCGCGATAGCAATATAATTACGCGCGAGCGATAAGGATGGGTAGCTTGGGGTCATTGTACGAAATTCTATTTGTTCCGCGACCGGACTTTATCGCAATAAGACTCACTGTAGACTAGTGCTGAGGGCGCGTCTTCTATCAGCAGCTGGGGCATGTAATGCTTGAAGGGCGCGCGTCAACGCAGCGGATTCCCGCTGGATAGCGGCGGCGTCGAAGTGGCCGTCCGATACGAGGTCCTCGCCTTGAGCTGAAAGCGACGAGGCCTTTTGTTCCCATTGGGTCAGCTCTTGTTCTACAGCCTGTTGGAAAAAAAAACGATATATTAGTAAAAAGAATAAAGTTATATTACAGAAGAAAGTTATAGATCGTTTCATCCACGAAGACGCGCCCCACCATTCTTCCGCGAATGTTTGAGTGTTATCGGTACACGCTAAATGATCCATAGTGCACACGCACACTACAATAATGCCGCTCGGATTGCTCGGACCACACATCACAGAGCTCTATTCAACGCTGTGCGTTCGATTTGCTGCTTCTCTTAAGCAAGCATTGTTGGTTAATACGGGCGTCAAATCATTTATAAATGGAAACAATACTTTAACACCGCGTTCTAACTAAAACGAGCGCCATCTAGGCTACCTACAGAAGTACATTTGATGGCAAATCAGTCTAAAGTCTGTTCGCCGAGAGTTGATAAAAAAAATTAAATATCAGAGGTTCTAAACTCATTATAAATTGCGGCCCGCTAATTATTTTTGTCGATATAATGAAAAAGTTGGTAGATTATTATCTCTTTTAAATTTACGGCAATTATTCCGGATACGGGCATACGTGNAATACATGATTTAGCATGAATTATCAAGAATAATATTAACTACTTATTTACCTCTCAGTGTCTTGAGGCAACTGAAAAAAGTACATTCTGTGTTTTTATAATTATTTAGGCAGTTAAATACTGCACAGTATTTAGTACCTACACCATTTTCTTTATTTTATTCCATCATACACAAGAATACGCGTGCGTGAGTGTCAATGTTCGCTCGTATGTGTGGCCTTGTCGAATAGTATCCTGTAGGTGGGCCATCGTGCGTGTTTTGTTTTCGATGTAAACTCGCGGAGATGAACAGGCCTGATACGGGCGACAAATCATTTATAAATGGAAACAATACTTTAACACCGCGTTCTAATTAAATCGAGCGCCATCTAGGCTACCTACAGAAGTACATTTGACGGCAAATCAGACTACACTTTGATGCAAAATCAACCCTACCACAACTGCATAAGGTCTGTTCTCACCTGGTGCTGAGTCATGAGCCTCTTACAGCTCCTCAGGTCGGTGCCGACTTCCTCGCTCTTGAGCGCTCGCTCCAAGTCCACGAGCCGAGCCTTGGCGTCTTCCACGCTCCTGGAAATAATTATTGATTTATTTGGAAACTTCAGCAACTTTGTCGACAATTTATATTACAATATAAACAAATATTTCAGAAAAGGAAACTGGTTTCCTTAAAAAAAAAACCTAACATTTAGCCCGTCAATTAAGTTACTAAAAATATTGGACACGTATATTTTTATTTGTCAATCAAGCAAGTAATTACGACGTAATGGTGCGTTGAAGTTTCGCGTGACGTCACAAAGTTCTATACTTTGAAACACTCCTTGACGTCATAGGCCTTTTCTTTTGAATTTTGGCGCGCTTTTTCAATTAGTTTGAAAGATTGAAAAATACGCGTCGAGTATTTTTTGACAAGTTAACTGACGGACTAATTCGAAACTTTTGTTTTTTTACCGCGTTTAGAAGGCGCTATTCCCACCTCTCATTCCCACTGCTGCAACTACCGTATAGTGTAGTTTTGCAGGGCATCATTTTAGGACAGTCAATGCTGAACATCCCCAAGGATTTCCAGATTGGCCAGTTGGTAGCCGCCTGCATCCAACGCCTTCTTTAGAATTTTATCTATCCACCTTGTTGGTGGTCATTTTTAAAATTTTTGGGTGTACTAGACCTAATGCAAGGAAAAATGCAGTCTTGGGCAGTTGTGTTGCAAAGCCTTTTCGTTTATTAATGACATTTGTACTTAATTAACATTGTGTGACTTGTTTTAATGTTTATTTCTGACTGCAATGATTTGTGTTGA